AACACAGGTATCGGCTCCCCACCACGAAACGAAAACCGGGCTACGTGCATCATGGTGCCACGCGGCCACGTCCCATCACATGGCCACATGTGTCCTGCTAAAGCGAGTTGTTTGTGGAAGTCGTTGCCAGCTTTGCCCTGCCATTCATTCATATCGGGGATCCTGTTGTGAATAGACCGTTGAGCTTGAAATGCATAACGAAAGCGTGTAATTGAGCCGATAAGGGTTCTTTTTTTGATGTCACACCCAAGTAGGAACTCAATCAAGCTCTCGAGGTCTAGACACAGCCGCTGAGCTTCGCAAGAACGGGCCGGACAGCTAATCGGGATGCCATATCCCGACTCTTGGGGCCGCCAAATTTCATCCCACAATCCATCGCTAATGGTGGAGAGGATGCAGTCAGTGCAGAATATGTTCTGGCAGCAAGATGTTTAGAGAACAGGAACGCGCGCGGTAGTGGTACGCGATTTTGTTACTTCCTTGTCGCTCGCAAAGTAGCCCCATCTTCCGCATCTGACACAGACCTTGCGATACGAGGTGGGCTGAGAGAGACCAAAGATTCTCATGGAGTCGCTTTCGCTCTTGGGAGACGCTTGTTCTGGCGAAGACATAGTTGAATGGGCTTGTGTCTGACATGGAGGGGTGTAGAATAATGCGGTTCGTAGATGGGACTTGACCATGACGTGCGAAGAGCCGCGAGATTTATATGCGAATACATTTTGTTGGATTACGTTCTGGAATACATGCTATGATCTTAAGTTTAATCGAAAGAAAAGGTCGATTCGAGTCAATACCTAGGTCACAGCAGAGTCAACGGGCCACGGTCGCGGGTCAGTCAGAGCATCTGTGAAACTCCTCACATGTTTATCAAAGACTCCAATTATTTTTTTCATTGCAACGGGCCTTTGAGTTCTTTCGTATTCTTCAACAAGAGTCACGATGAGTCGATCTGTCTTTGTTCAAATGAAGTTTCATTTCCCATACAAACCGCTCGAGGTTCATGGATGCTGGAGACCCAAGCACAATTGACTCGAAGGGAACAAGTTACCATCTGTCAACTGCGCATCGCAAACGTGATTTGGCCAAAGACCCCAGTCAACTCCATGTTGTCGCAGATAGAACAGCATGAAGTTAAAGTCGTTGACCATGAACCCTCGAGATGACTGACCACTTTACCGAATCCTGGAAACAATAGGGCACCAGAACACTTCGCTGCATAAATTTCCTGAAGTGAAAAAGTCTTTTATTGGCTACTCACAAGAGACTCACTGTATCGCATTGCGCAGCAGAAGCACTTGATCTGAAATCGTATCCATCATGATTGCAGCAACTTAAGGGGCATGAGCGGAGTCATCCCCGGGGAACAAGTGGGTTCAATCGGCATCGACATCCGATCGACAAACGTGTGGTTCAAAAAGCTTAGCCATCACTTTTTACTCCTCACCACCCATGCTGGGCCACTACAGCAGGCTAATCCCGTTCTTGGCATCTGGGCCGCCAAGCTAACTGACAACTTGAATGCTCCGTGGCCCGGGCCTTTGGGCCAGAGAACCCGCTGAATGTACTTGAAACTAAGCCTCATTTTGTGTTGTTTCACCACGGACCTGGGCCGACAGGGGCAGCCCAAGAAGAAACGAACAATTCTAACGAGCGCCTCGCATTTTCGAGAAACAGCTGTACGCGCAAGTCACATTTGAGTTTTTGGAGGATTCGTCATGTCATGATCGCGAGATCTGAACTGCACACGCGTCCAACGTTTTCCTACTGAGTTGGGGCAATCATGGTGGCGAAGTGAATTGGACAGAATAATTGAAATCCACAAATGAGATGCAAGTTATATTCGATGGAATAATATGTACGAAGAATATTGTAAGGTGCCGGAGTATGTTCAATGGGGCTCTGCCTCTCCAAATGCCAGCCCGATAACCCAATCCTGATTGAGAGCCCTTATGGTTTTTGTTGTTTTTACATGTAAGAAGCATCGTAGTAACCAGCACTGGCGTAGCTGGAGCCGAGGATGCTGGAGATGGCGACAGCGGAGCTGAGCTTCTTGGAGAAGGTGGCGCGGGATCCCTGGGAGCCGATGCCAGTGTCGCTGTACTCGCCGAACAAGACGTTGCCAGTGCGGGCGTCGCTGGTGCTCCAGACAGACCAGCCCTTGGAGTTGATGATGCCAGTCATGGTGGTCTTCTGGTAGACGACCTGAGCGTACGCACCCCAAGGACGGCCGAGGTAGAAAGCACCATCGGGAACAGTGGCACCGGAGGCAGCGGCAACGGTGCAGCTGTTGAAGACATATTCGGACTTGGCAGAGGAGCTGGCGGCGCCGTTGGCTGCGAAATGTTAGCAAATTTTTATCAGTATCATGGGTTGGTAGCCAAGTCTTACCAGTGAAGTAGCCAAGTTTGGCAGAGACGGCACGGAGATCACACTTCTCGAACCAAGCCATGGACTTCTGGCCGAAAATGACATCAGTAGCACCCTGGATGAGGCACTTGGAGTACAGCTGGTTGCCCTGCTGGGTGAGGATAGTGTCCTGGAATCCGGTGAACTGGCATCCGTAGAAACCGCTGTCGGCGTAGGAGCTCAAGGCAATGGCCTGGCTACCCTGGCCGTAGGCGTTGACGACGTTGACGTTGTACAACTTGAAGTTCTTGGCCTTGACGCGCAGGGTGCCGGTCTCGTCATCGGTAAGGCCATCAGCCTGGCTCTTCTTGGCGGTGATGGTGACCTTGTTGCCCGAATAGCTTGACGTGTCGGCGGTGTAGCCGTAGATGGTAAGCTGAGCCGTGCGGGCAGGTACCAGGACCTGCTCGCTGTAGGTACCCTGGTCGATAAAGATGCACTGCTTGCTGGAAGAGGTCGTTGAGAGGGAGTCGACGGCCTTCTGGATGGTGCTGAACTGGCCGCTGCTGGGGGACTTCTTGACAACAACGCAGCCCGAGGGGGCGGAGGTGCGGCTGGCGGCCAGCGCCGCCGTGACGAAGGTGAGGACGGTGAAAAAGGACTTCATATTGGGCAAAAAACAAAAGAATGTAAGTGTTCGTTGGTTCGTCTCAAATCTGATCCGAACTTGGAGAATGACCTACCGGTTACATCGACAGAGGCTTGGCGTCCTTTATGTATTTCTCCTTTAAGGGTCCACAAGGCTCTTGTGTGGATGGACGCGAAAGCGGTAGCGACGGCATCGTTCCAACTTCTAGCGTTCGTCCTTCATGTTGGAATCATTGATGAGGAGGCCGCGGAACGCTTGCTGGGAGTGCCCAGGCTTCATTGGCGGGGGCGGTCGACGGCACGCACGAGACAAGCTCGTAGATTAAACCCGATAGAACAACCAATCCCGAGCTCTGGAAGTTTAACTTAGAGAGCACGCCAACTGGGGGAGACCCCGGCACGGCAACTCACGGCATCAAGGGTTCATATTTCTGCAACCGAGCCGTTCTCGAGAAGTCGATTTCTCGTTGGCGGATTAAATTGCCCATGTGGTACCATTGCGCTGGTGTCGCCCGACAATTTGTTCGAGGTGGATCGGCACGGAGATTGCGGGGTGGCTAGACTGGCAGTCGATCACAAAGACGCTTAGCTGCCACAAGGGGAATTCGGGCCTGGGCCATTCCTGGGAGAGCTCGCCTGCAAAGAACCACAATGCAGGGGTTCGGATAAGGCGGCGAGTCAGACCCAACGAGCCTCGTAGCATTCTCATATCGAGCGCAAGGAAAAGGAGTGCGGGTGGATCGTCTGATGCGCACTTCCACGAAACATCTTGCTGAGGGCAAGCTAGGGTATGCTTGACAGGTCTTCATCCGAGTTTCTCTTGCCTCGCAAGTGAGCGTTTGTTTCGTCAGCGCGATGTTGCACATTTGGGTGCGCCAGTGCCGAATTGAGGCTGTGTCGGAGGCTTCCCCCGCGTCTTGAGACTTAGATGAGGAAAACAGTAGTTGGGACGAATACCTTAATTCAATAGCGCCAAATACGATGCAACCCTTCCTGTTCTGTTCCCGTTCGAATCTATGTCCGCGATTCCACGAATCATAACAAGAGGAGCTTATACGAGAATCAGACATTGGAGTCTGGACATAATGTTGTTGCGAGGGTAAATGTTTTACATTAAGGAGCAAACGCTCATCCACTCACTCTGGACCAGAGATTGGACTTGAACTTTTGAATATTCTGATACGCTGCGAGCTGTCGACTCATACATGAGGTCTTCAAAAATAGATTGAAGAATGGCGTGAGCACAATATTTGGGCTTGTTGACTGGGTCTTCCAGACTCAAGCTCTTCATCTTCGATCAAAGCCCCTTGTCCATACGTACCCCATGAATCTTTCACTCGCAAGACCAAGCTGAGGCTTTTCAGCCCTCTCTGACCTAGGCACAAATTGCAGCGGCCTTAGACTTCAGGTCGCCTTACGAAAGAACAGGGGAGTATCGTATCAAACTCCTTTTGCGAAAAGGAGACGCCTGTTCGAGTGAAAATCTACCCAATACCAAGAAACGTTTGGAAATTTTGAAATTGCGAAACTCGACAATTCAACGAAAGTTTCGCCTTTGGTTGAAAGAACCTTCAGTGCCTTAGCTAACTCAAACAAGGGTGTTGCGGGCCGAAGGAAGTTGGCGATCTCTTGGCATCGGACTTCCCTGTTCTGCAGTTCTTGGCACTTTGTCGAGATGGACCAAGCTCGATGCCCGCACAGCGAGGCAACAATCACAGCATTAAACAACTTCTCAGCAGCACATATCCTGACTAAATTTCGTACTTCCGTAAAAGGAGCAAAATTTGTCGTGGCGAAGGGAGTAACTGATAGATGCGAAGTTACACAGGCTCAGCATGTCATTACCCAGGTAAAATGTGTTATTTGTAGTTCGATGCATGCTGACATCACTCGTGTTCTATATCTAGTCGTGATCCCCTCGTCTCCCTCATAGATGCAAAATGAACGCTCGGTATGTACCAATGTAAAATTCAGACCCGATGGTTATTGTAAGTTTCTCAAAGCCATCAAAAGATAGAAATCTCTTCCCACCCTTGTATGCTCTGTGGGCTGCTTGAAAAGGACTCATGTTGTCCTTCAAAAGGCGACAAGTCCGGAACGTATTCACACCCAAGGACCTCTTCGTGAACATATAAGGCGTCCTCGGGTGTTCTCATGAAGAATCTCACTTTGAAGTTGCCGCCCATGTCACCCCCAGTGATAGAGCTGTCCCAAAGCGTGCTCTTCTCCGGAACAAAATGTCTGATTCTCACTTCGTCGCGTGGGAGCCCAAGACACGATTCCGACCCCGTGTATTGGAGAACGCCAAATGAGTCCAGGCCCACGTTATGCTCAAGCTCAATGAGCCGTCGGGCGATACAAAATAACTCGCCCTTGTCCCACACCGCTTCTCGGGGTGATCCAAGTGTCGACAGTAGTCGAAGAGCCTCAAGGCGTACATCCAGCGCGCGGCATTTCGTTGCGATGAAGAATAATGAGGGCGTATATCCTGCTTCAAACAGAAAATGTGTCGGTTGGCAGTTGACTTGTGACTCAGCAAACTTGGTGGTTTGTTCGGTGATCTGACGGAATCGTTCCAGGTGCTGGTCAAAACCCACCTCGTTTGCTGAAAAGGCCATGTCGGTCCAGATGTGGGATAACTCGTACTTTAGCAGTGCGTGAACTCTTGGCCCGCCTCTTATTCGGGTGCTTGGGGATTTTGACCTCACGTCCAAATCCTCCCATAACCCGCGCCATTGGTTTAGTGATGATTGAAGGCCCCTTTGCCGCTCTAGTAATTCTCTCAGCGGTGTCTGATGTCGCAACGCGCCTACTCGATACTCATCTCCGAGCCGTATAAGCTGTATCGTTTGGTTATAAAGGTCGTCTATAGTGGCTTGTGCGTGCGCGAAGCTGTCGAAAGAAGCCGGTATCGGACACCCGCAAATCATTGTACCGGCATTGTTGAAATAGCTCGTTCCCGGGAAAGACGGAAGCATGTTCAGCCGTCGAAATATCGGTAGTAAGTGATCCCGTACAACCGGTTTTGAGCACGAGCTTTCCAACATCGCAAGTCCGTGATTGCAGTGTCTAACGGCAGCTTCCGTATTGGACTGTAGCAACTCGATACAGACGAAAAGTAGACAGACCACCAAGACTAGCCCGTTGTTGTCATTTTGTAGCGATTTTAGTTCGAAAATTGCGGCGTTATAGTGGCTCAGTGCCACGCCGTCTAGGTGGGTATGAGTGCCGCCATCCATGTTGCCGTATAATAAGCCGATGGCGATGACCGAGTGCTTAACAGCAGGCTCGCGGTTCACAAATTGCACGACCAAATGGGTCCAGAAATAAGGGTCTGTCGGACCGGCGATGAAGGGTGCGACATGCTCGCAGTAGTACTGTAAAGCTCTGGCTTCTTCACCGTTGGTTGACGAGTCGATCTGGAGTGTTTGAGGTCGTTGCCATCGAAGCACCGATGCCGGTTCAACCGCATATCCGTCGCACTTTCGACCTGTGCTGGTACAGCGGTTGCAGAAAGGCTTGCCCTCGTCACACTTGATCTTGCGTATCCTGCATTTTTGTAATTAGCACAGGCCACACCGGTGGTCACAGACCAGTTGCTCATCATACAACTCACTTGCAGGTCAAGCACCCAGTCCGCACCTTGCGACTTCCCTTCCTAGCCATTGGTTCAAGCCGTTTGTGGATGTGCGCTAACGATCGTTGAGTCCGAACGAGCCTTTAGGGTCTGATGTGTGAGCGATTGGTGTCCTCGCAACCTCCTTTTGCCTTTCTGGGCGCGAAGAACAAGTGGAATCTGCACGATTACGATTCTCCAAGTTCCTCGATGTCTAGATATAAAAATGACAGCCGGAGATTGCGGTATCGCCAGAACGTCTGGACCTCTCCGGAGCGGTGTCTACGCTGGTTCGCCCATCTCAACCAATCCGAATCGTAGCTCACCATTCGCCTAGGAAAACATCAGCGCAGCCCTGTCGTTCATGTGGAGGGTATTTTGCAGAACACCACCCTCCGCCCGCATAAGCCCTCCGAAGGGGCAGAGACATTCCGTAGGGGGCGGTGGGGTTGACAGGGGATATATCCGACAGAGCCAATCAGTTTTGCTTTCACTGGCGGGGCCGTCGCATTTCTGGAGGCAGGTTTCCTCGAAGTGCATACACTAGCTCGCCGCGATCAACTCTTGGGTGGTACTCGATCTTAGATACCTGACTTAGAGTTAGCGGCGCCACAGAAATGAGGGCGGTCAGTGGCTGAATAGACGATGTTTACCGTTGCACATCACGTATTGGACCGCAGACGACCAACTGGATGAAACGACCGTACGCACATGTCCGTAGGCCAAGGACTTGAGGAACCTGGCAGAAGACCGATTTCGCTTGATAACCCATAATTACATGCGTATGCTTGCCTGGCCAGGTCCACTCGGTCCATATCACCAAAGCTGTTTTTTTCACTCGTTACGACGCCAAGATTTTACGCTACTTACCTTGCAGTGAGATAACACCATCTCTGTGGTCCATCCCACCCGGCTTGCACCCTGTCGTGGGAGGAACCCATGCGCCTGCCAACGACCATAAGCCACATGGTTTGGAGAGCCCAGATGGCGCGCCCAGTGTAGCAAAAGTGCACGTAGTTTGGCGTAAAATTCCATCATCCGACATGACGGGTCCATCAACGGTGCAATCCCTACCGGGCTGGACTCGCACCTCATGCGCGTGTTCCACTGTCAGCCGTTAAACCATGCAACCTCGGCACCTCCATCGGTATCTCAGCCACTCGCATTCGACTGATCAGCCCCTTCCTTCTCGCTGATTCGTAGAAATAAACGCAGCATGCACAGCACCTCGATAAAACCGGGCTCAATGCGGACTCCGCAGGTTACGGAATGGGTTTTAGGCAGCTTCGACATGCCATGGAAGTCTGGTAGAATCCAGAATCCCATCCCGTGATTGCTAGGGCTGGCCAGTAGGGTGGCGGTTCCAGATCAGTCATACAATCTAAATAAATCTTGCATATGACTAAGGTAGTTAACCATGCTTCGCTGTTCAAAAACGCATGATGTCGTTTCGCTCTCGCTTCGCTTTTGGGAGGCGCGACCGACGAAAGGACCCGGCATCATAAGCGAGATCCTCTGGAGTTAAGTGTGCAACTGCATTTGTAGGTAGAGCATCGAAAATTGGACAGCAACTGCAAAATGGATTCCATTGAGAAAAAGTTTCGCGCATGGTCGAGACTTCTAGAATTTCTGGGGTCCATCACTGCTCAAGAAACAACTAGTAAAACCACTTCAACAGTTGTCCAATCATTTGGTGATCCGACCCTCATCGGTTCAGTTGCTCTAGAGTGTCAGGCAGTGCACACCAACTCCAGCCGCAGACCGCTTAAAGACGGGAACGCCATTGCTACATGCGTATGCCATTGATGCCGAAGCCGAAGCGGGCAGCCTTTAAGTCCCCCTAGGGCTGAAACGACTTCAGTATCCTTGGCCGGCCGTTCAGTCACAACTCGGCCGAGATGTCCACGGGCAGCCTATATGGTGTGGCTAAAAAGGCCCAGAAAACGTTTGGGGTGACTTGCAGTCTCATCCCGTTGGAGGTTCACAGGTCCGTAGGAGGAATCTGCCCTGGAGAACGCTAACCGCAGCAACCATGCGCCCCCAACTTGAAGTCAACCTTGCCGCATATAACCTTGTCTCGCTTGCGGGTTTAATGGCATTTCGTGTGGTGAGAGCTTTATTCTCCTTCCGAGAAAGAAGGCCAATGGCATTACCGACCGAGTCCTATGGGCCTGCGGCTTCCACAGCCGGAGGAATACGAGTACCGCCGAGTTCCTGTAGCGCTATGCGTAGGGCTGTCCCGCATCCTCCGCGTCCTTGACTACATGTAGGGTGCCTGCTAGGCTAAGTTAGTAAAGTATATTCAAGGGTACAAGTGATACTACTGCAGGACAGCAACTGACAAGGGATCAGCCAGGCCTGATTGGTCGTCTTTACGGATTCCGTTCCTTCGAATGTGCCCGTAGGCGCCATTGGGTGGCTTTGCGGCCCCCATCTCACACTTCGATCCTTTCTCAAGCCTAAACCGTCAAAAGGAGGAGCTGGACTCAACGGCGCCACTTTTGCTCTTGAACTATTGGTCTTTCGCTAACAAGCCATCAGCCCTATGACAGTAAACCTCCCGTGTTGGGGCTTTGTCATCTCATGTAAATTTGCGGTTACCTGTGACATTGCTGTCAAAATGCTTAACACGATTAACGTTATTTGGGTAGCGCATGATGACGAACTATGACGGCTAGTATGAGCAGACTTCCATTAGAAACCACTCTCGGGAGATGATGCTGACGTGAGGCGGAGAATCTGCTCCTGCAAGGTGGGCTGGGCATACGTCTGTCCCTGCCGCTCTTGAACACGAGACAGGTTGACAACATCCGGATATTTCCACCAAATGATTCTAACACCCTCGTGGCACTATCAAATCAACGAATTGTGGCTAATCACCAAGTAGGTATTGCCCCAAATACCGGCTGCACCGGCCTCGGCCCTTGGTCCCACTTTTCGGTCCCGGTCCGGATTCACCGGATGACTAAAGGCGCCGGTGTACAGGTGCAATGACATAAGCCCCGGCCAGTTAGAGAGCCGGATCCCCGCATCCATATTCCTTCATCCTGATCACAACCTTCTATACCAACGCACTTATCGGCCACCATTTCAGCTTCACTGCAAGCCGCCCAATGTCTCCTAGCAATCTTAGACTCGAGCCAGCAACCGTGGAAGATGTCCCGGCATTGACTGAGGTCTGGTTCGCCGCTTTCACAGACCCCGAGCTGAGACGCCTGTGGCCGGACACACCGGGAGTACGTAAGTGGTGGGACGACGCAAACCATCACGACATCCTCAACAAGCCTTTCCAGCGCTACATCAAAGTGATTGACCCAGAAAACTTGGACGCCAACGGGCGACCGCGAATAGCTGCCTACGCGAAATGGGACCTGTCAATGCCAGAGGATCGTGGTCGGCGATATCCACCCTGGGCTGACGATATGCCCAGTGAGGTCTGCGACGTTTTTTTCCAGAGAGAAGAAAATGAAAGGCGTCGTGTCATGGGAGATGAAAAACATTACTGTATGTGATCTTTGCCAGGAAAACTGTGGCGCATTCATCCATCTGATGCTTCGCCTAGATTTAGACACAGTCGCAACGCACCCGGACTACCAGAGACGTGGCTGCGGATCCATGCTGGTCCAGTGGGGCTGTAAGCTTGCCGACGAAAACAGTGTTGGGGCGTATGTGGATGCAAGTAAAGATGGCGCGCCATTGTACGAGAAATGTGGCTTTGTGGACGAGAGCGAGCCTAGCTCAGGCGACATCGCGTCCATGGCACGGCGGAAGCGTAGTGCCACCGGTGCCTAGATCCCGCATCCCTTTTCGGTCAACGGCCCCGTGCCGGTGAATGGTGAACAGGATGAAGAGTCTCGGGGACAATGTGATACAGAGATGTCTAAGTAGCTCGGTCTTTGACATGAAATTAAAAGGGATACGAAGCAATCGACTTTTAGTATTCTCCTTGGAAACGTTGGGTGGGAGAGTGATCTAATCGCCCATATCAATACGATTGGATCACAGATCTTTCAGTACGACGTGTGGGCCGGGCTGCAATAAATGTTCTACAGGTGAAGGTTTGAGATGATCAGTTGATTGCACCTGGGAACTATTGAAGGAATTCCCAAACCTCTATCAGTTACCGTCTCGCGTTTTGTTCAGCTCAGCTAGAAATGCGGCCAGTAAACCATGGGTAGCCTGGCAATCTCAAACCCCTTTCCAATTCAAGTAAAAAAACAGCATTGTTACAACACCGAAGGGGGCTGCAGCAAGTCCCCGCAGATTCGAGTTTTTCTCGAGCCTGAAGATTACAACGGCGAAACAACTCCAAGCTACAAGAGACCAGAGTAACGTGGAAAAGAGCATCAGTCGAGTCCTAGATATCCGCCTATCGTCAATGTAAAGGCCGACAAGCACTCCAACGAAACAATTAATAGGCTCAACACAAAACATGGTGAACAGAAAGCTCGACAGGACTTTCGTCGGTCGGTCAGCGTCTGGGATGATCAGATACATGAATAATACCACTGCCAATGCAAAAAACTGGAAGCAAATCTGCCACATGGCCAGCATCATCCAGCGGGACTTGGTGAAGTAGACTGCGAGAGATAGTCTTATGTCCATGTGTTCTGCTTTCAAGATGACTTCCTGGTTAATACGGTCGAAAATATCCTCTTCAGCACTGTTATGCAAGCTTAACGATTGTCGGTGAGATGGCAGGCCGTTTCGCTCGTTATTATGCAACCTGGAGGCGGAAATTGGAAGTTCATCCAAGGGAACAGCATTGAAGCTACTTCCTTGGTGCCTTTGGATCTCTGTGTATGTCTCTTGATAAGTGTCCGACTCTATCTCTCCCAGAATCGTGGCCACTCTGCTGAGCGCATCCGCTTCAGTGGGAATCATCTGTCCTCTTCCCATCACATCTTACCCGTTGTCAGCACCTTCCATGCCTGATTCAATGGAAAACGCCTCCTACCGCTGTGATAAGATGATAACATCTCAAAGACCTGCCTCACCGATTGCTTATCTTCCTCGCGTCTTCGAAACTTTGCCTGGGTCTGCGCGGTTCCCAGCAAAGAAATAACGACGGCAATGAACGGACCCAGAAGAAGAAATACTGGTAGTATCTGGCCAAAGCCCCATTCATCTTCGGAGTCATCGGCCTTGCTTGGCCTTCGAGCATCGAAAAGACGAACTGTGCCCCATATTGAAGTCATCAAAACCCAAAATAGCTACATGATTCTGTTAGTAGATGCTTGGGATGAGAACAAAAGGACAGGATTAACTTGCATCTGCTAGTTCTGAAAAGACAACCTCAAGATATAGCTTTACCGCCAAGTAAGCAGCGATCATGAGATCTAAAGGTCGGACAACAGCCAGTATCTTTTTACGTATCCGAGTAGCCCCGTACCGATGGTAAGCTCGGATGGTAGCAAGGATTCCGGAGACTGCTAGGCGGGCAGTCGTCTCACGGACGTTATCTTTGGCAATCTCAGAAACCGTACGAAACATCTTGATGAAACGGCCGATAAAACTGAAGCTTAGTAGTAGAATGGAAATTACGGATGACTCGAAGGCTTTCGTGGAGGTCATAGATATACCTGACGGGTTGCAGTAGTTGCCGTCTGTAGCCCGAAGTATCGTGGCATTCGCACAAGTGCGGTGGTTCCAAACATCTTGAGCCACACGTTGACTGAAGAAACATCGGACATTGGAAGCCGGCACGCCAGCTGTTGGCAAAGACTGGCTGTTATCCCAGTTGAAGTATCCAGTCGGCACTAGAGCCGTAATCAGGCCAACGAACAAGATGCTCATGAAGAGCATTCTGAAGTTGCGTTCGATTTGGTTCCGATAGAAGTACCCACGCAGAGCAGAAAGACAGGCCGTGTGGGTGAGGCTTGAGAACCAGGCTAGATAGGTGTTTATCTGCCAGTGATAGGATGACATATAGCATCGGAGACTCAGAAAGCTACTAAAGAGAATCCCAAGGCCAGTCAGAAGCTGTATGTCCGTCAAATTCAAGAGAATCTATAAGGGGTACTTGTAAGTTTGTGAGGTAACTTGGCGACACCAGGACCCAGACCTTGTTCATGGCTAGATCCCACCCAATGTGGTAGCCAAGTCGTCGACGGAGGCGTGAGAACATGTGAATGACTTTGACATCAACAGCATTCGGCTTCCATCTGTATGCCCGATCACGTCCCTCATCTCGTCTTGGGTTATAAAGCGAGTCTACTCTGGGGTTGAAGGCAAGAAAGTAGCGAAACGCGACCAGAATGACGACGAGCCATGCAGTACCAAGGAATGCGACGAGAACCTTATTTGAAAATAGGTTGTTAGCTACTGCAGTTCTTTGGTTTACTTCACTTACCCCAATCCCACTGATGTCGGGATTCGGCTCCAGCTCTCCCGGATCATCGAAGCAGCTTTTGAGGCAGCGTGAGGCCATTGCTCTGGTACGCAGCTCCTGGAGGGGCGGCAAAGCCAGGCAAAGCCGAAAACAGAGGAGCGAAACTGGAGTCAGATGGAACGAATATTGCTGAAGCTTATGAATAAAACCGATGAGCGACTTATCCGTGGACTTGTTGAAGCTCCGGGTTCATTGTTGGAGGAGCTAATTTTCCTCGCTATCAATTGACGACGGGATGTTCTGGTCAGGGAAGGGGGATGGCTAACTAATTACAGCGATTTAATTATTGGACCGAAGGGGACTGAAGGGTGAGCGCCGATGAGAATTTCGCCTCGAGATGTGCGGTCGCTTTATTACTAGTAATCTTTTTGGATTTCAGGGTACAGCCTCATTTGATCTGACACAGAGACAAAGACAAAACTGGGAGATTGATCAGCAGCGAGGTTGGCGTGGTGATCGCCTCTTGTGAATCAAAAATGCCCACTGCAAAGGTCTCGTCAAGCCTCATGTAGCACCAATCTCGATATAGGGAGATAAAATTTCCTTTTGATTGGTGATTCTCCGCATGCAGTACGTTCTGTGACGTCACGAGGAATACTATTGAGAGACAAACTTCTTGGCTTCGTGGGACCACTCGGCGCGTTGCCGCATTTGTATACCTTATGCGTGGTACTTGAAGCACCAACCGTTGATCGACGTCCAAAAAGCATGAGTATTCAGCGGAGTCATCAACAACCGCCGTCTAAAAGTGCTATCAGGGTTGGAATGAATACTCTTGGTTGAAGCACAGAACCTCGCTCAACCTGGGGGAGTACGAAACCAACTATCTCTTCGCCATCGGGCTTTCACTGCGACAAGCCCACAGTTGAAATGCAATATTGTAATAACCAAGGAAGAGACGTGTCATTTGGGAGGACTTCTTCCGTGAGCTTCATTTATCTTTGATAGTCTAGGTCTTAGTGTTCTATACCTACAACAAAGACGTCCGTAAAAGCTATATCTCGATGTACTTGGTCAACACGGCTTGAAACATTGAAGTCACAATTTTCGCGGTAGGCGTTTTTATGCAGCTGAGGCAGACGATAGCAAAATCTCTCTAGGCGGTACAAATGGCCGATTCGTAGCAACATAAGCGAATTTGGCCATCAAATGACGTTCCTCGTGGTCTATTTGATGGGGTACTCACTCGTGAATGATCTTTGTACATTGAGACCCATTTACTGGCTATCGGACGGCCGCGGCCAGTAAATCCCCAGCCTTCCACCGGTGCCAAGAAATTTAGGCATTATGGACCGGAGTCATGGGCGGTACTGGCCCCCATTGGTGCCCGCTATCATCCAACTGCCTATGACTGTGAGGCATAGATAGATAGACCTGAGGACCCCGCAGTCGGAGAGATCACGGCTAGAATGCTGCCATTCTTTCCAACAAACACACATAATTGCGAATGCTCAGACTTCATTAAGAGCCGATGTAATCCTCGCTGTTTCACTCATCATGGGTCTTCCTAAGCAGCTTTCGAATCCTACGGAATATACCGTAGGCATCATCACTGTGCTTGCCAACGAACTTACAGCTGTAGAGGCGATGCTCGACGAAGAACACGGGAGCCCATTGAACTTCACCCAGCATGAAAGAGACGACAACTGCTACTCGTGGGGCCGTATGGGTGCTCACAACGTTGTCATCGCCTCATTGCCCGAGGGAAGATATGGTCTCATTTCTGCAGCGACTGCATTAGACGGCTTCACCAAGATGAGATACCCGTTTGCACAGTACGCTGCAGACTATTGGATGAGACACGCTTTTCACAACAATACCTCACAAGTCGAAACCCAGGTTAAGAGGTTCATCGACTGTGAGATTTTCCATAAACTCTACGAACCTTCCGCAAAGAATTCTTCAGCGCTATGCCGCATGGCACAAGAAGGACTTACTTGGGCGATTGAGCTACTGCTGGAGAAAGATGCCACCCTCTTGAATGCCCGAGAAGATGAAAGTCTCCTTGCGGCAGCTATACAGCATCACCACGATAATACTCTCCCGTCCTCCTAGAGAGGGGTGCAAAGGTAGACAGAGCCGCCGTTGTGTGTGCATCGTCCCGAGAGGATGAAGAGCTTGTCAGACCTCTGATTGGAAAGGTCACTGCAGCCAACGCTTGTAAGTGGTGCAGCAAGGCAGCCAAGGCTGCTTGTGCAGAAGGCCATGTCAAAATCCTGCAAATGATTCTTCGTAAGTGTGGGGAGGCTAACACGTGCTGCATCGAAGGCGAATGGATATGCGACGCATTCAAAGGCGGCCATAACGCTGTAATAATGGCACTTCTTAATAGTCCCCCGCATGCAACCTTTTACGCCCAGAGTTGGAGGTCTGCATGTGAGAACGGCCTCTGTGGGTTGGTGGAGATCTTGCTTGCGAAGGATGCTGATGTCGACGCTGCACTCAGCGGCTGCAGGCCGTAGGGCGGAGGCCTTGTCTGTTGCGATTGAGAAAGGGCATACTGAAAAATTGTCAAACTACTTCTTAAAAATGGCGTCGGGATTGGAAAGCCTGTTTTTTTCGCGGCCATAGGGAACCGCGAAGAAATTCTGGAGTTACTTCTCGAAAACGGTGGAAGCCCCAGCACGACTCATAGGAGTGAGACTGCTCTTCAAGCTGCATGCCATAGAGAACATAAGAATATTGTTCAAATACTCCTTGAGTTTGGAACAATTGACAAGGAGGTTCTTTGCGGTATCATATGGCTAGCCCGGTGGTCACAATGACGAGTCTTCTTGCCGGCGGTTTCTTCCTTCGCGAGCATGCCATCATTTTCTCCGCTGCTTGAACGATGGGCAGGTTCGTGAACAGGAGGACTATCTATGCAACACCAAACGGCAACCTTTCCATAAGATGACAGTTCCTTCGTCTGAACGCGGAGTATCGTGGGGTTTAGTCTATAATATCAAAGACTAAGGAGTTTCGTGCCAATGTCTTCCTCGCGTCTCGCGTCTCGCGAGAAGTCATCGCCTTACCTGCACCGAGGTTAGCCGCCTGTCTCCACCGCAATGACCGGGGCTTCCGGGAATGCCTCGGACATTGAAGCTTTGAACACAACCAGAACTAGAGTTCTCCCGCTCAAAGTTGAGCTTCCTATCCCTTGAGACAAACTACGACTGTGTATTGTCATCTTCAATCCCCTTCCCAACTGTCGTAGACAAATTCGCAAGATGAGAATTTGTGGGCGTCACGAATACGTCATATATGGAACCCTGACCAGGTAGGTTGTCACAGAGACTATCGCGGTAGCAACACTACACACCAAAGTTCCAAGAAGAGGGGTCGCGGCGTGGACAGAAATCCACCCGCGGTGGGAATTCTGGAAATGTTAGTAATCGATGGGGTTTCCATGGGCCATACCCACTGGAAGAAACCTGTCACAAGCAGTGAGATTGAAGCCAAGGTATTGCCGTCGCCGTTTACGAGTTGCTCGAAGTAAACGCCGACACCGGTGCAAAAGTCCATATATTCTCAGCATTATCTTCAGTCCCTGTTGGAACCCCTTCCACCACTCATCGCATTTCGCAATAGCGAGCCCCACATCAGTCAATCGCCATGTCAGATCTCACAGCACTGCCCAAGGGCTCGCTCATCCTCGTCACCGGAGCGAACGGATACATCGGAGCGCATGTCATCGATAACCTCCTGAAGCTAGGCTACCATGTTCGCGGTACCGTTCGCGCCGAAAAGCCGTGGCTGAAGGAGCTGTTCGATAAGTATGGTGAGGGTGTCTTTGAACAGGTCGTCGTGCCGCATCTGGAGGATGAGGAAGCCCTCGGTCATGCCATGGCTGGCACTGCTGGTGTCGTGCTTGTGGTAAGAATTTCACCGAAAACTATGACGGATACCTTCACCTACTTACATAAAACTCAGGCTTCAGATCTTTCTTTGAGCAACGACCCTCAGAAGGTTATTCCCTTCGTTGTGAAGGCCACAGAGACTGCACTTTCAGCTGCGGCGAAGCATGATAGCATCAAGCGGGTCGTTCTCACCTCGTCTGCCTTTGCAGCCTCTACTCCCGAGGCGAATGAGACTGGTGTTGTTGTTGATGAGAATACTTACAATGAGCGTGCCATCAAGGCAGCCTGGGATCCGAACACCCCCGCCCATCGTATGCCATTCATGGTCTATGCAGCTTCCAAGGCAGAGGGTGAGAAGGCTGCTTGGAAGTGGGTTGAGGAGCACAAGCCAGGCTACGTCTTCAACACCATTCTTCCGAACTTCACCGTCAGTCCTCTACCCTATTCAAAACTCCTGGAAGGTCTGGTAGCTGACATGAATAGACCGGAGAAATCTTGCATCCCCAAATTTCTGGCTCAACCATGAAGATGGCCGCCGACGTGCTAACAGGGAACCACGCCCCCCTGAAGGCCTTCATGCCTCGTAAGTGATGGCTTGCCGTGGCGTTTCGAACCTGCACGCTGACAAACCTCAGAACCCTACGTTGACGCCGGTGATGTTGCGCGTCTTCACATCGTCGGTTTGCTCGCCGAGCCTGTCAAGTCCAAGAGGATCTTCGCCGCCGCTCGCCCGGTCAACGTGTCTGATTTCATTGATGTCCTGCGTGGGCTCAGACCAGACAACAAGCTGATTCCTGAAAAGGACGCGAACGATGGGCATGACCTGACTCAGGTGCTACCGCTGGCTGAGGCCGAGAAGCTGTTGCAGACGTACTTCGGACAGAAAGGCTGGACGTCATTGAAGGAGAGTGTCGAGGCGGGAATTCGCAATTTCTGAAGGCTTTTGAGCTATCTGTCTGCACATGATTTTGCACATGAACCAATTGACCGCAGTCCGTTGAAAGTGTATGATCTACAAGTTGAGCCTAGATAAGTTCTAGTTATTCTCTATGAACAGCCTGCGTTAGAGCTTAGCCCGCAGAGACTCCATCCAAGTGTGAGCCAAAGCTTTCTTCTCATTAACACTCAACCCGTCAATACCTCCCCCTTTTTCTCGTTCCAACTGTAGCCATTTATTGGACTCAACAGCCATCCAATTAGCCATCACTTCAGCGCAAGTCTTGGGGTCTTCCATAGCGAGGAAATGACCCAATTCAGGTAAAACCTTGACGTCAACCCGTCTCCTCTCTCCGGGCTGTTTTGCGTACTGCAGAGCGCAGGTTCGAGTCTGCCAGTAATCCCTAATATCATCATCGCTTGGAGTATCTCTGCCGCCGCAAAGAAAGAAGGTGCTGCAGGTAATGTGACCTAGCATGTGGAACATGTCAACAAGGCCGGTTTGATAGACAAGTTCTGGCTCTTTTGTGTTATCGCCATGAATGAAGGTAGGCTTGAGGTAGTTTACGAGCTCGTGGTACTGTTCCGTAACCAATGAGACTGACTGTGTACTGCTTGGTCCCTTGGACGCGGTGTTATCGTCGTTCTTGATGGCGAATTCCATGAATAGGTCGATGACTTTGGAGTCCCAGGTGCTGAACATTTTTCTGACAGACTTCTCAGCCGCCTCCCGATTCCGCCAATGGGTTCTTCGCCTAAGGGTCATATAGTCAAAGCCGAGCCCATCGAGACCCACCTCCGGTGGGCTGATCGCAGGATCCAGCAGTATCATTGACGAGAATATACGCCGGCTGATGACAGACATTGTAGCTCTGTCAACCCGTTAGCCTCCAATCAATCGTGTAGGAGTCTGCGTATCGATAACTTACATATGACAGCCTCCCATACTATGCCCTACCCCTATGATGGGCTGCTGCATCTGGTTACGGAAGTGCGCCATCAGCTGGAGTAGGTCTTCAGAATGATCTTGCCACGAGACTTGATGCAACCGTGTTAATTGATGGCGCCTTTGATGGCAACGGGGAGAAACCCACGATCCGAAAATTGCCAGGCCTCATTTAATGAGAGACTCTTGCCCTGGAAGGCGGAATCTGCCATCCAAATTGAGTGGATACCAATTCCTCGAGCGCTTAGTTGATGTTCCAGATGACACCACATGGGCTCATAGAGTTCCTGGTGCTTTTAGCATCGAGCTTCTGAGTCGAGCGGTCGTACGTATGATGTGTTCACCTTTGGAAATCCATTTGCATGTGCAGCAACAATCGTGACAGCTACCCGATGCGCTGATGAGACCGTTCGCGGCGAGTACTGCTTGACTGCTAATCGGACGAACGCAGGTCCAACCTCGTTGGCTTTTGGGAGTCTCGGGCATGAGATGGCATGCTCACGAACATGAAAAACTGGCGAGGCCATATTTAACGACCTTTTGAGGAAATCCCACTGTCGCCTGTGTCTTCCTTCAAGTTTGAGATGTTTCTTCTGGTCAGATTATGAGAGCCCAGGTATTGAAGGTCATCATGCTTTGGCCGAAACCTTGAAACGACGCGCGGGGTTGACTCGCGGGCCATTTAGGCTCGTCGGGCATTTTCTTTCCCAGAGACGCGGCAACTCAATCTATTTTGGTCATCACAATCGTTATTGTTCTCACTCAATTATCGCTGTTGATTACATTTAGTATCTATCTCTCTATATTTAATCATCTCTAAACTCCACTCTCACGTCTCCCGCACAATGTCATGGTCATACTCCGGGTTCACCCAGTCCGGCTCGCCGCATCGCTGCCTAATAGACCCGCCAAACCAGTGCAACGCCGCCAGCGCGGGGATGCAGAAGAATATCGTAATAATGCCGTGTCCCGCAAACGTCCAAGAGTATCCCACGCCGTCAACCCACGGCGCGATGAAGAAGGGGTCGACGAAGGCGCTGAAGTTCAGCAGGACGGCGTAGAAGGTGATGACCGCCATGCTCTGGAGCGGGTACGCGTCGACGACGTATGAGCAGATAGCGGTGTTGCCCATCTGGATTCCGGCGCCGACTGTGGGAACAGACAATGTTAGCAGCATGCACATGTAGCTGTTTTGGGGAGGGTGGTGTCTTACACAAGGCAAAGGCGACCTGGCCCACCATCCAGTGATACCCCTTGTCGATGCTGACGCCCCAGATGATGAGGCCTATAGCCGTGAGGAGGGCGGCGGGGTACGCGAGCCAGAGACGCATCTCGGCCGTCTTGATGCCATCATTGCGCTTGGCGAGCTTGATGACGAGCCAGTCGCTGAGCTTGCCGGAGAAGAAAATCTCGGAGATGAGGGTTCCGACAATGAGACCGATGAAAAAGAGGCTAGACGACAATGTGTTAGATATGTATAATTGAGTGACAAGGACCTGCAACAGAACATAACTTACCCCTGAGTCTGCGGAGAGTAGTCTACGTACGCCACAGGAATCATCGTGATGACGGACAACACCCACCAATACCACCCGAAGCAGTACACGCCCGTCGAGATGGGCACGACGGGGAACTTGAACAGCTTGCCAAAGCGGATGATGGAGTCCCACGGCTTGGGGTGCTTCATCGCCGGCACGGGCTTGACGTTGATGAACGCCAGCTTCTTCGTCCTCTGGATCTCGACCGCATCGGCGCCCATGGTGCCGGTCTCCAAAGCTTTCTCATCCACCAAACCCGTCGCCGGCACGAGCCCCTTTGTCTTGGAGAGCATGTAGTCGCGCGGGTAGAGCGTTTCGGGCAGGAACGCCAGCTCCGCAGCCAGGATGACGGCGAAGAAGATGGCCGTCAGCCACTGGATCCAATAGTGGTCGACAAGATCAATAAAACCGCCGATGAGCGGTCCGGCGAGTAGGCCGAGGTCAATGGCCAGCACCCACAGGCCGACCTTTTGCCCGCGCTCGTGCTCGAAGAACATGTCGTTGATGATGGCGAGGCCGACGGTCGCGGCGGGGCTGACGCCGAGGCCCTGGAAGAGGCGCGCGGCCATGTACCCGCCGTAGGTGCTGGCCTTCGCGGCGCCGATGGTGGATGCAAAGGCGACGAGGGTGCCCAGGATGAAGATGGGGCGACGGCCGATGATGTCGGCGGGCGAGGACCAGATCAGGGGCCCAATGGCGAGGCCGAGGGCGGGGATGGCGACGGTCCAGTTGACCATCTCGAGGGTGAGGGAGTATTGCTCCTGGAGCTCAGGAAAGGAGGGTACTGTTGTCGTTGTGATGTAGGTGAACATGAAGTAGCTGTAAGATTGGGGTCGGATTAGCTCTGTCGCGAATAGGCCAATGTCTCAGGCGTGAGGGACTTACAGAGCCATCACGATAGCGAGGATGCTGTTCTTCTGAAAGGCGGACCAGTTCAATGGGTCGAGAGGATCATCTTGGACGGGCTGGGGATGGACGCTGAAGCCGTCCTTTGTGATTGTGACCTCCTGCGTCGCTTTGCCGATTCCGTGCTCCCCGGATGGCGGAGGGATCGTCTTCTCCTTTTCGGTGATGGAGTCCGCCATCTCGACTCGCCTTTGCCTTGAAGATTGGATTCAAACAATACGAAGATGCGATTGAGCGACCGAAAGAAACCAAATAGCCAAGTCGCCGGAAAAGGGGGTATCTCGAAATCACACAAAGTCACCGCAAACAGCCCGCGAACCATAAAACCCAAGTAACCGGGACAGCGCCAGACATATATCAATTCACATACAACTTTCTTATCTGGATGATCCTCACTGCATGGTAAGCCAGCAAGGACAACCTCCGACACTCTCACCCCAGCTCATCCCATCCTCCCACGCGAAAGGGAGACATGCGCAAAAACAGACAAGCTTTTTCTGCATTGCGAGCCGCCCAATGACTGCCCCAGATGCCTGTTAGTAAATCCGTTTGAATAAGCCCGTCCTAACATCCCACTGGACAAAAATGGCTCTGGGTGATGGCAATTGTGCCTCTTGAGTGGCCGCAGAGCTGCCGTAGATAAGGCAACCCGGGAGGGGAAGGGATGTTGTTGTTCCCGGGGGAGACAAGGGGGGACCCGCCAAGAGATAAGGACCGTCGCATCTGCAGCACAGCAGCCCATCATAGTCTTATCTGCTGCCTTCAAACGCTGGGACTACCGTTGGAAAGAAGAGTGATGACGACCAAGACGTGCAGAGCCTGATAAGATGCCGCTGCACCCCCGGGAAGTATGTTGCAGATGCATTTGGATGCCTCGAAGCAGAAAGGCTGCTACACGTCCTGCAGATTTGCGGGGCCCGGATTGAGATTCTGGAAATGCCCTCAGCTTTTGCTTGCAGGAGGCCAACACTTAGGACTGATAGTTACAGCAAAAATAGACACAGGATGAGATGATCTAGCACATGTGTTTAATCGTCAAATTTACACATTTAGGAAGAAGGCGTTTGACGGCTTATCGTGGCGTGTTGTTTGGTGAGGGTTCAATCTCCACGCATGGCTTGGGCGAAGGTTTCGGATGGGATGATCACCCTCGTGGCACGGTCGCGCGCCGTTTGGGAGGCTTGAACAACGTCTACCACCGTTTCCCGGCTTAGATTCGAAAGAATCATGTTTCACAGACTTCATCGACGTCTACAGATTCTGCATATCCCCAGATCCACGAGAGCGGTACGGTTCGATGACGACCTCAAAGGCGGACACAGATGATCATGTCTTCTATCCAGGCACCAAATGCCGTGCCACACCTCGCTTGCATTAATCCCAGCATTCCAGAGAACTAATCCAAGATCTGCCGTACCCCCGCGATTGGTCTCCCGCGGTCGAAGACTTGATCAATACCAATGTCTAAAAGACATGCAACCTCTTTCATGCCGGGCGATAAGCGAGGATCGCGTGGGAGAGCCAATGATGAGTGCAGGAGGTTTTGGTTCAGATACCACTGAGCACCAGCCACAGAAGCATCCTATCCATGTGTGGCTTTACGGCGGGCTTGATAAGTGGCTGTGGCTGGTGAGGCTGGCAATGAACGCCATGTGTGGCTTGCGTCGGTGCGGAGAGGGTTCCCGTCAAACATCATGGTATATATCCATGCCAACTCAATTGAATAAGTCAAGCTTCCTCCTGAGCTGTGTTGAATTATATAGCGGGGGAAGCCATTAAGTGCATGGGGCAATTCATGACTCCCGGCGGTCGGCAAAGCCGGACGGAGAAACGACCCGAGTCATGGGGTTCGGACGACGGAATGCTGCCGGTGCTTGTAACGGCTTTCTTGTTTGCTACGGAATCCTTTCAATTCGTTCCCCTCGTGCACGGATCGAAACAGGATGGGAAATAAGGGCGTTACGGCTTGATTGCTGCCAAGCGAAGGATAATCCGAAGATGCTGGCGAATATTCAATCTACCCAAGTATTGTTCTCTCTCCTGTTGTTGTGTCTTACTAAGGGGAGTTTACGCTCATGTTTCGGTAGCGATGATACCAACTATTGTTGTGGAGCAACTTGAAGATTAGCAACTGCGGGATGATCACGCAAACTCTCCAAACCATGTCACATTTGCTGCATCACATCATCGCAAAGATCAGAGAAAGTTGAAGTAATGTCAGGACGACCAATCTATTCAGCCCGCCCCTTCCCATTCATCTAGATACGTCTCACCCGGCACCGCCGCAGCAAGAGAGAAGGACGGCTTGAAGCCGTGTTTTTTCCACAGTTCCACATTGTTGTCCAAAAAAGCTTCCCAACAAGTGTTGTCTATATGTACAATTGAAAAACGCCAACAAAGCAGTGTTTGTCTCATATCGTCGTGCCTAAGTCCGTCTCAAAGCAGAGAGCAGATTTAGTTGCGGACGACGTTGTGCTGGCGAGCCATGCGGCGCGCAAGGCGGCGGCGGCGCTTCTCCTCGCAAGAAGGCTTGCCGGTGGGCTGGGCAGCGGCGGCAGAGGTGGCAGCCGGGGCAGAGGAGACGGCCTCAGCGGCAGCGGAGGTGGTGGCAGCCGCGGGAGCGGAGGTAACAGCAGCCGGGGCGGAGGAAGCGGCGGCGGCAGCGGAGGTGGTGGCGGCAGGGGCAGCAGAGGAAGCAGCGCCGGTAGAGCCACCGGAGGAAGAGCCGTCGGTGCTGCCGAACTTGGAGTCGAGCTCAGGGCCGGGGATGACGTAGGACTTGAGGGAGTTGTAGATGGAGATCAGGATGCCGGCGTCGGAGGCCTTGTAGAGGGCAGTGCCGAGGGTGCCGGCGGGGGCCTCAGAGCCGGAGCCGGTGATCTCGATGTTGAAGCACTGGGGGTAGTTCTGAGCGCCGTTCTCCTGGCCGGCGGAGTGCAGGGCGATGATCTCGTGGCGCCAGACGTACTTGCCGGGCTTGACGTCCTCGGGGATCTTGACAGTCCAGGTGTTGTTGTTGGCGATGAGCTCGTCGGTGGCCCACTCGCCGTTGTTGGCGGCGGAGGGGTCCTCGAGGCCCTTCTGGGCAACCTTGAAGAACTCGAGGGTGGCCTTGTCGACGGTCGCGCAGTCGTCACCGCAGGGGGCGAGGTAGTCGATGACGGGGCCCTTGTGAGACTCGGGCCAGGTGTTCCAGAAGAACTTGACGGTGGCGCCGGCGGCGGCGGTGGCGGTCAGGGCAGCGTTCTTGGCGCCCTTGTGGCAGATGATGTCGCCGGAGGCGTAGGAGGAGGGGTCGACGAAGCCGTTGTCGGTGTTGGTCGCGGACCATCCGTAGACCTCGGGGGGGCTGGCCATGTAGGGGTAGGATGTGACGTCGTAGCCCTGGAACTCCTTACCGTCGACGGTGAAGTAGTTGACGTGGCCGTGGCCGAGAACGGAGGCGGCGCCGGCGAGGGCGGAGACAACGGCGGAGGTCTTGAAGGAAGGCATTTTGATGGTTGTGTTTGGTTGGCTGGGGTTTCCAAAAGTTGGGATGGTTGATGTGGAGTGAGTGAGTGGAAAGACTTCAAGTCGAACAATGAACTTCAGTCAATGAAGTGAGTGAATGATTTTCAAAAATGAAAGAAAGGTGCTGTAAAAGCAGGGAAAGAGTGTGGGAATGGAAAGCAGCGGATGAGCCTGATGGGTGAGGAGGAGAGAGAGAGAAATGAAGGTTGAGGGCGACGAGACGGGAGACTTATATCTCGAGATGAGGAAGAGGGAACCACAGAAACCATAATCCACCGGCGCCAATACCTAGCGTCTGCCTGCCTACCCTCCCGGTTCGTAGGTCGTCGTCGTCGTCGTCGTCCGTGGGACCGGCCGCCTGCGTAAGCGTGGCTGCAGGACAATTTCGAGCGGGACCATCAGGAGACGGCGCCATCGCTCATCCCATGTCGACATACATGCTGGCAGGGCACCACCGCGGCCCCATCTTCGTCCATCAATGATCACGGAGGTTGGCTCCCCCCCCCCCAGGGGAGTGCCATGGCTTCCAAGGAGCCCCTGCGCAAATCCAGGTGGCCCAGCGGCGCAAGGCGGTGGGCAGAATGACAGGCACAGTTTTCTTCTCTCCGCAGTGTGCAGTGAGGAGCCATGGTGGTGATGCAGTGGGTTGGTGGAAAGAATGTCTCGAAGCGGGGTTCGTCGTTGAAAGCCAGGAGACGGGAACCCCTGCATTTCCAGAACGACAAGGAGGGAGAGGTGGTGGGGTTGGGATGAATGGAGCTGGGATCTGGGATCGTAGCTGCGGCCGAGACGAGGCCATCGCGGCTGGAAAGATGCCCATAGGCCACAGGGCGGGAAAACAAGCGGGGATACTGGCCATGCTGGGCAGCTATCGCGAGATCAAGCCGTTTCAGCGTAAATGAAAGGTGGTGACGACCTGGGTAGCATCCCGACGTGCAGGGTTTAGGTCGCAGTCCAGCCCGGTAGTGTAGGCACGCCGAGGAGATACCTACATACTAGCCGGGCCCAGCTTTAAGGCGGCCCAGAATGGTGAGATGCTACGCGGCAGGCGGACTTGTCGTTCGCTTCGACGGCGCACGGCAATGGCGCGGTGGTGGCTTGGAGTTGCAGCGTAAAAGGGGGGAGGTAAGGCGGAGGGAAAATCATAGTTGCAACGGTTATGGTGATCAGGCCCTCGATAATCTAGGCGACGACGGCCGGACTCAGAGACCGATGCACGGCAGGTTGAAGCGGACTGCACACTAAGAAAGACAGAGAGAGGCGGACTCAGGGCATGGCTTCCTGGATCAACAATAACAAACAACGGCCAAGCAAGCGGATGCCACTGTGAGCAGAAGAAATGAAGTGATGTTGGCGGCAAAGGGCTGGGCTGGGATGAGGAAGATGGATGCGATCAAGGATGACTGCAGTTTGGGCGGTTCATCTCAGCGCTTCAGCGGCCTCTCAGTCCATGTTTGCTTCTGTTTGAAGCTGCTGCTGCATGTCAGCATACGCCGCACTGCCATGGAAAACTCGTACAGGGCGGTGCCCGGTTTGGCAGCGGGATGACTGAGGATGAGACAATGACAGCGCGCGCGCCTGGATGCCTGCAGAGCGCAGCCTGACTGATGGATGACTGGAGGATTCACTGAGCCCTGCCAAGTTGGCCACCCGCCTGTGTGTGTGCCTGGTCTAGATGGTTCCAGTGAAGCCGATATCCGATTTGACTGGAGAACATTTACAGGATGCTGAGCGCGACTGGGTGACGAGTCCGAAAAGGCGGGCGGGTACATTGCCAATAAAAGGAAGCAAACCAGAAGAAGCAAACGCCGGGTGGAGAGACGCCACGTCTGCGGTTCGTGAGATGAACTGAGGGGACTGCTCCTCTGTCCGGATGAGGATGTGCTGACAGTGCTTTATTTTTTCATTTCCTTAGGGCTTTTCTGGGCCTTGTTTGCCCAGGCTGGAAGGATCATGGCAGCGCTTGGCGTTCATTCAATTCCCCCAAATCCAAGAGTGTCTGTTCTCGAAGCAGCGGATCTGGCCAAGAGGCTCGATGCGGAAGCCGTTGGTGCTGTGATGGAGAGCCAGAGCCAGAGCCCTGGCTGAGCAATACCGGTTGCCGTCTTGGCCTGATGGGTTCGACCATGGTTGAGGAGATTCAATGGAGACGCTGGTCACTTAGTAGGCTTCGACGAAGATGGAGTCGAAGGGGGGCGAACTCGTGGCATCGATGCCTCACTTGCTGTGCCGCAATGAAGATGCAGGTGTCCGTAGCACCTAGTACGTACGAGCTGCCAGGTTCGGGATGCTGATGCGGACGGTGGCCTCGCGCTATTGCTTAGCCTCGGAAGGGGAGCTGTAGGTTAATCTATCCGCAACTCTGTGTGGCAGCGGTCTCGATCGTTGCTGCACGGGGTTCAAGGGTTAAGCAGAGATTTGTGCGTGATTTGTGCCGCTCTCTGCAGAGAAAGTGGTGCTGGTGACGGTTCTCCTTCATCATGTCCAAAGTGTGGTTCAGGGGTAAAGCTGACGGGACCCATCCTTGGGGGCAGAAATTTTGGGGATCGCCCAGCAGCCGCAACTCTGTGTCTGCCCGGACCAACACCTTCTTTCCGCGTTGCCCTCTGCCCTGAATTCAGCTATGGAAGATTCATCGGGGGAACATCATCCCTGAACCCATGGATAATGGCCCCTGGCCTTCCCTGATGATGCCTGCCCTGTGGCCGTTCCTTTGGGTCGTCATGTCCGCTGTGGAGAGAGGCAGGGGAAGAACTGTTCAGGGGTATCCGTAAGGAAGAGTCCAAATGCAGGGGGACACCTCACCGACATGCCCACACATTGTCTCTCTCACCCCGATTCCAATGCGCTGAATGCTCTGAGAGAGGCAGAGAGCGCAGGTAAGCAGCCCCTGACCCAGATTTTGCACGCCCTGAAACCGACTCCTCCACCCTCGGGGACCCTCAACTCATCAACTCTTGGCAGCGAACACCTCCTGGGCCAATCTATCTCGCAATCTATTCCGCCTGCACGGCATCGCCATCTTTTTCCTTGCCTCTCTCAGGACGGCAATTGAAAGGCACAGCAGGCTGATGGAGGCTGGAGCAAATTTGCAATCCCTCCAGGTATGGTGCGGGAACCAGGGCTCCCAGCCGTGACCTCCCACATTGTCCCGAATTTTTTACCCTTTTAGGCCTTTTCTGGTGTTTTCCATGAGTCCACCACAGAGAATCCTTGAGAGAAGCTTACAAGGGGCGACGAGCACACAACATGATCTGTAGAGTGCCGTGAAATATACACAGGTACAGTACTGAGTACACAGGGGGAAAGCCTTGTTTACCGATGACGTTGCGGTCAGTCGAATCGGCTCCCACGTCGGGAGCCACTTACCGCATTCGAGACCCCTCGACGCGACTGGTGCTCTGTCGCATTTTCGTACCGCTTTCCGGCCTGTTCGTAACGTGAAGATGGGGATCCCTTTCTCGTGAACACACACACACAGACATCGTTGCCTTTCCAGAACCAGCTCACCAACTCGTTGCCGTACCACCGGAGCCGAACCACCGGACTCTTCCCGTCTTACGTCCCCAATTGAACCCGTCCCATAATTAATCTCATCCGTCATGCCGCCCAAGAAAGCTGCTGCCGCAACGCCGCTGGCCGAGGCCGACGCGAATCGCGTAACGGCGCCCAACAGTGTTGCTGATGCCGCAAAGGTACGCAACCGCGAATATCTCTTTGCATCTTATCTGCATCAATCAAATCGCCATCAGATCATTGTGAAATTTGCCATGTAGCCCAGCGGTTATGCAAGTCTGCAAGCCTCAGCGGCTAAGCAAGCCGTCTTACTCTTCCACCCAAAAATAAGACGCGTCTAGAACCCGCGACGCGCCCAGTGACATCATCGCACACCACAACTAGCATCGTGAACCACTCCCACAGCCAGCTCCCAAGTCCCGCAAGCGCAAGTCCGACGCAGTCGAGGCCTCCGATGATGCGCCTGCCCCTAAGAAGGCCACCACCACCAAGAAGAAGGACGACGATCCCCTCCCCGACCTCTCCGGCATCGCCCTCCCCGGCGACGACGACATCTCCGTCCCCATCTACGACAGCTGCCAGACGGTGCGCACCAAGATCAACGCGCACCTGCGCAAGCCGGGCGTCACCAAGGCGGCTTTCCTGCGCGCCTGCGTCAAGGCCGCCTACGGCGCCGACTCGGAGCACAAGATCGCGGGCAACCTGCTGACCAACTTCCTGGCCAAGAAGGGCCCCACGGCCGGCAACACGAGCAGCGTCTTCTACGCGGCGTACGTGTTCTTCGAGAAGCTGCGCATCCGTGACGGCAAGCCGAAGAACGAGACCCGTGAGGAGATGGAGGCGCGCTGGGGCCCGGAGGGGTTTGATAGGGAGCACGATTCTAGTCGCGGGTACTTCTGCGCGGCGGGCACGGCGCCGGTGGTGGATAAGTATGGGAGGGTGAGCATTGTGCCGACTGGCGACGGGCGCGGGCGGGCGAGGGGTGGGTGAATGTGAGAGGACTTATTTGTTTGTGTATGAATATGCTTTGCCGTTCAAGCTTGCTGTTTAGCTGTGTATTTTTATCTGGTTTAGACTTTTAGGTATGTATGAAAAGGTCACTCTACAGCAGTTTACTACTACCCAGTACCTGCTTTTCAGTTGACTAGTGATAGTGAGATGCTATACATGAAGGCTCTTTCCTCTCATATTACCGCCAACTTGTTTAGAGAATTGGGCTAGTAGAACATTGCTTCACTGTGTGTGCCCGTTCATATCCAAAAGGGTTTACAAGTTCTGTTGCAACATGTTTCTACGGGTCACGGCTTAGGCGCCGCAATTCTGAATTTGGACACAATCTATCTCAGGTGCAGCCATCGACAGACCAGAATCATGCCATCATCGCGCCAATTCGCATCTACAATTCTTTTTCGAATATCAAGACCTCTCATCCGAACTGTGGACACCCATCTTCCATGGATTCCTGCACGCATGCGGCCCAGCAACCCGGCCCCACGGCCCCCCTCCCCTCCCCACCAACACGATATGACTCGATCCCGGGATCCATTGCGATCTGGTTTTTCTTTCCCGGGATGGAGGAACACTCGGCTTCTGACCGCTATATCTGTGACGGAGGCCGGGGTGGACAAGCGAGGCCTATCGGCCATCGGCACGGGTTGTTGGTGCAGTGTGGTCGGCTTCCCCCGATCACTTCTGCGGTGTTCCTGTTCCTGTTCGCGTGCATGCGCTGCCCCTTGTTTACGTCGTCTGCCCGCTACATGACACAAAAGCTTGGCCTCCGCACCTGCCCCTTGACCCCACCGCCGATTTCTTGGTGATCGCGGGTGAAAATTACTTAGGACGTGCAGCGATTGCGTGTTCGGGATAGTTTGCACGAAAACAGCTAGATGCTTCTCGAGGTGCATGTCCGCGGAGAACGGCAGCGGGAAGCCGATTATATTGATTGAGAGGCGCCTGTCGGATTCAGGTGGTTGCGGTGATGTTTCAATGTAAGTGACTGGAGGAAACGGGAAACTCTCCCGCGTCCCCTGCGGTAAGCGCCCGGTCCTGCGGCGATAGATTGATTGCCTCCGGGGTGTTCTGTCTTTCGACGAATCGAGCGGGGAAACAATGTTTTTGGTCCGGTCTCATAACCTGTTCAACATTTCGAAGGCGTTGGCGTGTTGGTGACTTCATGTCGGAATACCGAGTGTGGATAAGCGGCATGATTTGATCAGTCGTGGTGCGTGTCTTAATCAATTCACGACAACCGCCGAATGGGCCAATTGGGCTCGGAAAATGCGGTGGCAGGGCCTTTTGGTTTTCGTAGCCAGCGCCGCTGGTTCCTCAAGAACGAGCCTGCGGACGTGAAGGTTTTTGGCTGCAGCCACAATGACAGACACGAGAAGAGCACAACGGCAACACGCATTGCATACCCGATGCACTCCGGAATCGCAGACCACAACGTTGAGCTAAGCTTTGCCCACGATATGCAATAACCTTCAATAAAGTGAGAAGCTTTCAGACTACTGGTTATGCATGATCAGAACGGTCCACGAAGGTTATTTCTTGGCGGGCCTTCTGCAAGTCAATATTCCACCATACTACTGCCTTCTAGTGATTGCGCAATGTCGGTCGAATAGGGGGATTGGGGGGCAAAGAAGGCCATAAGCTTATCGCGGCCGGCAAAGTCGGCATTACGGCCTCACGGAGCACTACCTGGCGGTAATTTCGGCAGCCGGAAGCCGGCAACAACGGTCCCGCCGAGGTGGCGGTCCAGAGTGGGCTGGGAGACGTAGTAATGCGAGTGAGCGCTTTGGACAAATGACAAAGATGGTTTGTGTGAGAACTTGATTAAGAGTAAGAGTCCGAGAAGCTCGGTATATTGCGAACGTAAGGACCCAAAGCGCATCTACTGCTGCTCCGACTTCTGCAAGTTGACCAGGTTCTGCGTGGCCGTCTGTGTCTTGTGGAACCGCCACGGCTTGATTTTCCGCTCGAATAACTCGTCTAACTCAGCGGCAGAACGTCTATACACACCAGCATCAGTATGTTGATTTTGCAACTTCAGCAGTCGCTTGTAAGGTCAAACTTACCCAGCGGTGTCCGGGATGAGCAGCCACATGCCGATGGTGAAGGGCAGCCCAACCCCGGCGTAGAACCAGCCCGTCTTGTATCCCCAGTTCCACTTGTTAGCGTTGACCATGTACGGGACCAACACGTTCATCACGATGCCGATGACGCAGCTGCAGGCGGCGCCGAAGCCGGCCGTGTACGGGCGGAGTCGCTGGGACGAGATCTCGCCGATGAAGCCCCACCCGGCCGCGCCGCTGGCCGTCATGCCGATGTCTGCCGGGTGGGGTCCAGTGTTAGTATCGGAAGATCTCGCATCAGATATTAACAATGAACACGGTGATCACTTACTCCAGAAGCAAGCGAACAGCACAAAAACATACGTCGTCGCGTTAGTCTCCCTGACGACACCCATGATGCCAATGACCACGCACGACATCCAGCAAACCGTAATGCCCCCACAGCCGATCCACCGCCTCCCCAGACGATCAGCCGAGAAGATTGTGACGATAATAGTGACAATGTTGATTGACGACGTGATTGCTTTGATTAGGAATGGATCCTGTAGCCCGGCCTGCTGGAAAAAGTACGTGCCAAATGTCGCAAAGAGGGTCAGTCCGATGAACTGCTGTGACATGTTAGTCCATAACGAGACCAGCGTTCTGATGCCGTCAGTGCCCCGGAAGATCGCATGCCACTTCTCCCTCCTTTGAGCAGCCGCCACGGCGCGTTCGTGCTCGAGTGTCATGAGGAGGGCTTGATACTGCTGTTCGAGATTGAAGTTTTGAACGCCGCGGTTCAACCAGACGAGGCACTTCTTTGCGCGCTCCTCGTGGCCGCTCGTAACGCACCATGCAGGCGACTCAGGAAGAAACACGAAAATGAGCAGCATGAGCCCAATCTGCGCCCACTGCGTGTAAATCGGCTTCAGATAGTTATACGCGTCCGCCTTATTCAAACTCTGCAGCGCTACATGCGCGCAGAACGTGCCGACGGTCCACCAGAAGGAGTAACACATCAATAACCCGCCCCTAATCCGGACGGGCGCGACCTCGGCGATGTAGATGGGCAGCGTCGACTGCAGACACCCGACACCTATGCCCGCGAGCAGCTTGCCGACGAGCCAGACGGGCCAGCTGCGCGCGAGGCTCTCGGCGAGGACGCTGCTTGCGAGGACGAGCCAGAGGGTGTACATGGCGGCTTTGCGGCCGAGGCGGGAAGATACGAAGGGGATCGTGGTCATGCCGATGACCTGGCCGACGGACATGATGGAGCTCCAGCCAGAGAGGATCGGGGCGTCGAGGTAGGGTTTGCCGGTGGGGTCGGTTAGGGTGGCGAATTGGCGGACGAAGCCTTTGTTGGCGACTATGCCAGCGTTCATGCTGATTGTAGGATGGATGTCAGCGGGTTGAAGATGTTGGTGTGTGGTGGTTGGAAGGGGAGGGGACTTGCCCGATTTGATAGCCGTCCGTGGCTGCGCTGAAGGCCGCGGCGAAGCATGAGATGGTTGCGACTTTGAAGAGTTTCGCAGTCTCCCAGATGGATAGCAACTCGTAGCCGGAGACGGTTTGGCCTCGGAGGGCGGCGTCGACGGCAGCATCTCCCTTCTTGAAGCCGTTATCCGTTGGGTCTTCGATGTAGTCCACCGCATCTGTCGGTTTCTCCGTGTTCGGGTGGGAGGACGTCATGTTGAACGACAAAATTTCAAGAAGTACCTGGAGCTGCGCTATGGAATCGTCCGAATTCTGTGGTAGCTGACTTGGTGGTATTTATGTCTATCTTGTACGATGCTCGTCGGCCTGCCTTAGTGCGAAACCGCCGAAATGCGCCGAGGAGGCGTTTGTCTGGGCCACCGTAGAATTTCATTCTGATCAGCCGTTCCGGCTTGTTGGTACCAAATCGTCCGACATTTGGCTGTTTACGAGAGAGCCTCGCTGTCGGTCCCGTGGCCACTATCCCCGGATTCTTTCCAACCCCGAGGCTATATCATGGACGATCTGGGGGTGGGGACCCCGCAAGCGACCAGAGTATGGGGAACACATGGGCTGTTGGCTAGACTCTATCAAGAGGAATGTGCCAGCCAAAAGGATTTCGTTATTGCGGGGTCTGTCAACAATCATGCTCGGCTTCTACTTGTTGGCAAGGGGGCAGTCCCTACATCGGTTAACAAAGCACCACACACAGATACTCCACTTGCCGGAAGGAACGTACGCCTCTCGCGTACGCCGTATCCCGTACACAGACGCTTCTCATTGGCCCTCGGCCTCGACTCAGACCCCGAACGTTCGTGATACAACTAACAAGCTACTTATATGTGATGACGGTGGAACTTTCCTTACAGAATTAGTTTGGGAAAGTAAATGATAGCTTCTTATGGTGGGCATGGAAGTCTGGTGTGCCGGAAAGCTCCTTTCGGCAGAAATTTGACCGAAGCCTCGTAAGCGATGCGAGGAAGCGGCGAAAAGAAAAAGATAAAAACCAAAAACAATAGAGACGCTAAAGAACGACTTGTACCGTAGGTTGCCCTGGAGGCAGGCTAGGTATGGTTTGATGGTAGATCACAATACTCTCCTGTGAGACCGTTCTAAACTGTCACGCCAGAAGATGCATAGTGAGCAACACAAAGTGACGAAGGGGCAGGCCAGGAAGTGAAAAATATCAGTATCGTGATTCTGGAACAGGGTAAATCAATAGGAGAGTCACATATGACTGGTATAATGAAGTGTATTGATGAATGCGCATGTATTTACAAGATTCCACCTATGATATGAGATTGGAAGAGTCATCCCCGATCGAAGAATCGCTCAAACCGATTTCATGTTCCATTTGCAGGCTGATTGTATTCCTCACCATCAATGGTCGTAGTCAAAGTGCCGTTAGCGTTGAAGACATTGAGCTCCGCATCAATGATCAAATGAAAGCCGCCCGGCCCCGTCTTCTTGGTCGCATTCACAACACCTGTCTGGACAATATCAGATACCCAGTCCACTTGGTTAGTCCAAAAGTTCGGCAGCAAAATCTTGACCGTCACATCCTCGTGTCCGTTCAAGATGTGATCACCGTCGTCTGAGTAGTTCGTGTAGTTGACCGACACGCTGCCCAAGCCACTCACGCTATTCGCATCGGGGGTGATGCTCACATCAGCAACGCCGGAGACTTTGCCTTTGAGGGTGTAGTTGCCAGGGGGCACTGTGAACTGTGCTGGAACAGTTGAGCCTGGTGGGAAAGGGGTGGCCCAAGGAATCTCGTCGGGAACCTTGTACACCGGCGCAGGCGTGGTGGCTTCGCGACCGGTGCGGTGGGCAAGCATGATGCGGTACTCTCGTCCGCCCTGGGCAGTGGACTCGGGGCAGGGCAGGGGGTTCTCCCCGCCACATGAGGGGGAAACGACGAGGGCCTGCCAGTAGACGATCTTGGTGCCATCCAGGGAGAAAGCTGGGTCAGCTCTGCCGTTCCAGTTGGGATCGTTGATGGCGCCATTGCTGCCGTCACCTGCAGCATTGACCTGCTGACCGTAATAATCCCCGCGATCGCCGTAGCGGTCGATCAGAATGGGCTGGAAGAAGCGGCGTGGGCCGTTGTTGCGCGTGGACGATGCAACCGTCACGGCGACGAGGTCGATGAGGGGAGGAACGCCGCGCATGCCCGACATCCACATCTGGCGATCGGAGCCGCGGGTGTCCATGGCGATGAACCAGTCGTTGTCGGCTGAGAAGGCCATGGGATCGGCGTACTCGGGGTGGCTGGTCAATCTTCGGACAGCGCCCGTCTCGAGGTGCACCGCAAAAAGGTCGATGTTTGTCGACTCGCGCGGGTTAGCGATGTAAGTGATCTCCTCGCCGTTGCCGCTGAATCCACGGAGCTCGCCGACGTTGATGGAGTCATCATGGATAGTCAGCTCGGTTCCGTTTACAGTGTAAGGTTCGAAGCGAGTTGGGTCGACGAGGAGGTTCACGTCTACCAGGTCGTAGCGTGGAGCCAGAGGTTCGCCGACAGTTGGTGCGGCGTTGAATTCGAGGCGGCCAAAGTAGGCGAACTGTCCGCCGTCATTGGTGAAGGAGCTCCAGCCCATGTGGACATCGTCCGGATGCAGACGGAGTTCGCGTGGGCTCCCACCCTTGCCTGACCCATCGGCCGCGGTGTTCCAGTGAATCGGGTAAATATGGGTGTTGTTAGGGGTGCAAGTGTTGCTTTGAAGGAGCTCACCCCGGCAGTCGAGAATGTTGTGACCCCAGAGAGCCTTGGTACCGCTACGAAAGACATGAGGATAGTCTCGTTGGGCGTCCAGAGAGATGGTGTTGGCTGCAGGTACACCGCAACTGATGCACTTCCAGGGGTCGCCGTTGGTGAAATTTGTGCCGTCGGCCTTGATGAGGATGAGCTGCTCGCCGGTATAAATGCTTCCAGCTGCAGCCCCGACAAACTCCACGTTGGCGATGATATGATCGCCATCAGGAGTGAAATCGCCAGCTTGGAATTCGCCTACTGCCTTGGCAATGCAGCCGGTGCCATGAGGATTGATGTTGGTTGTGCAGGCACCTTCATCCGCGCTAGGTGCAACTGGTGGCAGAGGAAGTTCCAAGATCTGGAATGCTTCGGGTGCAGGAGGCGATGGAATGGACTGCGCACCGACAAGACAGGCGCTCAATCCCACGACCAGATGTGTCGACAACATGATGGAGTGAGATAACTGCGACCGCGAGCTTTGTGGTGGACTGGACTGAGCGTGTCGGAGCCAGATATCTAGATTCTGCCAACGAACTGTTCTCCTCATACTTATAGGAAGCTAATACTAGTCCTGTTGAAGGTTTTCCTCCATCCGTATTGAAGATCAACATCGGGCCCGTCGGAGGCCCCGTATGTGCCGAGGAAAACTGGGGTTACGGTATACGTACGATATACGGGAATACGGTAGATTGAGATCAAGATCTGGCGAAATGAAATGCGGGGAAGTGTAACCTCCTAAGAGATTGCTTTGACTTTTGGTGCTATGAATGAGGTCAAACTGAATCCGAAAGAAACAAAATGTCTCTTTTTGGCGCAAGACGAGGTATGTTGGTGTAGGAACAAACAGTGGCCTTTCTCGGCTTGGGTCGGTAGGTATGCAGCTAGCAACAACCGAGTGCAGCCTTCACGAATACCCCACCAGTAAAAGAGGATAATGACAATAATGCTGCATAGCTGGGTCCAAGGACAAGAGGGAGGACATATTGCTTAGGCAAACGTCCGGGTCTACTACCATGCTGGTGGATCGGCTGTGTCTGGGCTCCATGCCCGGACCTGAACACCAAAATGTCGGGAGTGTGGAAGGAAAGTATACAATACTTCTGGTTAAAGACGGATGAGAACATGCTGTAGAATGGTCTAAAATACATGTAGGCAAAGATAAGGAGCGGCTGTTCAAGGGTACAACTCCCCATTATCTTCAGGCATCTGATTCCTCATCGGAACTACCTTCGCCCGTGTTCTGGGCACTGCTTTCCTCCTCCCCCTCATCAGTAACAACTGCCGTAGTCTTGCTAGCTGCCTTCTCCAGTCTCATAGCGTGCACCCATTCCTCGGCGCAAGAAACAGCGACTTCCGGCTGCCTCTTGTGCTTGATCAAATACCCCTGGACCTCAGCCGGACTGAACTCGCCCGAAGGTATCTTGGCAGCAAACTGCTCTGAGAGCTCCTGAATCCTAGCCGAAGCTTCCCGAGGTTTTCGTTCGCCATGAATCAACCGTTCCTCCTTGGCTGTCTTGTCCAATGATGCGAAAACAGTTCTGAAGATTGCTGCCGTAATCTGGGTATCTGCGGAGGTGAAGTGAACAGTCATGTCTACGCGGCCGGGTCTGATAAGCGCTTTATCTAAATTCTCGACGTGATTGGTGGACATGATCAGGATACGACCTTCCTGACTGGCAACACCGTCCAGTAAGTTCAGCAGTCCGGACAAGGACAGTTTTCCTTTCCCAGAAGACTTGCGCCCGCTCTTCTCGGCAGCAGGGTCTCTAGTTGAAGTGAGACCGGCGGCGTCGATGTCCTCAAAGAGAACGATGCAGACCTGAGGGAGCTGCGTAAACAGCGACGCCAAGTTCTCTTCAGATGCGTTTGACGAGCTTAGGCTGACTGTGTATATACGCAACTTGAAATGGCCCGCAAGAGCAAATGATAATGACGACTTGCCGGTGCCTGGGGGACCAGCAAATAGGTATCCTCGCCTCCATGGGATGCCACAGTCTGTGTACCACATCCGAGTCTCGGGCGACAAATAGTCCGTGATGTCGTCGATGATGGACTCCTTTAGACCGGGTCGAGTGACAATTGTCGAAAAATGTCTTGGCTCTCTTGCCATGCATCGCTGCCACGTGGGTTCCGACCGTGGCTGCAGGTTTGCGCGGTAGATCATGGTCTTGTTATCGTCCATCCTAAGATACTCCTTGTGGGCTTCGTCAAGCAGATCTTTCAGGATGGCCGGACTGTATCCAAAACACCAGAGACTAATCTCCTCGCGTTTCATATTCGAGAGGGAATTCGGTTGCTGGTTGTCCTTGTCTCTTCTGAAGAAAATGGGCCGGCCTTTGTACCAGAACAGATGCGCGCCAAAGCTTGGCGTGTATGCCAGTGGCTTTGGCTGGAATTTGTCGTTCCGTGCCGATAAACCACTATCCTCAAGGTCGTCTCTCCACGCCCATGGAGACCATACTGTTGAGTTGAGGTCCATATTGACAATGAAATGCCTCGAGTTGGACCCGAACGGCTGGCCAGCGACCCACGACATGATGACATTCTTTCGTCATAGTCAGCGACTTGTACATTGTGAACAAAGAATGAGTAGGGATGTACTGACATAAATCTCGTCATCTGGCCGAATTTCTGCAGTAGACATGAAGCAAGTTTTCATGATACTGCGGACGTGTTCACCGACGTACGCCCAAGCAAACCCGGTCATTCCCAGAATAAGAATGAAAGGAACATACGAGGACAAGTCTAAACCCAAGTGCCGCCTGAAAAGCTTCACGGTGATGCTATAACCGGGGAAAAGGGAGTCCATGCCCGATGGTTGGCTTTCCATGTCTCTGAACGTCCTAGGATCAGGAAAGCAGCTGCCTTCCGTGTCAAAGGACCAAGGTACCTCTTCCATGATGTAGCGTTTCAGTCAGCTTGAAGTGGTTATCAGGCAGCAAAGATGCCAAAAAGCCTTGAGCTGACGGCTGTGAGAGTTTGAAGTGAGGGTTTTATCAAAGGTTTTATCAAAGCTGAAATAGACGGCTTATGAAGTGTCTTGAAGTGCGGCTGACTGCTTAGGTAACCTGGGAAATGTCCCACAATCATCATCACGCCTGGCCATTTGGACCAGTGATAGCTGCAGGCCGATGTAACTTGTCAGCGGCATTAATGCTCGGTCTCTTATTGGTGAAATGCTAGTAATTCTGGGAGGACATGAAGTTCGACGAATCAGCATGAAAAATGAAAGTACATCGAGAAATTCCGTGCGTTACAGCACGCTAATTCACCGAAATCGCCTTGGTCAGAACCAGGCAGCAGTATCCACTCGTCTCGCATTTAGAGGAGCTCACGAGGCCCAGAACTTGACTTCCAAACTCTGTAGAGGCTGAGTCCTATTCTGCCTAGTTGTTGACTCACAACATGATGATTTGCACCCTAGTGCAGCCGCACGGATACATTCGGGGTGGTGTATATGGTGCCTATCAGAATGACCCGTTTCAACGCGGGCTGGAAATAGCGGCCGCGACCCACCGTTGGGTCCGTATCCGGATCGGGACTAAGAAGCGGAGAAGCGGCGCGCTCGGACACCGATACCGCGGAGAGTCGCAATTCATTGATAGACCTTTTCGGCCATTCTGGTAGCAAGATATCTGTTGAAGTGAATGTAACTATCGAGCTAATGTAACATTCATGAATCATGAGATGTTCTCTCTGCGTCTTCGGAAAGTATCTCTCAAGTATAACGCCGACTTTTTCGGTGTTCGCTGAAGTGTGTTGAAATCCGTGTGTACGATGCCAAAGCGTGGACCGAATCCAGCAGACCATTCTGAAAGTAATATCAGCCAAAATTCACTACCCCCAAGGACTATTGGAACGTCACAAGGAGGGAAACTTACCAAAATTGTCCATCAAAGTCCACGCATAATACCCCTCCACGCGCACTCCGTCTTCGTAGATCGCGCGTGAGATGGCGTCGAGATAAAGTCCGAAATAACGTTGGCGAAAGTTATCCTCAACCGCAACAGCAACGTCATCCTCCCCCGGACAAGGGCATCCGTTCTCAGTGATAATAACAGGGAGCCGGTAACGATCCCAGACCCAGTTGAGCAGCTTACGGAAGCCTTCGGGTGCGAGACGCAACCACTGTACACCAGAAACCGGTCCTATTTCTACGCCCTGAGCATTCACTGAAGACTCTTCGATGTTTCCGGTCCAGTCATCATCGGCTGGAGGAGTGGATAGGGCGCGAGCGTACTTGGTTGAGTAGTGGTTCATGCCGTAGAACGCGTTGATAGAAGCTGTCTCCCGGAGGAGATCTTGTTCTTCGGGCGTGAATTGGGGCAGTCGATCGCCAAGATACTGCCTCATGGAGTCTGGATAATCCTGGCCGAGGAACACTGGATCTCCAAACCAGCCAATGTAGAATTCCATCCGATGTTGCGCCGCGTCTCTATGAACCTGACTCTCGGCGTCGAATGGCTCATAAAAATGCCCGTTCAGCACGATGGATATGATTCCCTTTTGGTCAGACTGGAACTCTTTGGCATAAATCTGAACGACTGAGGCATGGGATATGATAATGGTATGCCCGACTCTCCACGGCTCAGTCTTAGTATCAGCGCCAGTCGCTGCACACCGACCAGGTGCAAGAACACCGTTGTGGTGGGCGAAGATCGAGATGATGTACGGCTCGTTAAACGTAACCCATTTCTTCACCCTGTCGCCAAAGCGAGCGAAGCAGAGGCGCGCATAATTCTCAAAATCAGCCTTGAATTCGGCCGTGTCGAGGAAGCCTCCATAACAATCATAGAGCTCCTGGGGTAGATCCCAGTGATATAGAGTAACCACTGGCTCAATGTTATGGGCCAGAAGTTTGTCGATGAGGTTGTTGTAGAAAGCAATGCCCTTCTCGTTGACGGCGTCATTCCGACCTCCGGATGGTATTATGCGGGTCCAGGCCAGGGAAAAGCGGTAAACGTCCACACCAAGAGCTGCCATAAGAGCCACATCCTCATCTACACGGTTGTAATGATCGCAGGCAACGTCGGCGTTCTGGCCATTGGTTCGCGATGGCTCCAGATGAGTGTAGGTATCCCAGATGGATTTACCCTTGCCGTCCTGTTTAACAGCGCCCTCGACTTGGAAGGCTGCGGTGGCAGTCCCCCAGGTGAATTCGGCAGGCAAGCGAAGCTCTTCGACGGGCAGGTCGTGACCAGTGGTTTGACTATAGGCAACCAGATCGCCGGCCTGGAACATGGCGGCTTCGTTCGCCATCTTGGCCAATTCGATCAACCAACTTGTGAAAATAAATTACACTTTGATGTCCGCAGCGAACTGAAACTTGTCATATGAAAGATATTTTGCTACAAGCCATGCAGTGAATTTCAACCTGGATCACCAAGTGAAGCGGCGTTCAACGTCACTCGCGTCTATTCGGCCCCGACGCTGACCCGAATTATTCTAAGAAACAACCATGACCAGTTTCTTCTTTCCCTTTTACTTCCAAAACAGCATGAATCGGCGCGCGTTAGTCGTTGGGGCGACTTGGCAATTTTGATCACCCCGTTCTGTGTTCCTCAAGGAGTGGCCCCGCATCAATACGATGTACGTACGAATACGGGTGGATACACCTCCTCGGTATTAGTGTGGCCACCAACCCCTCGTTGTCACCTCTCCGTGTCGGATGGCCAGCCCTTCGTATTGACACAAGTTCCTGGACGCAGGTCGCTCCAAGCTATCCCGAAGGGCTTGAGCGGTATTGCGAAGGGGATATTCACACGGGGATCAATGGTGAGGTCAAGAAGGCGACCTTTGTTAGTAGATACCGACATTTACATACTATACTCCAAGGCATATTGTGCGCATCGGCATAATCTGAACATCCTTCAAGCATCATCGTTATATCTTATCTCGTCCTGCCTCTCATTATGGCTATGGTAACCGATGCTCAGTTTGAACACTATCACGCACCGAATAACATTGGGGTTCAAGAGACAACTCCCCGTATCTCTTGGAAGATTCAGAATGCAGCGTCTGATTTCACCCAGCGATCATACGAAGTCGAGCTGTCAGAACATGTAGCGACTATCCAGACACCTCGAGTGACGACAGTCAAAATCGTCTCGGCTCAGCGCTTCCTTGTCCCTTGGCCCTTTTCGAAGCCGTTGCAGTCTCGACAAAAGGTCTCTGTCCGCGTCAGAATCTGGGACCAGGAAGGGAATTGTACCGACTGGAGTGAAGCATGTCATCTTGAAGTTGGTCTCCTCGACCGCGCAGACTGGCACTGCGAGCGTATTGCTGCACCTTGGGGCCCTGGGACGTCCGCGCCGGATCCCGAACAACTGTTCCGCAAAGAGTTCGCTATTGAAGGGCGCGTAGCTCAAGCTCGCCTGTACATCACTGCTCAAGGAGTTTACGAAGCAGAGATCAATGGCCGGAGAGTCGGTGATTATTTCATGGCTCCTGGTTGGACCTCATACGACGGAAGACTGCAATATCAGACCTACGATGTCACTAATCTACTGAACGTCAGTAGTTCAGAAAACTGCATGGGGGTCAGAGTTGCAGAAGGGTGGTTTTCTGGCAGGATTGGCTTCGAGGGTGGGCATCGCAACATCTGGGGCCCTCATACAGCACTCGTTTCGCAGCTCGAGATCACATTTTCTGATGGTCGCGTTGAGTACATCGGCACCGATGGCTCCTGGCGTGTCACTAGGGGCCCCATTAGGCTTGCTGAGATATACGATGGGGAGAAATATGATGCGGCTTTGGAGATCGAGAAATGGTCCGACCCGATAACTACTACAGACTTCGATATGTCCCGCTGGGAGCCTGTTCTTGTGTTGCCATTCTTACCCGGGTCGACCAAATTGGTCGCTGGATTTGGCGAGCCCGTCAGAAGAGTTGAGGTTATCAAGCCTGTGGATCAAATCACCACACCTACGGGGAAAACCATTGTCGATTTTGGCCAGAATCTAGTTGGCTATCTTAAGTTGACGAACATCAGCGGCTCGCGAGGCCATATCATCAAGCTCTCGCATTCTGAAGTTCTGGAGCACGGAGAACTTGGAACTCGTCCATTGAGGATCTGCAAAGCTGTCGACGAGTATATCCTCAAGGGCAGCGCTGAGGTGGAACAGTATGAGCCGCGGTTCACCTTTCACGGTTTCAGATATGCCCAAATCGATGATTGGACCGGCGATCACGATGTCATGACCTCTGTCGAGGCAGTTGTGTGCCATACCGATATGAAATCTGTTGGGTTGTTCTCGTGTTCCGATGACATGCTCAACAAGCTATATGAGAACATTACCTGGGGCATGCGCGGAAACTTCCTTTCAGTACCAACTGATTGTCCACAGCGCGATGAGCGGCTCGGCTGGTCTGGCGATCTGGCCTTGTTTGCGCCCACTGCCTCTCTCATTTACGACTGTTTTGGCATGTTGAAGAATTGGCTCATCGACGTCGAGTATGACCAAGGTGTCCTTGGCGGTGTTCCTCCAATGGTGAGCCCTAATGCAACATTGCCGGATCCGATTTGGTGCAGGAGAGTTCCGTGTGCGATATGGCACGACGTGACTATCCTCGGTCCATGGGCACTGTACCAGGAGACTGGCGATGAGACCATCTTGGCACAGCAGTACAACAGTATGTTGACCTGGATGAGGGTGTTGCCCAGAAACAAGTCCGGAGCGACTCACCTGTGGGATACTTCCGTGTTCCAACTTGGGGTATGTTCCCTTCAACGCCAGACTTATGACAGCTTGAATCGAAGACTGACCACTTCGCTTAGGATTGGCTTGATCCAGCGGCACCTCCCGATGCACCTTGGAAATCGCCCACTGATGCCAAGATGGTTGCCAACATGTTCTTGATCCAAAGCCTGAATCTCATGGCCCGAATTTCCGCAATCTTGGGACGCAAAGACAAACAAGCCGATTTTGAGAAAGAAGCCGACGCCGCGAAGACAGAGTTCCATCTAGAGTACGTTACCCAGAATGGCCGCATCGTATCAGATACGCAAGCAGCATACGCTCTGGCAATTTGCCTTGACATTCTCAACCCCCACCAACGAACCACGGCCGGAGCGAGACTTGTTGAACTTGTAAGGAAGAACAACTTCAAGATTGCAACTGGCTTCGCGGGGACCCCATATCTCTGTGAAGCCCTATTTTCTACAGGCCATACCCAGGTCGCATACAGCATGCTGTTGGAGAAGGGATGCCCTTCTTGGCTTTATCCTATCACCATGGGTGCAACAACCGTTTGGGAGAGATGGGATTCCATGTTGCCCGACGGGAGCATTAACCCCGGCGAGATGACATCCTTCAATCACTACGCCTTTGGGGCCATCGCGAAGTTCCTCTATGAGAGGGTGGCGGGACTCCAAAGGCTTGAACCGGGCTGGACTCGCTGTCGGGTGGCGCCGGTGCTCGGGGCCGAATTCACCCATGCATCTGCTGCCCATCTAAGTCGTCACGGTACCGTTTCTTGCTCATGGCGTACTTTGAAAGGAAACGATGAGACAGAGACGCTACAGCTAGAGGTTTCAGTTCCATACGGTGTCACGGTTGAAGTGGTCCTTCCGGGAATAGAAGAGGATAAAACTGAGGTCGTCGGAGCCGGTGAGTGGAACTTTCGGGTTACGGTCAAAAGAGATTACGAATGGCCCGTTCTGCCTCTGAAGCCCAAGTCATAGCGGATATCATCGTTAAGAGAAACGCATAATACCGTAGTTGTGTCCTGGACGTTGAGATAAAGGGTAGCAGCATAATTCAGCACCAGCTCTCGGGCTATCCAAAATCTGGCCTTTCGATTAAACCATGATAGCTTCCGTTAAGGGGTATCATCTCGTCACCTGCCCGCCCCGTTTTGGAGCACCTACAGGACTCCTTCGCATGAATATTGCATTTTAACCTGCTGGAAACTGCCGAGGTCTGAAGCTTCCTTGGCGTCCAAGCAGTTTGGCGAACAGGCTTCAAGGGCATAAATGCTGAAAGTTCTGTTGGCCCCTTATAGTAGGTAACTCGTGATTTCGCCTGAGCGCATGCACGTCTCCCCAACGTCTCATTTATGCAAGCTTGATATCAGAGACCAAGTCATTGACAGAGAAGAATCTGGGAATGCTTTGGTCAACGATAGGCTCGTTTGATGTCGGAGGGAAAACCAAACGTCAGAAAACGTGGCACTTTGGACAAACGTAAGACTTTGAAAGAGCTCTTAGGTTGGCGTTTTGATGATTACGGTTCGGATTGAATTGACTTTTTCATGCGGATGCGCACCCTCACTTTGTCACTGACAGGTCTGGTGTTCACTAGGACCAAAGCCAAAACTTTCCTGAGAGATAATCCTCTGAATGATATGCGCTCTTACCAAGATAGTCTTGCCACAACCTCAGATGACATTTAGACATGATCTCTGTGGAGGAGCAAGTATGGAGCTCAAAGTCTCTGATGGCGAAGCACTCGGCATCGCTGATATTCATTTAGGGTCGCCTGATAGCATAGACGATTGTATTTGAAATGTTCGCATTGAAATGTGCTGAGAGAGCGCTGCTCTCGGGATATCAACTACAGAGTCCTCGGAAAACAAAGACAACGTAGACCATCCAAAATCTGTTGTTGCTGGTATCGTGTGTATGTGTGGAAGAGCAAGACCCCGGCTCGCTCTCGTCGCGTAAGTTTTGATACCCCTTTCCCAAAATCCCAGTAAATCATAGTGCGCCCCGTGAAAGAAAAGAAAAACATAAGAAACCGGAATCAAGAGACCTGTCCGTGCGGATCCCTTTGGTCCACTTCTTCGTCTTGATCTGGGCTTTCTGTCCTGTTTGCACCAGGTTTAACCTTTCGATATTTCCATTTGCTAATTGCCCGCCTCGGACTCATCGCCTTCTTGAACTTCGTCCAAGTTCCCTCTCGCTTCGGTCCTGGAGGTAGCTCGTACTCCCCGTCTTCAAATGGGTTCTCATCCCGGAAGGGATCTCCTTCGGGGGACTCGTTCAGTTGTCTGAAATCCTCGCTGAAGGGATTGCTGTCGGAATACGAGTAGTCGTCATCGTCAAAAGGGCTCGCCGTGCGTCGGCGGAAGGTGGGGCTGCGAAGGGACGGCGTTGCCGACCGCGGAAGCCAGGAAAACCTGCGTTGGGCATCGGGGACGGGAGGTGTGGGTTCTGGTATGATTGTCGTAGTCATCGCGGTGTTGATGGTGTGTCTCCTGGTGTTGGGCGGCTAAGACGGCGAAAGAGTCAGCCTGAGCGCGCAGGAAATGGGTCAGACATTGCTCACAGTCGCGCACATCTGTGCCTCTGAAAAGGCAGTGCTTTTCTCGTCGATATCCATGGCTGATCCCCTCGTCTTTTCGTCCGGGTCGCAGAGGTAACCGTCCAGCATTTCAGCCTTTCGCAGAGAGGGAGCTTCGTTGTTGCGCTCGGCGACGCGTCTTCACAATCAGAGTGACCGTTTCCGTTCTTTTCTCAGTGCGCCTGGCACGTTTGGATCGTTTTTTCGCCTCTTATGTCACAGTCGCTCGGCCTTGGTGGAACGAAAGCTGGGGGCGGGGGATCAGGGGCGCGAGCGGGTACGACCAGCCACATATATGTATGCCCGACAAGACGGTTGTTTCACGGATTGACGAGTCATTGATCTCATGTAGGCCTGGCTTCCTGGTTTGTGTGGCATTTTCATTCGATGTCAGGTGCTTTAAACAGCATATTTGATGGGTCTGCATCGCCTTTCTTTCCAAGGGATAGAGAGAGGGGTAAAGCCTGGCCCAACCGCTCGTTTCCCCTCACATCAGACATGAGACGCAAAAAAGGGTGGTTGATGCACATTGGAACGGGACTGGGCCTTCTCGATCGTGGACCCGTTGTCTCTCGTTCCATGCATTGCATGTGTGGTTGGTGGGAGATGGTTCTCGAAGGGTTCAACATCGTAGGAAAATCCATGTTGAAGGCGGTGTTGGCAACGGACGGTGGGCGCGGAAGAGATCCATTTCAGCCGTTGCATCCGGGATGGCCCCCATCGGGACCGGAGGCGATCAGTCAGTCCAAGCGGGGCCGCCCACCCCGACACACATGGGGAACCTGTCCAGAAAGCTTCTGGTGGCGGGCATCTGTCGATCCGTATGCGCTGGCAGATGTGGCTCCCGCGTTCGCCTACGTCTTTGCAACTGGGGGAACTGGGACCATCGTGGCATTTGATTCTGGTTCTTCCAGTCTGTCTTTCAAATCCTGTCCCAGGCCCCGTGTTCGCATGAACAACTCTAAACCGGCCCTGCATGTTATCGAAGATGCACAGCCACGTTTTGACCGAAACTCAAGCTCGGATTCCGTCCCTCCATTACGAAACTGACGTCTCTGGAGGATTCGAGTATCCAGAAGAGGAAACATGCCTCGACATAAGCATCATGCAAGGCGGGTATGTTTGCGATAAGGTCGATCGATCATGCATAGAACGGTAAAGACAGGCGTGTCCACCTGCATCTGCCCTATGACTCTAGATGGCAAATCAACTGTCGAATTATGTAGCAACCCCGGCTCTTCCGATCTTGCAGCGCTGTCTGTGCGCTGACTTATCCCACTTCAATAAGCGGTGGCGAGTGATCACGGGCCTGTTTTTGTACGTGCGGATTCACCACTCAACAACAAACTAGTGGATTTTAGCATGTCGCTTGACTGATCGCTTGCTTTTTGGCATCCATTATGCCCATCTCACAGTCCACTGACCGAGCAACAGCAGGGACATGCAAAAAATTCGACGACGCTCCCCGGTCGTTCCGGAAATTAGCGGCGATCATGGGTCAGCCTCATCCAGGACCCCTTTTTTGTTAAAAGAAAAAAGGCTGCCGAACCCTGGAACCCACCATCATCGAAGCCCTCCTTTCTGCCTTTAGTGATATTCTTCCACACCAACTATCCGATTTCAGAAAGCATGGTTTGCTGAACGACGCGTCCTGGTTCGACGATATCGCAACATCTTCTTTTTCTTGACTTTTCGAACAAGATCTGGGCCGGGACCTGAAACTTCGGACCAACAGACAACATGCGATTTTGGAAACAGACAGTGGAGGAGAGTTCGGAGCAGAAGGCATCGCAGGGGAATGCTGTCGAGGAAGGTGGAGGACGCGTGGGCGATGTCGAGACCGCCATTGAGGGTCGGCCAAACAGCCACCACGAGAAACAACCCACCCTGCGATTCACGGCTCATCAGGCGTTCTACATTTTTGGGCTTGACGGCGTCGGCGCCGCTATTCTGTCTGGAGGCATAAACTTTGGCATCGCCTATGGTGAGTTCAACTCAACACTTCCAAACCGTTGGAATTTCTATCAACGGGAGTGCAGGCACTACAGAGGAAACTTGAATAGCAAGCTAACAATGGATTTGCAGGCATGTACTCATTCCAAAACTTGGCAACACACCCTATCCGCCTGTTCCAGCTGCCCAACACCCTCGCTGGAGATGCAGTGGTCACCATCCTCATCCAAACTATGATTACGTGGTTCATTGAGCTTATTCTTGTCGAGCACGATCTGAAGAACGGGGCCATCCGTCCTATTGGCTTTTACAGAGAGCCTGTTCGTCCTCTCTGGCGATGGCTCATGCTTTTGGCTCCGATCGAAGATGGTGGGCAAGTTGTTCCGGCACGCTCCAAGAAGTGGCCCGCGTTCCTCGTCGATCAGTTCATTCGCATCGGCCTGATCTTTGTCGTGTCGTTTTTCCTACTATGGGCGCCTTCGGTTGGCATCTTGGTCGCGATTGGCAAGCGAGGAACAGGCAGTGATTGGGACTGGTATTTCCAAAAGCAATGGGCTCCGCAAATCTTCAAGGGCGTCCTCGGTGGTCTGCTCGCTCTTTTGACGACGCCCGTCATGGCGTCTTTCTGGCTGGTCAGAGAAGGATGGCGACTTAGGAGAGGAGAGCCCATTATGGAGTGATTCACAGGGTATCCTGGGCGGGCCCAACAGCAACGGGAATAGTCTTTTGGCTTCAACAGGCATGAGCTGTCACCACATCCGTACCCCGCAACACCACACCGCCGGCTCTTGATGATTTACCCGGCATGGATACCGATGAAGATATCCATACATGCCAGGGGTTGCTGTTGTCATGGGTGGAAGATGCGGGACACGATGCGTCGGGTTCGGTCTTTACACCGCAGGTGCGGCGGATGCGGGGCTCCAGAGGCCTCCTTTCTTTTGGTGGAATCTACTCAGGTTATGGGGGATTCAACGACATGGTTTCGCCGGCACGGTCCGGTCAATGAGTGGACGACACGATGGAATATGCGCAATTCGAACGGAGAACGATATACCCGCGATGCTTATACGTCATTCGGCTACATGAAAACAGACTCAAAAAGGCTGCGCTTTTGTTATTACATCTGTTGCATTATGTTAGAAAGCCGACTTTTTAATATCTAATATGATAATATTGCCATTTTTTATACTTGCAAATTGAAGCACAATTGTACAAAACACATGGAAGTATTTGAATTTGATTGTTGAGAGTCGGAAGCTTTAGTCACCATCTGTTATGGTCGGGTTTAGGGACAGCGATTATGAGACCAGCATAGGGCAGAGGATCATTTCTGTGTATTGATGTGTACTACTCTGGCTGCGAAGGAGCTTCCTTACAGCAGTTTCGTACGCGATAATTTCTGAAGTTATGAGCAGCACGTATGGATGACTCTTCAGCAATAAGTGCCTGTAGATAGCGCGATGCTTCACTGGTTCTTAGGTAACTTGAGGATCTGAATGGCTTCCCGTTCCTGAATCCATATCGACCTCTGTTACTAAAGTAATACTATTGGCACATCAAAGTGTCGCCTCGCAGCATTTGGGATGCAGCGTGAGGTGTTACATGCGCATTGAATCACACTTAGAGACTGTTCTTCCCTGCATTCGTGATCGCATGGCACATCCTCTTTCCATCTCTGGGACAAGAACTCAGCGCTTCTGCTTACAATGTCGGACCTCCACGAAGTCTCGTGCATCCTCCTCAGTCTCCCTCCAATGTCTCGACGGTGGACCGCCATCACCGAGCAAAGGCCAATGACAACCAGTGGCCAGCATAAGATGTTGTTCGCCGGAGAGTCGGATGGGAGACGGCTGAGCTCGACAACAAACCGCCTTACAAGAAGCTGAATTTCCAGAGAGCGATGGCTGAGTGTTGGCGTAAGAAGTAGCTTGATATACGCAAGACAGGCGAGCCGGTATAGCTCTGAAGTTGTGTCTTCGTGTGTTTTTGCGGCACCGAGTTCCGCGTCGGTTGATAGGCTCAGAAGTTGGCTTTCAAATTTTCGAAGCTCGATGGCAACAGGGTAAGGAACTGCCGAAACTAAGGAAGCGTCTTTGATGAGAACAGATATTTTAAGAATGGTTGAAAAGATCTCGCGGCATCGATGTACTAGCAAAGTTCCGTGAAACCCGTTGCCCCAAATAGTAGGAGAGTTGAAAATATGAGATGCCAAGTCGAGTTTAAGCTCTCGACCGTGGGAGAATGATATCAAAGCAGCAAAGTAGCAGAATATCTCAATAGTGATTGCTCGCAAAGGAGAATCTGTCCTCGCGTCTTGACAACTGCCAGAACACAGAGCTGCCACTGCATTGACATGGGGTATGAGCCTATCACTATGAGTGTAGTTGACAGCCTACGCTGGTTAGTAATTCTAGTGCGAGTTTACTATCCGCAAGCTGAGTCTCACCTCATGAACACAGAGGAGGATGATTGCAAGTACTACGTCGTCTCCCGGGGAGGCTTCATGGCCATCGCTGAGATGCGATGAACCTGCAGCATTTCCAGACCGATCATTCTGCTTATTCAGAGCTGCGTTGATTCCAGCCACGGCCTGGCCATAGAAGCCATGCGTCAGGCCGAGCAAGTTGGAGCTCGCCGGCTCATACTTGCACATGTCGCCCGCAGCCAACGCCAGGACGCAATTGAGAACGATAGGATTCCGAATTGCAACGGGGATTACGAGTCCCAAATAATCTTCGCTTCTCTCGCCGCCGCTTGCCGAAAGCCAACGGGGACTCTTTGCGCGGAAATGCGACATCAATCGGTCCTGTACAGATGCCGGTGGGAGGGCGAACACGGTGATCAGAGAGCGCATCTCTGACTGGACCGCAAAGTCTTTGTTGAATGCATGGCGGCGGCGAGCGATCTGCTGACTACAGCGTTTGGGAGGCTGCCAGTTGCAGGAGAGCCCTCGTTTGATGCATGAGGTACAGCGCGGGTGGGTTTCGTCACATTTTCTCTTGCGTTGGCGACATTGCTGGCAACCGGTCTTTGACCGTTGACTTGGCGTAGCAGGTACTTGTGACGGGCTTTCTGAACTTGGAATCGACGTCTGGTGGTTGCTCATGCTAACGAATTGGTTGGGTTGGACTTGTGACCCAGAGAAGTTGTGTCGTACTGATGAGACTGGAAACTCGGTGGACCCTCGGTGACAGCCTGTGGGAGCCGGGGTCCACAGAACGTAGGGGCTGGTCTATTGATAGACGCCAGAATAGGAAGTCAGAGATTTGGACTTGAGTGATTGATGCGGCCAGTAATTGTGGACGTAGCCGAGATCGGCTGGCTCGAAGCAGTAAGTAAGGTAGGAATACAAATTTGCGTTGTTTACGGAAAACACTCCTCACAGAGGCTTCGGATAAAGCGAAAGGAAAGTTGTCCCGTTGGCCCGGTACGTACCGGCGCATAGTTAAAGCTGAAAAGGGATTAGCTCGAGGGCCACAGTCTCTCCCCTGCTGCAGTTGTAAGTGTTCTGAGAGGTCTTCACATGAAGCTTAAGAGCTAAGTCTCTTCCCCAATCTTTTCAAATAGGTGTTCCTCTCAATTTTCAGTTTTTTGAGGCCTTCTTGCGGGTTTTCTTTTAAACGGACAATTCAATTTTGCCATGGTCCCCAACGTTGACGAGGCGGATAACCTCGCCCGCATGGAGCGGGGCGAGCTGTACTATGCATTCACCCCCAATCTTGTGGCAGCCAGACGACGCTGTGGCGAAGCAGTCGGCCGGTTCAACAGGGCAGGCGACTTGACCAGGCGAGAAATAGCACAGCATTGGAAAGAGTGAGCGGCGAGCTTCTCCTTTTTTTCTTTTACCCTTCCTTCCTTCGAGTGCCTTATTCAATAACGACTGGGTAGGATAACGAATGACGACACTCCTCTCCCTGCCCCTGGCGCCTCGACTGAGGAAGACGACCAAGTGTTGCAGAGTTATCCCTGGATTGAGAGGCCCATCAACATCGATTATGGAACAAACATAAAAGTTGGCGTGAATGTTTTCATCAACTTCAACTGCACCATAATCGATACGTGCCTTGTATCCATTGGGTCCCGAACCATGTTTGGCCCAAATGTCTCTCTCTACAGCGGGACTCACCCCCTGGACCCGGACCTGCGGGATGGCACGAATGGCCCGGAATATGGAAAGCCTGTCACGATCGGAGATGACTGCTGGCTGGCAGGAAACGTCATCATCCTTCCTGGTGTGACGATAGGCAATGGCTGCGTAGTTGGAGCAGGGAGCGTGGTGACCAAGGTAGGCTTCATGTGAAGAAGAGATTACTGATGTTGACTCGGACTGACATTATTCAGGACGTCCCACCTTACCATGTAGTTGCTGGAAATCCTGCTAGAGTTCTGAGAAAGATTGAGAGAAAGCAGAAATAAACTAGATTTGAACCGCAGTTATTTCGCTCCTAAACTTGTGCTTTCTAAAGTTTTGAATGATAGATGACCAGTAGCAAACCAGAATTTTTTTCAAATTGAGTGAATTCTTGTTTGGCTGCAGAGAAATGTGGTATATCAACCGAATTGCTGCCAAAGATGAGCGATCAACGGGATCTCCTGTAGCCAGACACGGTACCATGAAAATGACGACGATGGCTGGCTTTTGCCAAGTTGGCGGAAATGCAACTTCGGGGATAATGCCGCATGGAAGTCTGAACGAGCGGGGTACAAATTTACATAAGAAGACGGCTTGCTGTTGCTTCGATGTCGCAGTCCATCCACTCTTCTTCCTCACAACCACATACCCACATTGGCGTCCTCTGACACGATGCCTTCGGAAACACAGGGTGTTGAGCTTCAAGGCGTGGCCCAAGATCCAGCGATTACCAACGATGATACTTTCGCCCAATCCTTGCCCCCCGCAGATAAAGGCCCGCTTGCCTGGAAGTTTCTATTTGGCTCCTTCGTAGTCGAGGCTGTCTTATGGGGTATGCGGCCCTTGGTCATTAGAATGGGCCGTTTTGCTAACGCATTTGTACAGGATTCCCGCTGTCTTACGGCGTGTTCCAGGATTACTACACCAAGCACCCAAGCTTTCAGCAAGACTCCAATATCGCCGTGATCGGAACCGTAGCGACAAGTGTCTACTTCCTCGGCGGCCCGATAGCGACACCTCTGGTGGCGCGATTTCAGGCGTGGCAGCGACACATGATTGTCGTCGGCTGGCTGGGCTGCTGCGTCTCACTCGCTGTCGCATCGTTCATGTCATCAGTGCCCGGCTTGATTGCCACGCAGGGTGTCCTCTACGGCTTCGCGTTTACCCTGTTGTACTACCCCGTCCTCCGTATGCTGAATGAGTGGTTTGTCCAGCGACGCGGGTTTGCCTTCGGTATCATGTCGACTGGCGCTGGCTGCAGCGGCGTTGGTTTGCCCTTTCTTCTTGAGTGGCTGCTGGCGAAGTACGGGTACCAGACCACGCTCAGGGCAATAGCAATCGCCCAGTTCGTCACTATTTTGCCGGTGATACCGCTCCTCAAGGGGCGCTTGCCGGTTTCCAGACAAGGTACTCTTCGCAAAGACGACTTTACGTTCTTCAAGAAGCCGCTGTTTTACTGCTTCGCATTCGTGAACCTCCTCGAGGCCCTAGGGTACTACATTCCGTCACTTTACTTGCCAACGTACGCAACTTCCTTAGGCCTCTCTGGGACAACGGGCGCATTAATCCTCGCCGCGAACAATCTCGCCATGATATTCGGCCAGCTCGCCCTCGGCTACGTCTCGGACCGGGTCAAGAACGTGCTCACCCTGGTATTCGTGTCCTCCTTCTCGGCTGCCGTGGCCAGCTTCACGATCTGGGGCTATGGCTCGTCGCTGGCATCGCTTATGGTCTTTTCGATTATTTTCGGGCTGGCCACGGGTGGTTTCCCGTGCTTGTGGCAGCGGTTCGGATCCGTCTTGTCTGATGATCCCGGGCCGGTCTACGCGTTGATGGCTTTTGGGAAAGGGCTCGGGAACATCCTCATCGGTCCCATCTCTGCGGCGCTCATGGCAGGGAGGATGATGAATAAGAGCGAATATGGGCTTGGTCACTTCCAACCGTTGATCATCTTTCTTGGGTCGACGATGTTGTGTTCGTCGCTGGGAGCTTTGGTCTGGCCGCTGTGTTGCAGAGGCGATGGACGTTAGGCTTGGAGATGGCCTCACGATAGGGAGATTGGTTATAGCAAGAAAATTCCATTGTCTATCTAGCCTATTAGTAGATGTACCACTATGCAATAGACAAGCCCAACCTCATTCTGCATCCTTGTTGTTTGAAGGCTGTCGGTTGTTAGAATCCGGGTGCCCGCCCAACGCCTACTAAAACGAAAAGCGAGGAACTGCAAAAAAGACGGCAAAAGAAACGGTCCTATGAGGGAATTTAACCCTCTGAGTTGCCTCATGCCTGAATCGAACAGGCGATCTCCTCATTACTAGTGAGGCGCTATACCACTTAGCCAATGAGGCTGCTGGGGCGTTGGACGCTCGTTGTTGCAAGATGGCGCCACCAATGCCAATATGATTCCATTGGATTAGCGAAGTGCGCGAGATGAGGGCTTGCTGTCCCACTTGGTTTCGGTTCGAAGATGGGGCTAGCGTTCTGGTGTTGTGGTCGGGGACGAGTCTCAAGATGATCCACCGCCATTCCATTGCGGATATCAGCATGTCCTTTCAGAAGTGGGGGAAATCTCATAATATTAGTCACATTAGATTTGGATAGTTCTAAGAAGGTTGGGAATCAGACCTTGTGGTAGACTGTAAAGTTCCATTGGGTGCACGCATGGGCTTCTCATGCATACAACTTCAAACCAGAAACCAAGAGGTTCATTGACCGGCGCGAAAACAACTGCCGGGCCACATTGTATCGTACCAGCTATTAAGCAAAATTCACATTGTATACTTAACAACAGGAAACAGCGTTCCTCAAACCCTTTGTTTGTAAGAATCTGGCACCCCTGCATGGGAGATGAACCAACGGCACCGATTGAGTGGAAGACGCCGTGCCATTCCCGCAGATCTCCCCGCATTCTCAGCGGTCGGATTCCCGCCACTAGCGGTTTTGCTTCGACGGGACTGGCGGAAATCATCACCTGCCCGTCTCCACGCTGGCGGAAATCGGGATTGGAATCAGAGTACATAATAGCAGTGTTTTGGCCGTGGGCTGCGAATCGAGGATGATTTCCAAAGTTTTCGACATTCATAGCGAGTTTTGCGTGGGTGCATGCTTCTGAACGTTTTCATCGTGTCTTTTGAATGGACCTGTCCGATTTATGCCGATGTCTTTTGAGGAAACCCGCCTGGCAATACATCATCTCCGACGCAAGCGACCTTAAGCCGAAGGGAACCACCGAGATCTTTCCATGTCATCATATTCAATACCGCTCCATGGACTGCACCGGTTTTGATTATCCTCTCGGCTGTATTCTACGAGGACTGGGCAGATTAGGTGTTTGCCTTGACGAGGACGTGGATTTGTCTGTAACTCGGCTCTGGCCTTAGCCTTCGGCAGCAATCGGCGTCGTCAGGCGGCTGCACAGGAAGGAACTCGGCTTTTTCTGGTACCGATTTCTTCGGCAGCCTACGAAGGACTACCTCAGTATGTCAAATACAAGTTCCCGCCTGTTCAAGATGATATGCGCTGTCATGGGGGAGACCTGTCTTCTACACGTCATAAAAATCCAGTTCTTTCCAAATGTCTTTATAAGTAGCTAACTTACAGTTCACCCAGAGGCCAGGTTTTCGTCCGAGACAATTGTCATTCAACCGTTCATCACCCAGCCTCTCGACGGGCTGATGCCCTCGGCTTTCGGTCGATCCTCAAGATAGGCGTAAGCTAATGCGATGCGTTCATACTAGAGTTGCAACCTCGAGCGAGAAAGAGGGCAGCAGACTGATGTATCAAGGGCTTGGGTAGGACAACACATGATCACATGCCTCGATAACCTCTTGCTTCGGCCGAAAGTTTGCATCCAGGTTCGTCGTTTTTGGTCACAAAGGTCGCAACGAAGGCCAATTATAGAAGCCCGAAGACACCACCGTGGCCAAGAATAGCAGGCAGAACGATGGAGTGGCGTCATATCTGGAGAGAAGAAGCTGAAACTTGCAGCTGCATTGCTCTAGACATGCGGCCAGGTCGCATCGATCCGGAGCGCGACACGGGGTGGTTCACTAGTTTTCCGCGTGGCAAGACGAGAGATTGTAAGGTTGCGGGAGCACCCGTCTGGGGTCAGGAACACGGCCCTTCGGAGACGACGGAGATGATGCGAAATCAGCGGTTTGAGACATGCAGAGGCTTTCGTCAGCTGCTGCATGAGGTCAGTCGAACTTGAGCGAGTTTCCTCATCGATGCATCCTGGAGCAGGACTGGGATGACAGGAACAAGAACGATCGGCGGGCATTTCGGACGAACCAGGATAGTCTACTGGCGCGGCGCAACCCTCCACCAGCGAGAATTAGGCTTCAGGACCCCTCATTTCGACAGTCTCCTGGAGGACTCGGGGGTGGGCACAGAGCTTGATTGGGCGGAGGTGTGTCCAAGACTGGCAGAGTCGCATTTACTCATACCGAGTTTATCAAACTGAACCAACGATGGACGGGCCATGAATCCGGAGAGTTATGCGGGCGCGGTATTGCAGGTACGGGGAGCGTGACATTGAACCACTGGATGTGCAGTTCAGGATCAGGAGCTTTTGGGGAGGGGACACTCGTGGAGGGCATCGGCCAGAAGAAAGCCTTCGGCTCGTCGCTCCGCAAATCCATCGGGGATCCACTCATGAGCTAACCGGATCCGGCTAGACGGAACCTCCGTACGGCCCAGGCATGCGGAGAAGACCCACATATGAGGGGCGTCCACCGTTAGCCGAGCCACTGGGGACGCTCCAATGGGGGTTGAAAAGCGGGGGAAAGAAGCCGTACCGGGCCAGTGCCAATTTGCCCGCTGCAGGAGTGGCCTGGCCTGCACCTGCCTGGGAGGAGGAGGGAAATAGGGAAGGAAGGAGCTAGGAAACGAGCGTGTGACTTGCTGTTTTTTGATCGCCTTATTCCGAACGTCGACTCGAACGGCCGTTGCTGCTCAAAGAAAGCGAACTTCACTTCAGGCCAGAGACATATCAAGGACGTGGTGGACGCGACTCGACTGGACTATCGATTCGCCATCAGGATCTGGCTCTCTCTCTGATCACGGCTCTCCTCCGTCTATCCCTTGCGACCACAGCCCAGCCCCCGACGATGAGATACTCAACAGCGTGCTCGGCGTGTCGGTAAGTCGTCAGCCGAACCCTCCCCGGGAATCCTTTTCTCTCTCTCTTCCCCCCCATTCCCGGCCTCGTCCGGCTTTGGAGATGATCGCATCGCTCACCGACGGCATGGCAGCGCTCGACGGCGCAAATGCGAGGTGCCTATCGGCGGCGGCCAGTGCACATACTGCGCAACCCAGAACATCGCCTGTTCACGCGCCGGCTCCATCATCCAGCCCAAAGCCGTGCCCGTCAGCCCGCTGTCTATCGCGACGCCGACGACGCCCTCTGTCACCGAGATCATCGTCGCCAGCCCCCCTGGCATCACTCCGATCGCTGCTGTTTCCGACAAGGCTCTATGCTTCGAGCTGGTGGAGTTGTACTTCAAGTACATCCACGACTGTCTCCACTCCCTCTTCCACCGGCCCAGCTTCATGCTGGATCTGCATGAGGGGACTGCTCCTCTGGCGCTTGTCTATGGCATGATGGCGTTGTCAGCAAGGTATGTCATGATCGAGACCGTTTACCCCAGCGAATCCTTGCTAACTTGCCTAAGGTTCTCCTCAAATCCTATCTTCAATGGCATTGCTCCGATATCGAGGGGAGAGCTCTTTGCCAACGAGTGCAACATGCTACTCAACCTTCGAGATGTGTCTCTCACGAGCATACAGGCATGTGTCTTGCTTGGTGCCTATTCCATTGTAGAGGGAGAGGCAGGCGCGGAAAGCGTCTTCTACTCAGCTGCATGTAGGATAGCCAACTATCTCGACCTCCCAAACCTACCCACGCCGGACCCGTTACAGAGGGAGATTCATATTAGAGGTACGTACCGTAACTCATCCGTACGTTGAGGCTGTTTCGCCCGCTCACACCCGTAGTTTACTGGTCGCTCTGCATGATTGATGTCTGGTCATCAACTGGTGTCAACCTCCCGCGTCTTATGGAACGGCGAATGGACGTCCCGTTACCGATGAACGAGTCAACCTTCCTCAATATGACCCGTGCGAACAACAACCACTTTGACTTTATCCTGTCACCAAACCGGGAAGACTCGCTCATAGCCCAGATGATCAAGCTTAACAGCATCCTGCTAAAGGTCAACGACGCCATTAAGTCTCTCACATCAGACTCCACAGTAACAAACATCGACGAGACTGTCTCGACCCTCGCGCAGGAACTTGAGGCCTGGGAGCTCGAGCTTCCCCCAAGTCTCCGCGATACCCCAAGCAACCTGCATTCTTTCGCCGCCCAAGGCCTGGGCCGTATCTTCATCGCTGTGCACACGGGTCACTACCACTACAGTCAGTTGCTCTTCTATCAGTATCTAGATGAGGTCCAGCGCTTTCCCGCCTCCCCGACCGCCCAGATCTTTGCCCGGAAATGCAAAGAGAACGCCGTCTCCATGTCGCGTATCATCGACCTCGCCAACACCACGCCTGGCTGTGACGCCAAGTTCAACATGCTGGGCCACATCATCGTCATCACGTCGTCCATCTTCATCCACACGCTGCTTTTCGAGACCGACGAGGCCGAAATTGCCAACGCGCGGGCAACCCTGGAGCGCCACTTCAACACCCTCGTGGCCTTGCGGGTGTACTGGCCAGGGCTCGAGGTGTGCTTCGTCCGCCTCAAGACTTTCCACGAGCTATGTCGCAAGAGCATGAACACGAGCTACCGCATGGACCGCTGGATGCTACGGTTCCTGACCGAGTTTGCGAGGCCCATTGATGAGAAGGAGCGTGATGAGGACGGGAACATGGACTTGGACCGATGGAGTGTGGGCAACATTGGTATCAGCCCTGAGAATTGGGCATGAGCATGCAGTACGGACACGGACAAAGAATATCCGGCGCTGGTTCCGAGCCTCAGGTTAGCCCAGGACAGTGGGATCTACGTCACAATGGCGATTGCGATGGCTCTAGGACCGCCGCTGCTGGTGATTGAACCATTGAGGACATCCCGAAAGGCCATGTAGGTGACCTGTCGACAGGCCTTCAGAACACACATGTCGGAACTCGGATGCAGTCTCCTCACCGCATCGCCTACTAAGGACCGCAGAAACCGGGGCATCTTTGGGGGAAGATGGGGTCAACCACCTCGTAACCCCCGCGTATCCACTTTGGAGGCGGGGTTGTGTAACTTCCCCAGGTTCCCAGATGCGACATGAAGCGCCGCGCCCGCTCTCTCTGATGCTGCAGTCTATCGCCTATGACGAGGTGCTGAGCTGAGCATTCGTGAACCTGCGGATCCAGTCAAGTACGATGCTGGACGAAGAGGACGTGGGCAACCTTTTCAGCTGCCATTTATGAAGCCCTTTTGGGGCCTTTACATAGCGCGGGCCAAAACAAGCGAATGGTGTCGAAGCGATAAATATGTTGATACACGCATCTGGCTGCATATTTTTCTACCTTAGCAAAAGCCATGTTCAATACCACGAGCCCTCATCAGGCTGTTTCTGATGCTAGTACACTACGTCTCAAACCACCGAGCCCGACTTCGCAGTGACAGTCTGCTGCTCAACTCCATCCTCCTCCTCCACTCCCTTCGCCGCAGCCACCTCCACCTCAAACTTCGGATGCTCCGCAAACCGCCGTACGGGCACGCCCTCGTGGAACATGCGATCAATCTCCTCCAGACTGCGCCCCTTGCACTCGGGCACGCACAGAAACACAAACAGCGCGGAGCACACGGCGATGCTGCCGAAGATGAAGCCGACCTTGCTCTGCAGGCCCGCGTACGGCTTGTTGAGCAGGTACGGCAGCGTGAAGTTGACGAGGAAGTTCATGAAGATGTTGACGAGCGAGGAGGCGCGCTGGGAGCGGTCGCGCAGGCGCAGGGCGGGGATCTCGGTGACGACGACGTAGGTTAAGGGTCCCCAGCCGAGGCCGAAGCCTGAGCCGAAGAGGAGGAGCATGCCGACCATACCGGATTTGTAGGAGGTCGGGATAGGGGTGTGCACGCCCAGGCCGGCCATGGTGAAGAGCGCGGCGGCCTGGATGAAGGAGCCGAGGAGCAGGATTTTCCTATGTGAGAAAGTCAGCTATGCAGTTTTGGAGTATTCATCTGCGAAGAGCCATACCGTCGTCCGACCCGGTCCGTCAGGAACAGGCACAGGATAATCATGCCGCTCGTCAGCGCAGAAGAGCCGAGCGTGACGTCGAACGGGTTCAGCGTGCCGAGCGACTTGACCCACACCGCGCCGTACTGGCTCGCGAACGCCTGGCCGGTGGCCTGCTGGAAGAAGGACATGCCGACGGCGATGGCGGTGCGCTTGCGGTTGACGCCCTGGAAGAGCTCGCGGGTGCGGCCCTGCTCGGGCTCGTCGGCGAGGGACTGCTGGATCTTGGCGAACTCGAGGGCGATGGTGGCGTCGGGCATCGTGCCGGCGCGGAGGGCGTGATGGGCTGTTTTGGCTTCTTCGGTGCGGTCGCATAGGAGGAGCCATCGGGGAGACTGGGTAGCGTTAGTTACGTGAAGTTTATTGGTGAAAGGGAGGGAAGGGTGGCGGACCTCGGGAATGAACCAGATCAGGCAGATTACGATGGTAGGGATGACGTAGAAGAGGCCGAAGGGGATTCTGTAGGCGCGGCTGTCTTGGAATTGGGAGGTGCCGCGACAGATCGAGTTGATGACGAGACCGCCGAGCTGTGCTTGTTTGTTAGAAACATATTTAGGTCGAAGATATCTAGGGAGGCTCTGACTTACACCAATGGCTAATTGGTACGTCCCGACCACCATCCCTCGTACAGGCGCAGGCACGATCTCAGACTGGTACACCGGGACGACAGACAGTTCGAATCCAACGTAGACATCTTTCCTTTCGTTAGCTACCCATCAACTTTCTACTTGTTGTAGAAATGGCGGTACACTCACAGTTCAATATCCGCCCCACCAAAATCTGCTCCTTCCGCGTTGAAGTGACCACAACCGTTGCGCTGATGAGCGCGTAGACGCTCATCACAAACATAGTCGTGCGCCGCCCGAAGCGCGCGCTGGTCAGGCTGCCGACGACCAGCCCGATGGCGAAGCCGATGTAGTTGAGGCTGTTGAGCAGCGAGAGGAAGTACGTCGGAATCGCGTACGCCTTCGTGGCGGGGTCGTACTCGCCAAACTGCCGCTCGAAGGCGTCCATGGCCTGGGTGGAGGTGAAGGCCTGGTTGTCGAAGCCATAGTTGAACTGGGAGAGGGCGATGAGCAGCACGGAGGCGGCGAGGCGGGCGTTGAAGTGCTGTGTTATTGAGGAGAGGCCCATTGTGACGAGGTGGGAGTTGTGAATTCGGGAAGGGGTCTCAATGCCGACTTGGTAGGGAAGTGAGGGTATGGAGGTTGGGGAGGTTATATGTCGTTGACTCGGTGCGCCCTCTGAAGAGACGCCTCCGGCATGTTCATGCGGGAAACGTATCCCAGACCCCTGGGGTAGGTCGGCATGCTCATCGAAACATGTCGTGACGATGAATCCGAGGAATACAGGCCAAGGATTTGCTTGCTAATGCCTGAGCAGTTACGCGGTGGAGATGGCAACATCGCGCATCTGGGGTATAGCGTGCCGGAACTCGGCGGGTAAGGTTGAGACGATGGTTCATTGCTGCGAGCGAGATCCGGCGAGATGCGGTGGGGATCCACTTTTGGGGGGTGAACACCATCTTGGCCCCGTCTTGCGTGCTCACTTGCAGACGACTCGACTTTTTGTATCTGGATATCTCCTGACAGTGGAAGGTGGTTGCTGCTTATTTGAAAGAGTCCGTGGCGGCACCTTAAAAGAAGAGGATTGCTTGATGGGAGCTGCATCGTGGGAGTTTACCCGGCCGTCGAGACTCCTCCGTGTCCGGCCCCCGGGCTCGGATCCGGGTCGAGGTAGCTTGACAAGAACCAGCTAAGCTCGCCGCTCATGTCAAACTGCGACGGCGCAACGTAGTAATCCTGCGCCAGCTGGTTCTCCGCGAAGCCCGACCACGTCATGGGCCCGTCGAGGCTGGAGTCGATCTGACCGAGGCCTATCGGGTGCGCCGTCGAGGCCTGGTAGATGTCGCTGGGCGCGTGCATTTGATAGTGATCTCTATCCGCCATGGGCACGTCTCCGTGCAGTGACCGCGTGGAGAGTTGCGGCGAGTCAGAGTGCTGGATCGCGACCTCGTCGACCGTCTTCGCGTTGGCGTCGAAGCTCTGCGAGAGGGGGTGGTACCTGCTCAGTAGCGTGTTGCGTTGGACTTCGCTGCTGATCGGGGCTGCTTCTTCCGGGCTTTCGGGTGCGGTATGGCGGTTTGTGGTCTCGGTCTCGATCATTCTTTTGACGTCTTGCTGGAGGACGGCGATGATGGGCGCGATGTTGGACATGTCGTCGAGTAAGGCGAGGTTGCTCTTGCATAATGCCTCGACCGTCTCATCGTCCAGTGTGACTGGTGTGTCTGTCATAGGGTCCACTAGGTTATCGTATAAACTGTATCTCCTTGCCGTGAGAAGCGTCTTGGTGCATTGATGAACCATGTTGCCATACCCCAAACCAATGGGGAGACGCGTCTGCTTCGAGTGCAGCGCGCCTTTAGACCGCAACGCCTGAAGATGCTCCCACAGACGAGCCATGCGGAGGGCGTGCGAGACCGCGAGGGCGCGCCATGTAGAGACGAATTCAGGGGGCGCTTTGGATGTGAAGGCCGGCGCTGCGGACTCGCGGGCGTGACCGGGGAGACAGGTGCGGTAGAGGTCGCAGCAGGTCTGGAGGTACCACGAGTTCAGGGTGATGTAGGCGGAGAACTCGGGGGTCGTCGAGTGAGAGAACATGTTGAGCTCGCTAGGCTGGATATGCGAAGGCATGTGGGCGAGGAAGTTTGCGAGCTGGGACTGGAGGGATTTGAGGGTTGTCAGGGCCTTGGCGACTGCGGCGGGGGACGAGTCGGAGCGGCTTTCGAGGACGATTGCTTTTGTTGATCTGTGATTTGTTAAACTCTTTCAACTATGTGGGATGATGAGGGGACATGCTTGCCTCAGAACTTCGCACCGGAGACTAAACAAAATCATGACATAGGCTCTGGCTCCAGCATCATGAGCAGCCAGGGCTTCAACGCCATCACTGAGCTTGCTCGTTTGCTTCAGCAACCCGTGACGGAATGTATGTTCAGCATTCGGCAGTGGCGTCCTCATCCAGCGGTTCGGCAGACAGGTGAACTCGTCGAAACCCGCAGAGAGCCCCTTATCCATCCACCAAACGTGCCACACCAGCCTCCTCTCACACTCTCGCCGGATGACTGTCGATGTGTCGGCGTCTGGCGGCAGCGGCCTTTCGTCATTCAGCTGGAACGACACACATAACCTCGCCGCGGTGCTGATCAGTAGCCACACCTTTCCAAACTGTCTGTACGCAAAGTTCTGGAACTTTGACAGAGCCATGAGCTGGATGTTGAGAACCTTGAAAACGTTCAGGTTGGCAAAGATGTACCCGTCAACTTCCTTTGCCCATTGGATAGAGAGTACTCGCGACTCTCGGGATCGTGACACAAAGATTGCCGCCGCGGCACAGACAGAAGTACAAAGTATCGGGGGAAGCTTGCCAGCATAGAACTCTTCCATCATCGACGGCCGGTGGAAGAAGTCGTATCCTAAGGGGTAGACATGGTCGAAGAAAACTTCGAGATGTTGTCGGATGACATCTGTGCTCAACAGCGTCTGCTCAAGAGAGGTGTTGAGCGAAGGCGTCTTCATGTACTGCTGCAGCGTCGACTCAGCTTCATATGAAGCTCCCTGGCTCAGCGTGCATGTACTGGATGACTCGGGGGACGCAGACTGCTGTGGTTGACCATTCGTATGCCGACTCTTTCGTCGTGACGGCGCGGATGGGTAGACGCAGGTGAGGTTCCGCCGGTTACAGTGGAAGCACTGAGGACGGTGACCGGAGCATTTTGCCTTCTGGGCGCGACACTCGGCGCATGCGTTGGCAATGCGCCGGCGTCTGGTCCCGGCCTCGGTGAGGGTCTCCGTGGGCGCCAGTAAGTTGTGGGGATCCCCGGGCTCTGAGGAGACGGCCGACTCCGGGTAGTTGAAGGTGCAGCCGAGTCTCAGACGGCGGCAGTTTTCGCACGGCTCAGGACCGCCAGTACATTTTACCTGGTGAACGGTTCAGTTGATGTTCAAGTTGGCAAGGGATTCAATTCAAGGCTTACCTTCCGGCGTTTGCATGTAAGACAACGCGGCCTGGGCGGCCAAGTCGCATCGGCGCCCGGCTCCGGGCTCGGCATCTCGTCTCTTCTGCTCGGCGGTCCGATGATGTGGATTGAAGAAGAGTCAAACAGGCAGTTCTTCAGGCACTGAGCGGGGAGGCAGGACCGCATCTCATCACCAGTCCAGGCCGCACGGGACGCGGAGCCCGGAACAGACCGAGGGTAATATGGTCCGGCATCCCCAGTTTCTCCACCGAGAGGGAACTGACGTGCTCGGGATGCGGGGTCATTCTAAACCAGTTTGGAGCAAGGGTCACCCACAGTTCGGGCGGGTTTGGCAAATTAGAGGGCCTGAAGAGGCCTGAAATGGCAGAGCACACCATCGCAAAGAGAGATGGCGGAAGGAGAGTTTTGCGCCATTGGGTGGATTGGTGTAGGAAATCGGTGGAGGACAGTTGCGAAGGAAAAGATACATAAGACAAATGTTTGAACTGCTGCATCCCTGTCGCATTTGAGCTACTTACTTAGTCATCTTTCTGAAGGCACTACTGGATACCAATTACCTACCAGTGTTTGGACTCATGTAAATGACTTTGCAGACGTATCCTATTCAATTGTCTAACCGGACGCTGATCCAAGTAATTGCCGTTCATGCTCGCGAACGAGAAACGTCGAGAAAGATTTCAATTGGAGAAACCCGGAGAACTTTGTAGCAGCGTAGACGACGATGGCATGTCGTCTCACTGCCTTTCCATCGCGGATTGTCTATCTAGTAGGCGTGGAAGATATTCCATCTAGGTGTTGGAGGCATCTAGGTAAAAGCTGAATATATCTGTTATCGACCTCATCTAAACGCTCGCCAAATTCCGACAAGTACTTGTATGTGGGGCTATCGGGTGTTGTAGTTCAATCTACGGCATTGGTAGACTTAGCCAGAAGCCTCTGTATTCCTATTTGAGGAAATACGGCTCGATAAGTATGCGGGACATGGGAACTCGGCCGGAATAATCATGCCCGCAAGAATAAGTTTTTAGACCATCGACTTACGCATCTTACTGTAGGATGAGTTTTGGTGAGGGCAATCTGAGGTCCTCACGTAGTCTACGAGCAGGGCATAGGTACAAAGGAAAATAGGCTGTCGATTGAGCGTAGCAAAAGGATAAACCATGACAAAATTAGAGTGATCGTTCACACCATGACAGTCGCAATAGCTTCAACATTTTAAGGCCGCTCACTGCAATGCCTGATTAGGAAGGTGAATTGACGCACTGATCCTCCAGGGGACTTCAGCTGCCGACACCGCACCGGGCGGGTGCCCGATACCCGGGCTTATCGGCGGCCTATGCACGTCGATTCCCCTCACCGATCAACTCACTCTCAAACATCAACTTGACAACGCGTGACATTTAGTGTCCCTTTGACGACCGCGAATGAGGCCGAACAACCCAATTGATTCAATGACACTCCGCAAAGCCCCCATCATGATTGGGCCCGCGCCCGGCGTTTCCACCCGGCGACCGGAAGCCGAAACCGCGATTCCGGAGAAGCTTATCAAACCGTGGAAGCTTCCCCGGCAACAAACCTACCTCTTCTTAAATGCCAACGTTGTCGACACCGGGCATGGGACTATCATCGAGAATGCGACCGTCAAGATATCAGATGGACTTGTCGAGAGTGTCAGTGTTGGAGATGCGGATTACGCTAAATGGCACGGCGCTATTGTGGTCGATCTGAAGGGAAAGTATCTCTCTCCTGGGCTGATTGACTGCCATGTTCACGTCAGCTCTGTCCCTGGAGAGGCTGGTCTCAACGGGGGCTTCAACATGGATGACACGGTGTCTCATCTACGGCAATCCTTCGTCGTCGGCCGCATCCTCAGTAAGGGCTTCACAACAGTCCGTGATACAGGTGGCGCGACTCTTGCGTTGAAGGAAGCTATTCAGGACGGCGTGTTTCCCGGCCCGCGGCTCTTCATCGCAAATCAAGCTCTCTCGCAGACGGGAGGTCATGGCGATCGCCGAGGGGCCCACGATCATTCGCAGCTATGCTGCGGAAGCACCGCCGGTCTGTCTAGCGTGGTTGACGGAGTACCAGAATGCATCAGAGCGACTAGAGAGCAACTTCGGACCGGTGCAGACTTCATCAAAATCATGGTTGGTGGGGGCGTGGCATCTCCTACAGATAGGATCGAGAACACGCAATTCACTGCGGACGAGATCAAGGCTATCAGCGAAGTAGCCAGGAGCTACGGAACTTGGGTGACGGCCCATGCTTATACACCCCGTGCGATTCGCCATGCAGTTGAGAACGGCGTTACCGGTATCGAACACGGTAACTTTATCGACAAGGAGACGGCAGAGTTCATGGCCGAGAACAAGGTCTGGCTGACCCCCACCCTGGTCACATATGACGCTATGGCATCCGACAAGTATGCCGGCTTCCTACCTCCCGAGAACCAGCGCAAGAACCAGGAAGTACTCGAGAAAGGCTTGCAGTCTCTGCGCATTGCTGCCGAAGCTGGGGTCACCATCTGCCACGGATCGGATCTTCTCGGCCCCTTGCAGGCTGAGCAGAGCAGGGAGTTTGGTATTCGACAACAAGCACTTAGCGACAAGCAAGTGCTACAGTCTGCAACTGTCAATTCAGCCAGAATGCTTCGGCAGGAGAACTTCCTGGGTCAGGTCAAGGAAGGGTTTGCTGCGGACCTTCTGATCCTGAACGAGAACCCCTTAGATGATGTTTCCATTCTGGATGAGCCCGAGAAAAATGTCTTGGCTGTTATCAAAGATGGAAGAGTCTACACTAGCAGGTGGAGCAAGTTGCCGGAGGACGTCACTGAGCCAGTTGTTTTGATCGAATAGTTATCATTACATTTCATCATGTTGTTTTTATCATCAATCGTACATCAGTGGAGGCTGTGAACTCCCTGAAACTCATCTAGATCAATAACGATCTTGGATGCTGCTGCCCATGCTTGTGTGCGCCTTGCTGGGCATTGAGGGCATGGAGTCCCGTTCCCCATACTGTTGTAGTTGATATGATGAGGAGTTCTCAGCATCAGCCACGAGTGCGAAACCATCCCTGCCTGAGACACGTCTTGAAGTGCGGTCCGAACCGCCTGCCGTGGTGTAGTATTGTGCGGTCCCCTTTGGTGAATACTGCGACCGGCCGAGCAACGGCCTCAGAAACGGTATGCAAGCCAGAGTGATACCGACGCCAGGCTCAAGAGCACTGAAGATGAGTGCATTGGGAATGCCGAAAGTGACGTCGGTGTACTTTAGGTGTGCAAGGTAATACAAGCGAAGAGCTGATACAATGCACGTGCTGTGAAGGCGGGATTTGGTCAGCCCATGAGCACAAGAGGGTTCCATCAAAGACAAGACTCACAATACTCCTAGCGAGAAAGTCGCAATGAGAGCAACCTTTCGGTACGTCTCCAGTTTGAGTCGCCACAAGTAAGACACAGGCATGATCAGGACAATGATATCCGTCATCAAGTTCACTACCCCCAGTGTTCCATCTGCCGCAGGTTGGTTGCCGCAGTTTCGGTTCTTGAGGTCGAGAAGCCAATTATCGGACAGGGGTCGGCAGATGAAGAAGGCCACCAATACAGCCACGGCGGTCCAGATGACGGTGAATCCTGCCATGATCCTCGCGGCTAAGATCATGCGTCGTGTGGAGAAGAGTTTGGTGTAGAGAAGAAGGATGGCAATCTTGCACAGACTGAGGCTGACAGCCCATAGGATTTGCTGAACAACAAGGAGCTGAAGAAGAAAAGCAAAGACGTTAGTGAAGAGGTCTTTTCACTGACGCGCTCTGAGCCTGTGCGACGTACTTGGAGAAACTTGATGATGGGACCCCGTCCATATTTGGGGATGATCTCTCGGAAGAGGTACCCAACTCCGCCCTGGGTGACACTGAATATCGAGACGAGTTGCAGCGCGTGAGAGAAGACCTATCATAACAAACCCCAAGTCAGCCCCAGGAAAGCTCCATCAAGCACCCAGAAACACGTACACATGCCACGATGATGCAGTAATCGCTCGCATCCAAAGCCCTGTGTGCCATGCGCCTCGCCATCAGCCGCAAGATCAGGGCCATCGTGGGCACGATGATGAACACAATGGACACCGCGACGACACTGATCTGGCTCTGCCTCTCCAGCGGAATCGTCGCGGTCCCGTCCCCAATCGTCGCGTTGGTCGAGACCGATGCCAACGGCACCGCTGTGGTTGTTGTTGCCGCCGCCATATTGTCGAGTCCGCGGCGTCGATGGATGAGGATCACGGTTCACGACCCTGATGTGGATGTCGCGGGAGGACGGTGGAACGGCTCTTTCCAGAAGCCCATGGGAAAATCAGGCAACGCGGTTCCATTTTCAATCTCGCAGAGATGCCAACAACGCCATGGGTCGACCATGTTTGCTTATTCGCGGTTTCCCAGGGCAAATGCTCGCCTAAAGAGGTCTCTGACCGGTGCAGCTCGTGGGCACTGCGTCCTGTATGTTTGTTGCTTTTTCCATTGCGAGCTTGCACTGCTTATCGACTCAGCGTGCAGGCGACGTGCATGCTCGACAGGGGGACTGCGGACTACGCGATTGTTCCAGAAAGGGAATAGGGAAGATTGTTTGCGCCGCAGCAGCCGACCGGCGCCCAGCCTGGACTCGGAGGCTAAGGTGTGACGGCTGGACTACGTCGTGCTTTAGTCGGATGGGAAGTGTGAGCGGATGCAAGGAACGCAGTGTGATATGTCAATTAGTTAGAAATCAGATCCGCATCGTCATTTGGGGGTTGCAATGATGAAGTTCGGTTCGCGGAACTCGCATCACGATGCCATCGGGAATGTTCTGATCGGATGAACATGGGATTTGCCGCAAGGATTCCCATCTTGGCCTACCTGAGGATACTACCATGTCTCCTTCAGTTGACCCTGTCCTGTCTGTTTTCAAGGTTCCCCAGAATCAGAGGCATTCACAGCCATTGACCATGTTATCGAGAGGAGTCGACTTGCATGAGAAATGGGTCTCCGGGCAAAATGGTGGCGAAATGCCATGGGTAAGCTGCAGGGGAGCCAAACATGCACAAGGATGGCCATCAGAGGGGAAACCCTTTCTTATTCTTCCCTTACCATTCGTAAATTCCTTTTTCCACACATGTTTCCCGTTCGATGTTCGTGCCTGGTGTTCCAGACCAATCACCACAGCTGATTATCTCACCTCGCTTGCATTTAGCATGTCTAGGGCCATGTTGTCATCAACATCTGGACGACTGGCGACTTGTCTAACCCCTCACTTAGAAGCTCAGCTGGCCCCCTCCTTCGAGCCACCGGGAGCTAAAAGCCGGGATGCCCTCCCGGCTGCACAACATCACCGGTCGAGTCCTTGTTCCCGCTGGGAGTTGTGTGGTACACCATCCAAAAGAGGATCGAGGTCCGGCCGCCAGCCAACTCAATTCCGACGTCTCAGGCAGGTTGGAGGCTGAGAGGCTTAGTGTTGGAAGAGTTTTAACGCCACTGACCATCAGTCGCAATCCGAGTCGCCGGTCACCTCGCGACGACGCGATATCATGCGCGTGCATGGTGATGCCCAGATGATAAGCTGGCATTAGTTCTGCGGCGTGCCACTCCACGTCATGAACAATTCTTGGACACTCAAAGACCTCGTGGGATTGATGAGAGATTTTTCGGGCTGGGACTACTCGGATGTGAGCCTGTTTCCGCGAAGCCACCGTCGAAGTCACATCGGACGGCAGCCTGCATAGCCGCGTCGCGGCTAGGAACGCCACGAGGTGGTTGAATGCAAGACGTGTAAAATTTTCAAGACAAAAACGTCGGCGCCCGCTGCGGACAGTTGGAGAACATGTGTCAAATTCTAGCCATCTCAGACAGGACTTGTTTCCCTTGGCTCTGCCATGGCCGAAATCTACGTTGGGGATCTAGCCAGCTCTACTGCCTTCTGCGCTGCCTTGCCGAAATCTGCCTCTGTGTGCAGTCCCATTTTCGCTTCTTCCAGCTGCAGGAATTTATTAGAAACGCAGCGATCGCTTTGGAATTTCTTCTGGCTTACCATCTTCAGGCCCAGCTCTGAGTTTGTACCCTGAAGCCGCACTACCATGGGCACCTTCAATGGACCCAACTCGGTTGCGGCGCCGATGATCGACTCCGCAATCATGTCACCTCGGGTGATTCCTTGGGGAGTCTTGATTAGTCACATGAACGCTCGACGAGAATTTACTTCAGCTTACCGCCGTATATGTTGACCAGGATCGTCTTGACTCTGGTATCCCGCAGGATAATCTCAAATGCCTTCACCATCGTCTCCTTAGTTGCCTGGCCACCGGCGTCCAGAAAGTTCGCGCTGGCACCGCCATGAAGAGCGATGGCGTCATTGGTGGCCATCGCGAGCCCAGCACCGTTTACCACGTTGCCGATGTTACCGTCCATCTTGACGTACACCAAACCGTATTTCTCGGCCTCTGCCTCTTCAGCAATGTCATGCGCCCGATCTCTCAGAGCGAAGATGTCCTCCTGTCTCTTAATAGCTGCATCGTCTATGGTAATCTTCGTGTCGACACAGGTAATCGTCTCATCGATCGCGTTGATGATAGGGTAGACTTCGAGCGAAGTGACGTCTTTGCTCTTGAAAACCTGGCACAACCCCTGAAGGACGCTTCTCAGGTTCTCCTTTTCTGCGGGGCTTGCTTGGAGGACTTTGGAGACTTTGTCGACAACTTCTGAAGTGATCCCTTCAGTCAATCCGAACTTGGTTGTACGCAGTCTCTCGGGTTGTTCCTGATCTAGGGCTTCCCCGCCAGTTCGCGATGCGATGATGACTGGACAGTACCTTTCTCGGTCAAATGTGATTGTTAGGTGCCATTTACAACGGCTTTTAATCATCTCGGTGACGTAAACCTTTTCAACAAGAACACCGTCGCCCGTCTCTGTTGTCCTGAAACGGCGCCCGAGCATGCTTTTGGACATGTCCACTGCCTCCTCAGAACTCCGGGCTCTCTTGAATCTCCCTGTAAGGCCATCTTCAAACACACCCTGAGCCTGATAGCTTTGGGGGAGTTGGGCCTTGATGATGCATGGTACACCTGAAATAGTTAAGTCAGCTCAGCCACCGAAATAATGCTTGTTAATGTTACCTAGCTCCGAGTATATTGATTCCACTTCGGCTGGAGTTCTTGCTAGTCTGCCTCTTGGTACTGGTACGTTGAACTAGAATGAATGTGAGCAGTGAGCTTCAACTGGTGTGCACTTTGGTTTACCACGAACCTCCGCCAGAATGCTCCGAGCTTGGGGTTCATGCAAAGTCAGACATCTCAATTGCTGTCGTGAGAGCACCTAAGAGAAAGAAGGAACGTCAGCTTCTGGTTCTCACAGAGCCCAACAAATGGTTCATGCTTCAAAAGTACCATATACTCACCTGGACTTGGCTTCTCCAGAGCTTCGATGTCAAGCTCCGGGAAAACATGGCCACAAAAAGCGCCAATCTGTTGCGCTGTAAAACACTCAAGCACGGCTGCGATTGACAAAGTAGCCTTGGGTTGCCGATTGGGGGGTTACTGGGCGAGTGCTATTGATGACCGAAGTAGTGCAGGTAAGATAACCGACAGCAATGGAGGTGGCATGATCTCGTGCGTCATCGAGGAGGGGCCGCTAATAGGCCAGGGGGAAGATAACCGAACGGTCGCTAGGCCCGTCCGGCTCCAGCCGGGCTCGGTTAACTATGACGGCTACATGCACGCATCACGAATGAATTTCTGACCCTTTCGATTATAATTACAGACATATCGCAGCATTTATAAAAAAAGCTCAAAGACGAAATAAAACAAACATCCACCTACAACGATCTCATCTTCTCCATACATGACCAATGAGATCTTGCTGGGAGATCCAAAAGAAAAAAAAAAAAAAAAAAAAAAAAAAAAAAAAAAAAAAAAAAAGGGTGTTCGCAGGTTTGCGGTACTCCTTGGTTCAGGGTCAACCTAGTGACAACCAAGATCAATGGTTTGCAGAACAATCAAAGAAGAATAGTAGACAAGACACACCGAATAAAACAGAAGACAGGTTGCCAAAATCAGACGTTAGAAGACTATATGTTTCGTTCCAGGGAACTTTGCAGCGTCTCTTAGTGCCTTGTCCTTGGTGAATGCATAAAGGTGGGGACAAATCAAGTCGAATGCAGGACGTTTGTTGCCTTCTCATGTCTTCTACTGCGCGCTACCCTAAGCTCTTCGTATGAATGATTGACACGATATATCTAAACACCATTGCTCCTGCTTCTAAATCTACCACAAGATGGGTGAGCCCATGTCCTCATGTTCCCATCATATCCATCGCGACAGGTTCCAATTCAGTTGGTGGCACACCAACCGATACTCGATACCGTGACAAGGAAAATCTAATTTGTGGGCAAAGGCCACTCATTCGCGACTGCGGAGCCTTGTGCAGCAGGAGTGGGCGTGGCATCACCTTGGCCCGCAGGAGTTGCCTCTGCTTCCGTCCTCTGAGGCGTTGTCCTCGAAGCCAGCTCAAAATGAGCCCTCCTCAGAAGACGTTCGTACTCTTTCCAATTCTCCCATTCGTCAAATGCACCCTCATCTTCATCTTCATCCAAAGGCTCATCATCCTGCTCAAAGTCGGTCCCATTGTCTCGGCGACTCTCCTCGAACAACATCCTTCGCTTCTTGGGTTTGGGGTTTCCGGGAAGCACTCCACGGTATTCTTTCGGAATCTCGCCCTCCTTATCGCCCATCTTGATCCTTTTCTTCGTGTCCCACACGTTGAGGTCGACCTTGCTGAACGGGTGTGGGGGACTTCCACCATGTTTTGCCAAGGCATTCTTCAACACCTGAAGGTCGGGCAAACCCCTGTAACTTTTGGTGTGTTTTGCCAAGTCGGGGTGCTGACCTTGGCTGTAAAACTCATCCGCTGTGTTAAGGACCCAGCCTGGGTCATCTGGAACCAGATCCTTTGGCCAACATGGGTTCTCCTTTAAACCGTACCAGTCAGTGTCTTTTCTCAACCCATCCCAATCATCTATGGAAAAGATTGCTCTGGGAGTTTGGACCGACACAGTCGTAATGCGAGCTACCAAAAAGAATGAATTAGAGAAGCCATGAAAATAATGTTTGATAGTGGAAGAACCTACTCATCGTCTTGTCCTTTCCAGTGATAACTTGCACCTTTTCCTTCACAGTACTGATGAGGTAGTCTCTCACATAATACGTTTTCTTGCCCTTTTTGTTGCCTTTTGTAGACACCGCATCATGCTTGGGACAAAAGTTACCCCACAGATTGCCGGCTCCTCTGTTGTGTTGAAACGGGTTGAACCGAACTCTTTGCGTCATGCCTTTGGGATGGGCTACATCGTCACCGGGCCAAAAGTTGCGAGGAGGCCACTCGTCTCTGTCGCACCCATCGGCCATCTCGTGTCCATACCTGTCCAGCTTGGGTTTACCTTTGGTGTCGACTCGAAGGACCCGCAGAACCCATCCGTTTGCCCAAGGCCAAACCCAGTGTTCTTCCTTCTTCGCAAGAGTCTTGACCGCCGCCACGCCCCAAGTTTCAGTAGCTCCACCATCGAGGCCAGTGTTGGCTGTTGCTCCGCAAGTCCATTCAGTCATGGATTTGGTCGCTTTGTGGATATCCATCATTGATCTGTTGTCCAAAATCAGCTGAACTCTCTGGCAATAAGTCTCTACAACCAGGAGCCCCACGAGTAGTGATAGCACGCTTGCTCCCATTCCTTTTTGCATTTGATACCAGTTATCTTCGTTTCATAATAACCAATATCCTTCTCCGTTGTCGTTATCAAAACCTGCTTTCGCTGCCCGCAATCTTCTGTTGTCGTTCGAGGATCGCCGAGCTTACCCTCCCAGACCCCCAGATTTGTGTTCGGCTGTCTCGCCCTGAGCTGACATGCTTCGTTCAAGGTACTCGTTGGGGCGTGTGTCGTCTTTTCTGCCGGCGTAGCCGACACCTTCTCTGTGGGTTTAGCTGGTTTGGGTGGGTCTGGCTTGTGCTGCGGTTTCTTGCAATCTGCCTTCACTTTCTTGTGGCAGCCGGTGCTCGTCCCCATAGAGTCAGGCATGTTCAGTAAAGCACCGAACACATCAAAGTTCCAATCTTGCTTGCCGCAGGCAGGCCCAACCCAGTTGCCGAAGAATGAGCCTACTTCTAGCCCGTTCTCGGAGAAGGTTTTTGCGCCCTGCACGGCTGCCTTTGCTGCTTTGAGAAAATCGCCAGTCGGAGTGAAGCTGATACCGACGTCCAGAATCGATTTGAGAACCGAGAGCATGACGAGACATATGGGCTGTTCCAGCTTTGCCAGACCCTCCATTACCACTTCCAGAAGGGCTTTTGCAATTTCAAGATCACAGAAACACTTTCCCGGGGCCCAGGGGTTTCCATCGTCGTCTCGATATTGCGGCTGTATCTTGTCCGGGGCCAAGCCTTGGAAAGCGGTTCCATTACACTATAGTCTCTGTGTCAGTACCCGCCGAAAGTAGTTCATCTCTCGGAAATTCAATAATGACGATACAAAAGATTGGGAAGAAAACGCGGAGAAAGAGAGAAAATTGTTGAAGGAACTATGGTGATAAATTATGCGTCGAGAACAGGAAACTGCTTACTCCATAATTGCCCTCCGTACCTCCATGGGTTTTGCAATATACCTTACAAGGAGCTTTGGATTTATCCAGATTCTGTTTCTCAGTGAAGTAATGGAAACATTGGCCATTCGTTTCGTATGCTGCTAAATACGTTTTGTCGTTCTCGTCCCGGCGAACGGGGTCAAGTCTGGGAATCGCCCCAGTAGCAATATTGAGACAACTGACAAAAACAAACAAAACAGGGAGAAATGTCTTCATCTTCAACTAAGTGGATTTGCAAAGCTCGTTTTGACAGATTCCGACAGTAGATTTTAGAATATCGACAAGAGAGAGTAGAATGTAGAAGAGATTGTTCCTTGGATGATTCAAGAGATACCAACATCATAGCAGGGTCATCAATTGAACATTTATGTGATTGCATCCGTCCACTTCAGATATCATGTTCATGCAGTAGCAAAGTATTCAGGGTAGGGTGAAGTGCCAACAACGTTCTGAAATGAATCTTCGGGCCCCCAGAAGCCATTCCTCGTCAGCATTGGGGGCTTATCACATCAGCTTTCTTGATTGCAGTCTTGGCCTTACCCAACATCATGAAAAGTAGATGTACGTTGGCTTGACGCCGGAGTGCAAACCTTACCGGTTGGGTGATCGCGAATGGTGAGGCGGATGTTTCCAGGATTCGCTGACGCCCAAAACGACAACGGAAATCAGTCTTCCCCGAAGACAAAGCGAAACCTAGCGAGCAGGATTTAACGACGTGCGCCAATGACTGTGGTCAAGTTTCCGAGATTCAGGCTTGACATATTTTAGATAGTGCAGAGTTTATACCATACTACCTGCTCTTAATTGATCCAGGGATGGGAGAGGGATCTTTCTCAAAGCGCAAAGAGAACTGCGCAGAGGCACTTCTGTGCCATGTACCATTAGTCATTAGACGTCAACGGGTCGGAGATTCCCACCGATCGGTCGTGATCATCTTTTAGTTGGACATGCCATGTCTGCAATGGGTGAATTCATAGGCAAGTCACGGACCTCACCCAACAGGTACTTGGCAAACATTCTCCCGAATGATAAGTGATTAAAGTTGCCATGAGAATTCTGTCGCTTATTACAATTACGACTGACCTGAATAAAGATCAGTCCATCCTGCGTCTGGGCTTTCTTAAAATAGTGTTCATTTCAACACGTCGCATTTCTGGCCTTGCGATGAAAGCTGAACCGATGATGCAACTCTGTGTTGGCCAAGAGAACTTTTCGCTATTCATAGCCTAACCGCCGGCGTTTCTTTCTTTTATTGCTCAAACTGCTGCGCCGTGCAAGGATTGAAGCGCCAACGTTGGGTCAACCCGTCCCCCCACTGGGAACCACCATCTCGCTTCGGACTGTCTATTGCGTCAACTCTAACCCCCACGTCGTTGGTTGGGTGACTACAATGGAGAAAAGGGGATAGTTGGTGTGGTAATTGGGGCCGACGGATATCCATTTCACCGACATATGCAGGTCAACGACGCTCTGCCCCCTCCCTAGAGGCCCGCATCTACCCCTAGGCGCGCAGAAATCTCAGCCCGTATCCTGCTCTCCCGTGCCAACAGTGTGTCCAAAATATGAGCAAAATATTGGACTCGCGCTTAAAGCCCCAAGACGTTCAGAAGTTAACAGAGCACCTCATAGTCCCATTAGATCTGCGTTGCATGAAATTTCCTCTATCTCTCTCGATTTCATTGTAAGAAACCTCCACCAGAGCAAAGGTTTATCAATGCTTCCCCTCAGACCCGCATCCCAGGCAGAGCCTGCAGCCCCTCCGCCTCCGAGTGAGGCCTACTCTTACTCACACGACGCGGCTGTTGCTGCCATTACATCCTATTATGAATTGATCGCTAGACTACAAAGGGATGAAACACAGTTGGAGTATCCGCCGCCGGGCGGGTGGCCTCAAATTACTCGGGAATCGTTCGCTAGTCTTGGCAAAACCGATGCCGTCATCGACCTCCTGCGTCATATTCCATACTTCACCGACGACACCATTGAAATCTTGAACATCACCAATCCACGGTGCTTCATCAACTCGTTTCTGTACGAAATGATCCATGCAGACAGCGAAGAGCAGCGTCACGAGTCGCAAGATTTGAAAGAAGTCGAACAGAACAAGATCTCAAACACTGCCGTTGATGAGGACGGATTCCCTCGTGGTATGATACTCCTCGCCATAGGCGAAGAATATGGGTTCAAGGTGTATCTTGACACCACCCACGGGCTCATCATTCTGACTATGAATGGTGGAGACTTTCCACGCTGTGAGCCCGACTTTGAGGGTGATGTGTCAAATCCTTATGTCGACTGGGATGCGGAGGAGGGTCACGAACAAGGGACATTAGGAGATCATGAGAACAGTGACGACGAGGAAGAGGCAGAGGACATTTTCGGCGACAACGATTGGAGAAGTGGCGCCAAGTCTGAAGCCTTCAGAATCCAAACCTTCTTCGATCTGTGCAAAGAGCAATGGAGACGAATGAACCTGATGCCCAGGCTGGAACACCTAGGCCGGATCGATATGCTCCAGCATCCCGAGCCTTCTCCAGATCAAGCTGTGCGTCAACAAATTCTAAGAAATGCTGGATGGCCAGGCACTGGGCCGGAAGTTGGAATGGGTTGGGACAAGAAGAAGGCAAAGAAGGATATGATTGAATATTTTGGTGCCTGGGATTTCGAAGAGAGCGACTGAGATCCAACCTGGTGTTATCGTGGATGTTCGCAGATACCATCAACTAACGCCATTCCGACGCGCATCTGTGCATCGTTCATTTGCCAATAACTTGCCAATTGGTGCCAGCTGCAAAGCACGGAAGACGCGGGAGCGTGAGGGGGCTGTTTTGATCACGCGCTCTTCGATTGGACACCTTCACACGAATAGTCCCACGTCGTCGCATACCTCTTCTATCAACGTAAAGCACATGTTAAAATCAATTGGGCTTCTTGTATCTCATCTACTTTACACAGAGACATGCCGCCGGCTGCTCGCGCCACTCAAAGAGCCCCGAGGTCGTGCATAGCTTGCGCCAAACGAAAAGTCAGGTGTGATAAGAGACTTCCTTGCCAGCAATGCGTGGACAGGGGGCAAGCAGCCGATTGCAAACGCGAGATTGTTCGAGTAAAGGGTGCTTTAGTCGAGAACACAGGGTCTGACCGCCCGGGAAATCGGAGTTATGCTGACCTCCAGCGAGAGAACGCGGTGCTCCGCGCTTTACTCGGCAGCGAAGGTCCACAGACAAAAGTCAACTACTTTCAAGGCGGAAACGCCCATTCATCAATGAGATTCGAGCTGAACGGAAGAAATCGTATCGAGGAAGTAGAGCGGCGCTTGTTCGACGAGATTGGGATGTCTTCACAGCCACGAACTGTGTTCGACTTGAAAGAAATCATTCTACCTTCTGAAAGTTTCAGTCGGAGCATGGTAGAAAATGCGTTTCAGTGGACATTTTGGCTTCATTTTGCACTCTTCATCCCCAAGTTCCGGCGCGAACATGAAGAGTTTTTGGATCGGTTGCGAGCCAACCAGTCTCTTTCAGACATGGATCCTGCGTGGATGGCAATCTACTTTAGCGTCCTGGCCTCCACGCTCATGTTTACGGATGAAAACGAAACCATCAACCAGCGACCGGCTGGTGTAACTTTCACTGGCCTTCTCCGAAACTGGTATGATTCGGCGTTGCTGTTCCTCGATAGGGCCGACTACACGAAAAGACAAGACGTGCGCACTCCTCAGGCGATTGCCATTCTCCACATTGTATTCAATAACGTGGGAGACGTGCACCGTCATCAAAATATGTGGGCAGTTGCGATACGTCAAGCCCAACAGCTGGGACTGGGCTCAGACGATAGCAATCCAGACGAATCCTTTTGCGAGCAGCAGATACGGCGGAGGCTTTGGTGGACCTTGGCGATATGTGAATGGTTACCAATCCCCCATCGAGTTCCCTGTTTGCACGAGATGGACTTTACATGTAAGCTACCAGACGAGGTTGATGATGAAGAGCTTGAAACCGCATCTGGAGGGTCGAGACTTTCGAGATCCAAGCCCCGACCTGTGAGATACCATATCGCCATGGCACAAGTCTCCAAAATCTATTACCAACTTCGCTATATGCTCAGACTACGCGAGTGGGGGACAGAAGATGTGGCACGGTTCGTCTTCGATGCGGATGAGCAGCTGGCAAACCTCATCACCGACCTACCCTCCTATCTCCAATTCGATGAGAAACCGACGACTTTGACCGAAGAACGAGATCGCCAATATCCCTTCATCCCGTGGCAGAAGAAGAGCTTGGCAAAGGTTCTTCTTTACTATCGAATGGCAATCAGCAGTCAGCTTCAAGAACATTGGCTAGACGGTTCGACTGACGGGGCTCGGACGCGAGCTATCTGCATGTCCTCGGCTCGAGGGCTAATTCACTCGACACTTAGGGAGACTGTGGATGCATCTAAACTGCGACCCTGGTCAGTTTCAGGAAAGCCCAACTTCAAAAAAAGTACTGACATCTTCAAGGGCAATCACCATGAATATCTTCGCTGCATCAGCGGTCCTAGCACTCGAATCTCTGCATACGGAGGAGGACTTCTCTACTGAAATACAACAAGGTCTGGATTTCCTGGAGAGAGTCCAGGCCCAGAACCTCGTCGCCGAGAAAGCAGTAAAGTTCTTAAAAGAGATGACTTAGCATCATTAAATTATTGTTTGTTGAACTTCATGGTACTATCCTTAGTAGCCTGCAATGTTGGTCCTGTCATAACATTCACCTCAAATCCATGATTGGTGTGCCGCCCAACCTCGCTGTTATGGCCGAGTCCGGGACAAGACAACCAGTGCCATGCGCAAGCTCTTAGACACATCCTCGGGTACATGAACATGGATGCCGAAGTTTCCAGCTTTCAGAAATTCAGGCAAAGGCATCTTCTATAACAGCATCTCGACTCACGATGAAAAGCCATTAAAAGGATCAATTGATCTCCAATATCAAACCTCGCTACAACTCTATGATTTTCCATTTCATCAGGAGGCATAAGGCAGAACTCCTGCAAGCTTCAATAATTTCTCAGTTTCCACAGGCTCCTGAGAAGGTCTGTCTCTTTTGTAAGTTTCTTGCTCCCCAAGTCTGATAACCTTTCTCTCGTCCCGGAAGATGTTTGCGTGAGGCCAATGAGTCTGGAAAGACTTCTGTTAGACAAAGTTTCTCGAAATTGGGTTGCTCGACGTGACTCACGGTGCCCTTGCGATCTTTGAACAATTTCGCCTTCATCTCCAAGTCTTCGGCGCTCGCATACGAAGCGGGAGAGTAGCACATGTCTATCAGAGCAGATGTCAGTGAGTTAAATACCGAGCTGGCTAAACCTTTGGGTCTTACACAAAACAGAGCGGACCGCATCACTCTCTGGCAGGCAATTGTAGTGAATGGTTCTGGAGTCCCACAGGATCAGATCGCCGGGCTCGGCGCACACTTTGACCGCCTCGCAACCTCTCTCCTTGAACCAGTCAACCTCTTCCGGGGTAAAGCCGAACCAGTCGGCCGGGCCCCAAGTCTCTCGCTCCGTGTCGTGGGTCTTGAAGAAGGCCTCGTTGAGTGCACTGGACCCCTTCAGGACGATTAGACCTCCGTCCTTGGGACCATTCGGGGCAAGATTGAGTATCCCTTGGACGCACTGTAGTCCCTTACGGAGAGGACTTTGATCGACGTGTGGCCAAGCACCAATGGGTTCTCGATCTTTCGCAGGAAGAGTCAAGTTTGCACCGTCGAAGGAGACGAGAAGGTCTTTGGTCTGCCAGAGCTTGGCGTAGGCATCGAGAATGGTAGGCTCCCTACAGTGACGAGTCAGTCATTTGCAATTTCCCCCAGCGATGATTCACTTTAGCTTACATGCGAGCTTCCCAGAAGAACTTCTCGTGGGCCACTGAATACGCATGATACATTCCACCCCTGTATTTGAATCAGCACTAGCCTCCAGTCAATGGCTTATGTTGGGAACAAACTTGATATGTGCCGGAAGATTTTGCGGACCCCAGGTTGAGGAGTCGTCTTTCCGGAAGCCGTAAGGAAACGTTTCGAGCCAGTCGAAGAGACCATCAAGATAGTATCCTGCCCTTTCTGGTGAGATAACGCCCTTCAATACGACATAGCCGTCGTTGATCAGCTGGTCTCTCCAGTCCCCAAAATTCGGAGAGGTATCGAGTTGAGGCTCGGTTTCGTAACTGATGCTGCCCATTTTGACGATGTTAGGGTGGACCCGGAATTGGAGAGGTAGGTAAGGTAGCTGATGGTAGAAACAGACTTGCGGGGTTGGAGCAGAATGCCATTGCCGGCCGCTTTATGTATCCCCAACAGATTGAAGATACGCATCGCATCCATTCAACCAATCTTGTGTGTCATATGAAAGATCGGGTAGCATTTTCCATAGCCTGAATTGGGCATAGATTGTCTCCAGGCCGGACGACTCACGGGCGAAACCCCATGTTCTTTGGGGTTCCCTCCACACAACGTTATCGCAATGGCCGGGCGAGTCACGGGCGAGTTTTCGATAGACTGACCAATGGGAGCTCTGCAGATGATAATGCATCTCCATCAACAATTACCTGAACTTCGCAACGATCTATAAAGATGGTCCTCGTGCGGCACCTACCAACCAAATTAATGATATTGTCACGCCATCTCAAGTTTTCCCCCATTTCTTCTCCGCATTCATGGCAAACCTTCCGACGGCCACAGCCGAGCCTGGCTTGCTAGATCTCACGAACACCCACACATTGCCCTGGTGGAAGGACCAAGGCCTCAGAAAGCTCATCTTCTGGCAGACATGTATTCTAGCCGCGCAGATCACTGTCGGCTACGATGAGGTTATTGTCGGCTCTTTCCAGGCGCTGCAGCCCTGGCAAGATGGTAAGCTGCCGCTTCTCTGCCTGTCGTCTCTCCTGTTGCTAAACACACAAACACAGCCATGGGAAACCCATCTGCGGAGAATTTGGGCCTCATCACTTGCATGGTATTTATAGGCGGCTTCATCGGTGCTCTTCTTGCAGCAGCACCGGCAGATCGCTACGGGCGACGTTTTGCCCTTCAAATTGGGTCGTTCCTAGGGGTTGTCGGATCAGTCATGCAAGCTGCTTCGCCCAACCGAAATGTGTTCGTCGGGGGTCGCGCTGTGCTTGGTGTCGGTCTGTCTTTCACCACCACAGCTGGACCCAATCTGTTGACCGAGCTGGCCCACCCGCGGTTGCGCGGAAAGATGGCATCAATGGTAAGAGAATCCTGTCACACACGGCTTCTGATCGTTCTGACTAGATTAGTTCAACGTGCTTTGGTATCTGGGTTCCATCATCGCGTCGTGGTTAACATTTGGAACCGGTCATCTCTCTAGCAACTGGTCATGGCGGATCCCGTCCATTGTCCAAACCGCTTTCCCGTTTCTCCTCATGATTGCCACCATCTTCATTCCAGAGTCGCCTCGTTGGCTTTGCTCTCGAGGTCGGCAAATTGAGGCGAAGGACTTTCTGATCAAATACCATGCCAACGGCAACGAAAGCGACCCTGTGATCGATCTGGAGATGCACGAGATTGCCACAGCTCTGAACCTAGAGGAGCAGAGCAAGATGTACACCTGGTCCAACCTTCTCAAGTCCAAGGCCAACAGAAGACGCCTCGGAATCTGCCTCTCAGTGTCGGTTCTCACACTTTGGAACGGTCAAGGTGTCATTTCGTACTACTTCTCGCCCATACTGGACTCTGTCGGCATCACAAATACAACCCAGCAGACCGGCATTAACGGTGGCATGGCCATATGGAATCTTATCTGCTCTGTTACGGGAGCGTTTCTGGCGGACAAAATCGGCCGTCGGAAACTGTGGCTTATCTCATTCATTGGAATGATCTTTGCCAACGTGCCCCTGACCATTACAAGCGCCATGTATGCGAACCACGGCTCTCAGGCGGCAGCCTACGGGACGGTCGTGTTTCTCTTCTTATACAATGCCGCTTTCAACATTGCATGCAACCCGTTGCTGTACTGCTACACTCCAGAGATTCTTCCGTACAGTATCCGCAGCAAGGGCCTGGCGCTGCAAGTGCTGTCAAGCCAGGTCATGCTAACGGTCAATCAGTACGTCAACCCTATTGCGTTGGAAAGAATCGGGTACTACTACTTCATTTTCTACCTTGGCATGTTATTCCTTGGCTTGGCTCTCATTTATTTCACTTTCCCCGAGACCAAAGGATACTCTCTGGAAGAGTTAGGTATGCTCTTCGATGATGGCTTCGACGTGCGACCATCGATACTCCATGGAAAAGATGTTGAAAATAATAGCCATGTGGCCCAAGACGATGCGAGGAAAGATAATGTCAAGGTCATCGAGAGTTGACGAAGGCGTAAATTAGGATGCCATAATGTTTGTTTACTCGGAGGTATTGCAATGTCTGTCTTGTATGCACGTACGACTGCCTCCCTCTGCTCTGGTGCGTCTCAGCTCGATTCTTGCTCTCGGTTACACCTCACTGCAATTCCACTCCTCATCAACTTCGAGTCCATTGATGCCTACTGCCAAGCTTTCAAGCCGAGGTTCTACAAGCACACTGAGACATCCAAACCCCCTTTCCCGTGTTCTAGCTGCACGATGCAGCTTCCGGGACCCAACTGTGCACTAACACGTCGATCTGCAGCAAAATAGTAAGTTTTCGCAAGTCAAATCCCCAATAAAACGCCAAACTCCAAGTCGCCGAGGCGCATGTAGCCGAACTGTAACGCGGAATTCGTTGCCCGGGCTGCAAGTCCCCCGCACTCCCCCGCCTCGGTATGATGCAATGACACACAGCGTGTGGCAGTCAAAGCACTAGGCATGACCGGCAAAAGACCCTTAAATACTGATGAACAAACGCGTCGTGATGGACAAAGTGCAGGTGCTAACTTTCTTCGGATGATCAATCGATAACCCTGAATATCCAAACTTCACATCAGCTACGTGATCGGGAACATAGTGCGGCATCGACAGCATTTCATCGTCACAGACATTTGGCATAGATATCATGTCGTCTTCGCAAGGGCCAAGACTGGCTGGCAAGGTTGCGGTCATCACTGGTACGCCGTTCGCTTCGGGCTCAAGGGTTTGACTGACAACTTTCCATAGGAGGTGGGCATGGATTCGGTGAAGCAATTGCTCGCAGATTCGCATTGGAGGGCGCCAAGGTTCTCATTTCGGATATCAACGAGGCCGACGGACAGAGGGTGGCAAGCGACGCGCCTGACGCGATATCCTTCTGCAAGGCAAACGTCACGGATGCCGGGGAGTGGGAGAAGTTGTTGGACACCGCGCAGGAACGATACGGACGTATCGACATCTTGGTCAACAACGCAGGCACTACTTACAAAAACAAAGTCGGTCACCAATCCCTTTTCATTTTCCACCCTCGGAGAATGTTTGGGCAAAAGGGGATATGCTAAAGTTGTTGTGTAGCCAACGGCGGAGGTGACAGAGGCCGAGTTCGACAGGGTCTTCAACGTCAACGTCAAGGGCATCTTCCTGGGTACGAATGCGCTGATGCCCCGGCTTATCAAGCAGGGCAGTGGCGGCGTCATGCTCAACATTTCTTCAATTGGGTCGGTCAGACCTCGACCTGGATTGGTGTGGTATAATGCTTCCAAGGGCGCGGTGTCAAACGTACGTTGGTTTTGGTCTTTATTGAGATCCACAGGGGTTGCTAATTTACACGGTGCTCATCAGGCCACGAAAGGACTTGCGGCCGAGTACGGCCCTCATCAAATCCGCGTCAATTCCATTTGTCCTCTTCTGAGTGGCACTGGATTGTGAGTATTTTTTTTTCCTCTTCGGTTTTTTCTTCCCTTATTCGATTTCAATTGACGTCGTGCTGACACGAACAGGTTCGAGCACTTCGCAGGGATGCCGGATACACCGGAGAATAGGAAGAACTTTATTGGCAACGTCCCACTAGGGCGTCTATGCGAATCTGAAGACGTCGCGAACACCTGCTTATTCTTGGCTTCTGACGAAGGCAAGTTCATCACTGGCATTAACATGGAGGTTGATGGAGGCAGGGCGGTTTAATTCTATGGGCATGGATGTACTCATGAGTTCATAACAGTCGTAGCTCGTGATGTCTGTAGCAGCCCTAAGTTATCAAAGAATCATCCACAATAATGCGCCTCTGATCTTCGCACTAGCACTGATCCCTGTCTTGCACCTTGGACGGCGCATATATACTGAGAATGAATAGATCTCTGAAATTGGTTGCATTATGCTAGGCCTCCATCCGATTCCTTCGAACTCGATTTATTCCCTTTAATATGTAGGAACAGTGACTATCACCCGAGGCTCTGACACAGTTTCTTCAAGCTCTTGTCCAGGCTGACTGATATACTCTAAGAAGAGCAGCATTGCCACTAAGTAGCTATGTAAGCCGACGACGTGAACTATGGACGACACCTGTACTCACCTTCTGGTATCCTTTGCATTCGAATTGGTTATTGCCTAGCCCTGTGGCGCTCAACATCGTATTTTTCTCTACGACGAGATTCTTGAGATCGGTTCTCATATCACAAGCTATCGCAGGGCCTCCATCAATAGAGCACGTCCCGGTCATGGTAGCTGTCCAAGTGTTCTCGTTCAGCGAACATACAGTCTGCCGGGCTTCAAGTTGCTCAGTGGGCAACCCTAGGGCAGGCTGGGTCATGGCTGCTAAGGCAGCGGCTAAGCAAATAAGAGTGTGAGAAAGCATTGTGCAGGATGTCTTGTGGTCGACTGGAGGCGATATGTCAAGTGCGATGTGTGAATGAAGTTCCTCTGTAGAGATGACGAGACATACTCACTCCTTTAAATAGTCTTTGCATCTTGCGGCTGTGTGGTGTTGGCAGCAGAGCCGCCTGGATTGAATTTCTAGTTGGCGTTAACTGCGAGTCATAATAAACCTTATATAGATTCAGATTTATTAGAGGCCGAGTACGCGGTATGACTGAAGGTTTCAACCGAATTAAAGTAAAATAAGGTAGTTCTTGGAACCGGGAACATACTGACTCAGGGGTCGATCTTCCACCGAGGACTCCGGGACCACAACCACCTAAACACCGACGGATGTATTTTTCTTAATCCTTGGTGATTTCAGTGCAGCGACTCTAACTATTATCACGGCCACCATAGTTCACGAGAGCCGCAGCTTAGAATATCAATAGCAGCCCTGAATCATCAAAGAATTATCCTAAACAATGAGTATCGGATCTTCATATCGGTAGCGAGCCTCACCCTTGAAACTTGGAAAGCGCATGTCAAGATGACGCCCATAGGATGAATTCAATTGCATGTTGCTTATGGGATGTTGAGAAGTATTACGATGTTCAGTAAGAAGTGACGTTACAACGCTTTGAGCCACGGGTTTAAAAATGATTTCTTGGGCTCACAAAGGACTAACTACTAATCTTGACATACATTCTTTCTCTAACTGATTGCTAAGACCTGTGACAGCCTGAGCCTTGAAGTGCATAAGCCTACCGCAGGGGTTGACTGAAGTGGAAAATGCGTAACCTGTTGTAGGCACGGGACTCTTCAGATCGGCGAGCCAACAAAGATAACATAGAACCATATTCCTGTCGTGAGACGTTTCGTGTCGAACTGCAGTCGTTGTCGACAGAAAATGTTCACCAAAACATGATAGATTCGTAAATTGTCGGTACTCGACCTTCTGTGAAGAGTTCCTACAGAGATCGCCTTCTGCGATTTATCAACGTCATTGGTCACAAACAAACCCATAAGAGGGTAGCACAAGGGTTCGTATGTTGACCTCAGCTCAGAATCGAGAGGATGCTGTGTCCACTCCGAAGATATAAACCGCCCTCCGTAGTCATCCCGGACGGAGAAGCTCGCGCCCTTTGTTCATGTACTATTAAATGCACAAAATAAGGCACGTACAGAAATAATTGACATCGTCATTCCGCGCTTGTTAAATAGGCAACGATCTTTTTTCATGGTTCAAATCAACTATCATGATCTTCGAACTGTTCTTCGCCCTTGCCCAGATTTTGGTGCTAGCGGAGGCTTCTCGTAATACAACAGGGAGTCCCGATTTTGGTCGCTTCCAAACTTCATCGACCCTGTTTTCTCAAGCGACTTTAACAAACAGTTCCCATTTCCAGACTCCATCGAGGCTCCTCTCTCAGACGACTTGGACGAACAGTTCTCGTACGCAGCGGACATTCCCTTTGATAACAGCTCCGTCGTCGTCCATCAGTAACGTTACTACCGGCTTCCAAAGCTCATCATATCCACCAGTGTCGGTCAGTACCTCTAGCTATCTTCGGATGGTCCCATTGGCGACACCCTTGCCATCATCTACGAAGGACACTATTAGTCTTCCCCAGAATTCATCAAATCCTTCATCTCCACATACGTCAACAGATAGTTCTGAGTATATATGGACTGTACCGTGGGTCACAACTCGGCCATCTTCCACGGAGGATCCCGGGATCACAATCACGCAAACACCGACAGGTGCCTCTTTCGTGACCCTTAGCGACTTCAGTATAACCACTCCAACTATCATCACGACCACCAAAGCCGGAAGCAACGACCAAGAGATCGTGCCAGGTACGATGCTGCACCTTGATGGAAGCCTTCCTTGCTGATATGTCGCAGTCATTCTTGTGAAGCCGAAGAAGAAGAACCCCACAGACCCGGATCCAATTCCAGTGCCGGTGGTCTGCTTTGGGTGCTTTCCGGGTATCCAATTCCCACCAAAGATCAAAGTGACACTTAAGTTACCTGAGATTTGCACTCAGATTCTATGGTTCAAGATTGGAAACTGTCCCTCGGGCGAAGACAAAAAGGGCGGAGGTGGTGGTGGAGGCGACGGCAACGACGATGAGAAACCCGACGACGAACCCGACGACCCGGAGAGCACACAAAAGTCAACAGAAAAGACATCGTCAACGTCTTCGTCTTCGTCATCTTCTTCATGCACCGTTACTGCGTCTGCTACTCACCAGACGGTGTATTGTCAGCAATGTCCCTCAAATTCCCATGGATTGATCTGATTCTAATATTATTGTTACTTTCCAGGCGTCCGTGGAGACAGTACCTCCCTCCTGACGACGGCTCAAACTACATGTCTCAGCAGCACCTACACAACGATCACCGGCTGCAGCGTCACAAACACAGCGACAATAGTGACCACGACCGTTGCCAGCACTCAGATACCATTTTATCCGCCTTGTTATCGCATATTTGCGGTGGCGGTGTCTGCCAATCCACTCCAAATCGGGCGTTGTCTCGCGACAAGGAAAAGCGCGGAAACCCAGCTCAGGGCGAGTGGGTTGATCCCGATGACTATCCCAACGGATATGCCGAGTTTATGCCTGCTCAGCTCCGAGAGGCAAGAAGTCGGCCGGGAGGTGAAGGCTTCGCACCGAAGCTCCTCAAGCAAGGCCCGGGTCCTGCTCGAGGGCCCTATCCCATCTTCAACGATACCGACGAGTGAAGAAGCAGCGCGGGAGTATTATTACTCGGAGCTGCCTGTATCGACCGAATTTTTTATTTTTGAGGACGAGGTACAATCGCTGGCCATTGACCGGATGGTCGGCTGCGATGCGATCATACTGGTCTCACGCCTGGGCGCCTTCGTTTGCCATTTCTATCAAGGATCCTGGGACAGCGATAGACACATGGACGACCTTATGAGATTCTGTTACTACGGGCGCCCGGAAAACGACCCAATGCGTGAATGGGCTCAGTACGGCATTGACAATGTCAGAGACCATCCTGAGGAAGGCAAGCGAGGCATCATACTCGGGGACCAGGACTCCGACGCAGAGGAAGACGATTTCGAGGATATTGTAGCCTTCATCATAACGCCCAGAGTGCGGCCGAACATTTGGATAATCGACCGTGACGGGCCCAGAGTCATACCAGATGAAGAGATTCTGGCCCCTGACGTTATGGCAGGCCGACTTAGATATGCGCCAGACAGAGTCAACAGAGTCAAACTGATCTTGACGGGAATCTTCCGCGACATTCCTATCAAGACGATCGACTATCCTCCTGCAATGCTACCGTATGCTGAATGGAGTAGGCTCGAGGCTCTTGATGATACGTTTGCTTTTGCCGAGGGGCTTCAGGACAGCATTGTCGATACGCCCCGCGGTAAGATTCTTCTCCAATATAAGCCAGCGCCATCCTGTGATCAAGAGGCTCAGGTACGGCTGTTTGTTGATGTTCTTGGATATCAGGGGGGGAAGAAATGGCGTCCGGAGAGTGACCAGGTGTTTCAAGGCTCACCTGCCACTGGTGCCCGATTACGCAGACAAGCATGCCGTCGACCGAACCGAAATGATACAACTTCGGTCGGGGGCAGCGCATCAGCGACGTCCTATCCAGCTACATCGATGCCGCCGGCACTTCCTACCACATCTCGGAGAAATGAGTCGGTGCCGCTCTCAACGACATCATTGTCTCTGAATGTCACGACTCTGGCGCCCTTTACGGCGAATGCTACGACAGCGGCAACCAGCGAAACAACATCGATGCAGTTTCAGCCATCTTCAGCGTCTTCGAACATTTCCTCACCCTCTTCAAAATCTTTCTCGGTGATGTCGAAATCGTCCAAGACCACCTCGAAGCCAATCTCGTCGACAGGGACTCCCCGCCAGTCCGTGACATCCTCCGTTCCGCCAACATCAACGAACCCGCCAGCAACCAGCAGCGGAACCCACGACGTCTGACGGTTCAGGCATCACACCCATCACTAAACCAGGAGTCCCCGCCCCTTCCAAATTCAGAACATCACTGCACAGGACTGCGGTCACCACCGCGCGAACCCTGGACCGGTTACCAGCCACGCTGCCATTGGAGAGCGTGCAAATCTACCTCAAAGAATGGACTAGCGACGAGGGAGGAGCCCTGGGCTGGATACCCTTTTGGGAGATGTTCGCGGTGCCGATATACTCCGATTTTAACGTCTGCAAGGCGACGAAGGTGGGCGACGAGGTACAGAGCTGGTTCCGTGGATCCGAGCAGGGGGAGGACGGGCGGCCGCCCAGCTTTAAGGCCGATAAAGACATCTTTGGAAAGAAAAACTGCAAGTACAAGGACGACGGCAGCGAAGAAGTGGTGGGTTGGCTTTCGAGCGATGGGGTTCCAGAGTTCAAATGCCGCCGGAGCGACCAGCTAAAAATCGAATGCGACGATATGGACATCAAGGTTTTCAGGACCAGAGTTAAGTGTGTGTTTCCTGTGGAGTAGCACAAGCAAGTAAGCCTACCTGTTGTTTTTCTGTGGGATGCTATGTTCAAATGGTGCTGCGGGTAGATGCTATGTTCTTTTGGTGATGTCAGAAAGATCATTACTGGGCCGCCGGGATAAGTGCCTAGAGTCTCTACCAGCAATATATGTGTGTGATCCGATTCTGGGCCTCTTAGCCTTTGGACGATAAGCCTAAGGGATTTCACCTTTAACAACAAGATAGCAAAAAGATTTAGGGCCAGCTCAGGCTTACGAGAGCTCACTCAGATTCAAATCTCGAGGGATCTCGACTTACGTCAACTTTTCGGTTAAAATTTTACAGACAACTAATCCAGCAATTGGACCAAAAGGAATTAGCGATTCCAGCGTAGATAAGTGAAAAGAAACATGACACAAATGAGAACCAGAAGTACTGCAATGGGGATCAGGAGTTGGGTCTGCGGGGTAGACTTTGAAGTGCTAATGTGGGGTGGTGTTTGATTGTGTGGGGTGCGGTCTTGATGTGGGGGAAGAGGTTGGCCATCCACGAACGACAGAATGTACTGCGTAATTGGGCTCGAAACAATGTGGGAGTGCGGAACAGTAATCGGACGACATCAGTAGTAACCGATGAGCAATGGAGTACAAGCACCACCAAATTCCCTCTCTAGCTTGCCATCTCTCGCGGGTTCCTCCTTGTGGGGGCTCGTACGTGTCAGGCTGTCCCGACTCACTCAGATGCATGTTGATCGCAGCTGATTATAGACAGCATGTAGTTCGTATTGTTCCAGATTTCCTTTTGGACCTAATTCCAGACAACTTGTTACTCTTCTACACCTAGAGTCATCCTTAGGTACTTTATCCATTACAGAACGAAGCACACGAGACGATCCCGGAAATTCGCCAGCATGGCATCGAACGACCCATATGTCATCGTGGTTGGCGCAGGGCCGTCAGGTCTTCTTCTGAGCTTGCTCCTTGCTCGCAACAACGTATCGGTCACACTGGTTGAGAAGACAAAGACGCTGGACAAGCAGCCGAGAGCCACCCATTATGCCGGACCTGCGGTTGAGGTCCTGCATCGCGCAGGCGTCATGGAAGATGTGGCCCATCAAGGCTTCTACCCGAACAAACTCACGTACAGGACCTTCGGAAACAAGGTGCTCGGTGCTCTGGACCACACCGTATTGCCAGAGGATCCCAACAGACTCGTCTGCCTACCACTAGATCAGCTTGGTCGTATCTTGCTTTCGCATCTGGAGAAACAACCCAATGCTAAGATACTGTGGGACTATGAAGTTGTTGACATCCGCGACGACAATGGCCTAGGTGTCATCACCGCGAAGACTTCGAGCGGTACCAAAGACCTCCGAGCCAAATACGTGGTCGGGTGCGACGGCGCCAATAGCATAATTAGAAGGAAACTGTTCGGCGACTGGGAATTCCCGGGTAAGACTTGGGATACACAGGTTGTGGCAACAAATGTGAGTCTTTGGGGGGAGATTTCCATGTGAAGTGAAAGTGAGCTAATTATGGCTTATAAGGTGTACTACGACTTCCACAAATTTGGGTACGAAGACGCGAACTTTATCGTAGACCCAGAGCACTGGTACATGGCATCGAGAATCTCCAAGGACGGAATCTGGCGCGTTAGCTATGGTGTACCCGCTGCGCTAAGCAAAGATGAGCTGCTTGCCGCGCAAGAGGAAAAATGGAGAAAGATGCTGCCTGGCAACCCCTCCCCGCAGGATTATCGCATCGTCAATTTCAGCCCCTACAAAGTTCATCAACGTCTTGCAGAATCAATGCGAGTCGGACCTTTCGTGCTCGCTGCAGACGCTGCTCATCGTAAGTGCTTCTTGTCCAATGATACTTCGGGTCGCAATGCTAACATGTCACACAGTATGCAATCCTTTCGGCGGCCTAGGTCTTACAGGTGGCATCGTAGACGTGGGCGGCCTGGTAGACTGCTTGGTCGGCGTTCATGAGGGCAAAGCCAATGACAGCATCCTGGACATCTACTCCCAGGTTCGGCGCGAGAAGTACCTGCAGTTCATTGACCCTGTGTCGAGCTCGAACTTGGTACGCATGTACGACAGTGATCCAGCTTCGCTGGTGGGGAGGGATGAGTTTCTCAAAGCTATGAACGCGGCTGGCAACGACCCTGTCAAGATTAAGGCGCTCGTTAGTGGCATCAACACGATCACTCACGACTTTTCTAAGCATTTCAATGTCAACGGCGCGGTAGAGCCTTAGGCTGGAGCGGACCTGTATTATTCATGGTTCAATGCTATATGAAGAACCTAGCATGCAACTTTTATCATTTAAAAGAAAATATATGCCCGTCACGATGGCTTTAGGAATTCCAGTGACCATGATGCTTTTCATAGGGATATCTCACGACTGGTTGCATTTTCTTCCCCTCTAAGTTGTCATCGATGCTGTCGCACATCAGGCATTCGACCCATTGCATCGCAGTGGCCATGATGACTGAAGGTAGTGCCCATTGCCACAGCTTGAGCTCACATCACGGCGAGTACCTATCGAAAGTGAAGCGGCTCACAGATTTAGGTCAAGAGAAAGGTTTTCCAATGGCTGGGATAGAAAGAAGGATCAAGCTCATGCGTTCGTGATGGTGCTGACAACTGGGGTAATATATTTACTTCGAATCAATAGACTACACTCACCGATTCCGAGCACTCCATCCTGATGAGATCGGCGTGCGCCTGACTTCTCGCGCTGACTTTGACACTGAATGGTGCCTTGTTCTTCGTAATTTGTGGAATAGCCATGGTGTCGATACTCTGCCCTGGAATCTGCTCAAAGTCGAAGCAGTACAGCAACCGCGCGGCCGCAATCCACACGTTCATCTCGCCAACCTTCCAACCAGCACAAACTCTGCGACCTAAGTGAACGTTACTTAGCATATGCTACAGTCATTAAATAGCAGAACTTCACTAACCTGGCCCGAAGCTCCAATGTCCCTTTAGGACGTTCTCGACGTCATCGTCCAAGAATCTTTCGGGGTAAAAGCGCTCCGGGTCCTTGTATTCTTTCTCGTTCAGTGCAATCGCCCATGCATTCCACGTGAAGACTGTCCCAGCTGGGAATTTGTAGCCTTCGTATTCATCATCTCTGGTCAGCATATGAGGGGCGCCTATCTCTGCGATGTTCGGCCTCCATCGGAATCCTTCCTTGACCACGGCAGATATGTACTTTAGATCTTGCTTATCGTTCCACTCTGGAAGACGCTCTGCATTGGCCCCACAAACTTTGTCGAGGTGCTCGCGCGCTTTAACGACCCAGTCGGGATATGTGGCCGCCGCAGCTATGATTTGACCAATGCTAACACGTGTAGTGTCGCTGCCAGCTTCCATGAGGGAGCCAAAGGTGAAGAGCTGCTGTGTTTGTGACATGTTACCGTATTCCTCGCTCTTGATAAACTCGGTGGCGAAGCATTGGCGTTGCGTTCCATCTTGAAGTTTCGCTTTCGTCTTTGCAAGTTGTCTCTCATAAACCCTGGCGACACAAACTAGTCAGTTACCTGACCATAGTTATTCAACAAGCATAGAGACATACTTATACGTCTTACGAAAGATTGCATCACCACGTGGACGCCACCACTGTAGGAATTGGGGGAGCTTCTTAAAAATGGGAAAACCGTCGACGAGATTTACACCAGGCTGCTGGTTCTCCAGGAATAGCTCAATCGTCTCAAAGAGCTCTTCGACCTCGGGATCATCCAGTACAGTTCGCCGACCAAACACGACACTCATGATAACGGAGTTTGCGTATCGACCATTAGCCGACCACCACCTATCCGGTTTCTCGAGGTAGTCCCACAAGAGATGCTTCGATTCCAAGTCTTGGAAAGGCTTAAAGACGTCTTCCTGACGTGCCATCAGGACATTGTGCATGATCTTCCTGAGGGTCCGCCATTGGTCATTGTACGGCATCAGGACTATGCGGGATCCTCGAGATATAATGTCTTGGGTCATGGGAAAGTCCGGCCTAGAGCTGTAGATTGCCGCGCGGCGCTCTAGCAGATCATGAACAGTGCGTGAAGAATTCAGGAAAACCCAAGTTGAGCCTCCAAACTTGCAAGTAAACCTGTCCCGAAGTGTCAGTCATCCGTCTTGGCGCTTCCTATGAATCAACCATTTTGGAAATCACAGTAACAGACTCACATCTCGCCGTATTGCTCTGCTTTTTCCTTCGCCCATGGTCCTTGCTGTATGGCGGGGATTTGGAAAGAATTTCCAAATATAGGAATGCCAGGTATGCGGCCAGGAAACTTGTACTTTTGGTCCAACCGTATCCGCTCGTATATTTGCGTTGCTATCACAAGCGCGACCGCAGTGACAGCAACCGCCACGATTACCGTACCTGGATTGACTGACACAGACACGGAGGACATGTTGAAAATTGGTGGGTGAAAGGACTGTGCGGTCTGATCAAACGGGGAATGAACAGGTTTCGTTTCTTAAAGTGAATGCTTCTATGTTCATCTTTACCCGGAGATGCTAGCACTGGAGTTATTATTATCATCATCACTGTAGGCAAACCAATCCCGGACGACTGAAGTTCATCAAGCCGCACGTGGAGTATGTGGGGTAGACGGGGACGTAGTACTACTTCCCCAGACGATCCGCATGACGATCGATCTGACAGGTTGCCGCAATTATCCGTTAGCCCCCTCACTTAATTCTTTCGTATTCTGTACCTTACGCACAATGGCACGCCTTCAACTTCCGGAGATTTGCACTCGAGCTGTCATGTAGACGCCTTAAGCCTCGAGTCAATAGAGTCCAGAGTCTTTCTTCCAAGTAAGCACGGGCGAGACAAGCATCCGAGACAGAGCACAGAGTGTCTTGTTTGTAATGACATTTAGCCCTCAAATCAATCAATATCAACGATTTGCGACCCATTTTCGAGTTGCTGTTTTAAATGAAGTCTACGTCTTCAGGTAACCGGATTGCTTCCAAGTTTCCAACCATTTTCGAACCATGTTGGTCGTTATCCCTTTGCCTCGTGCTACCTTAGATGATTCAAACTGTATCCCTTCACCGTTTCCACCACCTTCGGCCATAGCTTGGAAGAACCCGAGGAGCTTCAACGCCGGTATATCGTGCCCATTGGAGGTTGAGGAATCGGCCACTGCTTCCAACCTGGAGACCCATTCCTTCATTTCGATTTGCTCGAGACTCCGCCCAGAAACTTCATCCAAACAGGAGAGCAACCCTTCCCAAGAGATAGTGCTCGGATTTGTCAAGTTGGTGACAATATATGATCCTTCAGCCGTCGACAAGAGAACAACTTCCTTGATAGCTTCCGCACATACATCCACCGGAAGCCAGTCCACCGTCGTCTGCAAGACCGGCATCGCTGACAGCAGATCGAGCGCAGTCATCATCATGATTGGCCACATCTCAGTATGGTTCCAGGTTCCCAGCTGGGAATGCCCGCTCAGCTGACCTACCCGAAGAATTTGAACGGGTACGTTGAATGTAGACGCATAGTTCTGGGTAATCCGCTCGATGATGAATTTGGATTGTGCGTAGCCTGTCTGGAGGGCGCTCTCGGGATCCGGCCCCAATGGTAGTTCTGGGATCACTCCAGTGGTCTTACTGCCCATGGCCGCGGCGACGCTACTCATGAATGCAAATGTTTTCTTCGGCCCTTTAAGGCAGAAAGCCATCAGATGCATGGTACCTGGTGAATTATCAGCATAATTCGCATTCCGACATAGACTGTGCCGTACCTCTTAGGCAGTCATCGTCAAATTGCTGCACCGGCTGGTTAAAGTCGAGTTTCCAGGCGTTGTGCATCACCACCGTCACCTCAGCTTCAACTTGATTGTATGTCTCTGGATCCAAACCCAGCCTTGCGTCCTTCATATCGTAGTTGACAGCGTGAATCTTTGTGCTCTCCCACACGTCTTCGGCATAACCTCTCGTTTTCAGCGACTGGACAACCTTTTCTTGTGGATCGCGACCTCGCACTGCACAGTACACCTTCTTGATGAAGGGATGTTGCACCAGTACTTCCAACAGCGCGCTACCCAAAGATCCACTAGCCCCTGTGAGGTAGATAACGTCCTGGCCCCTGGGTGCTGCTCCACGGTCTTCGGCATTTTGTATCGTCCACCCATTCATCTCCTGATTCATCCGGTTAATAGCAGATTGAATCCACTCATGACGCTGAGTCGTAACCATCGCTTTAGTGTCCAAAACGTCGCCCTTAGGACGCAGAAGAAAGCCTAAAAGGCTCTTTGCCGTCGGGTATTCGAAGATGAACATGAGTGGGAAGCTTCCGAAGGACTTGACCAGCCTAGTACGTAACGACACTGCCTGGATGGAATCGAGCCCGAGTTCGTACCAGTTCCGGTTCTCTTCGATTTCCTCCAGTGGAAGCCCAAACACCTCAGATGCTGCCTTCTGGATTGTCTCTATCGTTGGAGAACCAGCAACACCGTTGAAGTCGATTGTCGAGCCGGAGTCGTCGCTAAAGAGTTTGCTGTACAGATTTTCGACCCGATCCCCATACAAATCCCAAGCGTTTTTTCGTCGGACGTTCCCTTTTGGTGTGACCGGCAAAGTCTCTCCTTTGTCGAGAACGAGAACCAGCTCCCGAGGAATTTTGGAGAAGGCTGCGGACTTTTCGTTACACCCTGCGACCACTTTCCATACCTCGTTCTCTATGTCGACGCTAGACCCTCTGCTGTCGACAGCTTGCCAGTCTACCTCGACAACAACAGACGGGCAGGACTTTCCAGTCCCGTAAACCGCCGTCTTTGCGATGATGCTTGTCTTGTCTTCTTCTAAAGACATAGCCAGAGCAGAGGCATGAGTCTTCTCGCCGTTGGAGTGGACGAGGATATCATCTCGCCGTCCCTGGAGGACAAAGTACCCACTTGCCGGCGGATCTTCGAGGAACATGTCGCCCGTGCGGTACGGATTCGGTGCCGCATCATCTAACCAGAGCTCTGCCGCGAGCGGAAAGCCTTTGTAAACAACACACTCGAAAAGTCCGTCGCCGAGAGGTTCCATGCGCACCAGAGGAGAGCCTGGGTAGAGATTGCGGAAGCGATATACGTCTGGATTTTCTCTTGTATGCGGGATGGTGCGCATTGGTGGTCCGATTTCTGTTGTTCCGTAGGTGGTCTTCACATTGACTCCTAGCGCTTGTAATTTCGCAACCATGCTGGGCGACAGCGGAGCGCCACCCGGTTGCAAGACCTTGAGCTTTACAAGTGGTGTAAAGTCTTTGGTGGTGAGGTTGATGTACTCGTACAGATCATCGATGACCGAGGGTGCGCAATGGGTGCAGTCCACGGGATAGCCCAGGGATTCGAGAGTTCTCCACGCTGTTAGGATAGAACTTGGAGCCGGTGGCCATTTTTCAGGCGGCATGGTCGTTGGAAGTCCGTAAGGAATACCTGACAGAACGGTCGACAAACCAGCGACATGAAATCTAAGGACTGTGTTAGAAGTTCCGTGGCAAATCGGGCAAAATGAAGGACTCGCAGTGGAAAGCAGAGATACCAGTTCTCGATGAAGTATTCCGGGAGGCGGCGGTATATTCTCGCGATCTGGCATAGACTTCTGTTTGTGTGGATAATTGGCTTTGGCACGCCAGTAGAACCCGACGAATGGATGATCATCGATTGCAAGTTCCACTCGTCGCTCGTCTCAAACACCACAAAGTCTTCTGAGATCGCTCCAGCGCCTTGCTGCAACTCAGCAAGGGTGATCAATTCAACGACTGGCGTTGTGCAACTTAAGTCGCCGAAGAGCGACGCCTCATTCGCCTTGTCGGTGATGACTGCCACCGCATCGCAGACTCGCAGCAAATAGTCTCTGGTATCCGGCGCATTCTTGTTGCTGAGAAGCAAAGATCGTACGTGCAGATAATTCAATGCGATTTGTGTGATCAGATACTCAATTGAATTTCCGGTTCCTAGAAGCGCTATCGTGGGCTGCTGGTGCGTCTCGTTGGAGGCTTCCAGCTCTTTACGGAAGCGTCGTGAATAATACGCCGCTGCTTGGCGACAGAGCTGGTGGGCCTGAGACCAGTCAAGTACACTGAAAGTGTCTTTGACAGGGTAGATGAAGGCTGGCTGAGAGGGCTGGGTGGCGGCGTTGTGCTCGACCAACTTGGCGATACTCGTCAGATTTGGATTTGAGAACCTGGTCCAGTCATGTCAGCCTTCATTGCGTGAAGTCGAGATGATTCGATTGATACATACTTGGTGCTGTGCGGATCTCCATGCATGTACCAAAGTTGCCGCAGTCTCTCATCTGAATCAGGGGCGGGAAACACGGTCGGGTCAGCCAGGATCGGCATCGATGTCTTCAGGTCGGACGTTGCGATTGGCGCCATGTTGGATTGGTGTGAATTGATGCTAAACCTGTCGTCCTCACGCAGACGAGAGGAGCTTCCTTAGGAACATCGAGGTCATGATGAAGCTTCACATTTGACTTTCTGCTGAGTAAAGCACATGTTTCGTGATCCCCCGCGGAATCCCCGCATGCAGCACCACCGCGGAAACCACCAGATCGATAAGATGACGCCCGGGCTATCAACGTTTGCTGGGCTGCAGCAAGGAACACCAAGATAGGCCAATGGCTGAGGCGATAACTTTCAGGCATGCTGATAGCGCCCCGGCACTTATCACGCCTATCTCCATGTCATGGTATGACATGACCGGGGAACACGAAGCTGCCACGGGCGATAGCCGAGACCAGTTTCGATAAGCAGCTCTGTAGAAATGAACAAAGAACTCCGGAATGTAACGAGCAGAAAAAAAAAAAAGAATCGAATAACTGCCCCGAGTCTCCGCACGCTTAGACACGTCGCTTCTGCTCCTGCCCCAATTTGACTTTCTCTTAGCAATTTCAATTGAGCAGGATCAACGTCACATCATGGGGATACGGCAGCGTTTGGAGCTCCGCTCCGAGAGCGCCGAACTCGGCACGGAGGGCGGCCGGCTGTCCAACAAGGACATGGACCCGATCCCGATGGGTTCGCCGGAGCGCACTTGGGGCTGGCCTAGCTTGTTGGGTTTCTGGATTGCTGAAGCCTTCTCGATTTCCATGTACCAAGGTACGTCAAACGCCATTCTACGCCGGCTCTTCCTCTGGTCTGTCACTAACAGCGCCCGTCGGAAACAGTGTCATCGACATCGGTCACGAAGGGCCTCAACCCAGGCCTCGCTATTCTCGCGGTGTTCATCGGCCATGTCTTGGTATGCATCCCCGCCATGCTGGACGGATATGTTGGCTGTGTCTTTGGAATCAACTTCCCGGTCTTCACTCGAGCATCATTCGGTCTGCGAGGTGCGCACGCCGCTGTATTCGTCCGCGGTGTCGTCGCTTGTATCTGGTTCGGAACGCAATCTTTCCAGGGCGGTCAGTGCCTTCAAGTCATGATCGCTGCAATCTGGCCCTCCTTCAACAACTTCCCCAACCACCTGCCGGCGAGCGCCCACGTAACCAGCGCCGAGCTGTTGTGCTTCTTCCTTTTCATCATCGTCCAGCTCCCGCTGCTTTGGCTTCATGTAAGCAGCTTGAGGTACATGTTCATGGCAAAGACGATCATTATGCCGATCTTCGGATTGACCCTGTTCATTTGGGCTCTCGTTGCTGGTAAGTTCCTATGAGCCTCGCTCCTGTGTACTCCATCTTGCTAAAACACCACAGCAAAGGGCTTCGGCCCGACGTTCTCAAAGCCGACCGTGATCAAAGACGGTACGCCCGCCATCGTGGTCTTCTTCCAATGTGTCACAAGCGCGATCGGCCCCAAGGCGACCCTTGCATTGAACATGCCCGATTTTACACGATACGCCAAGGAACCCCGCCAGGTCTTCTGGACCCAGGCAGTCGGACTCATCGTGCTTGTCACCATGTGTGGTGTCTTGGGAGCTACCGTTAGCAGTGCTTCTGAAGTCATCTACGGCGAGGTCACTTGGAACCCCTTGGAGGTTGCCCGTCTCTGGAACAACCGCGCTGCGCAGTTCTTCGCAGGACTTTGCTGGGCATTTGCCGTGATCGGCACAAATATCAGCGCCAACAGTGTGTCATTCAGCAACGACTTGTCGCTTTGGTTCCCGAAATACGTGAACAACCGACGTGGAGCGTATGTATGCGCTATCCTTGGAGTGTGTGCTGTACCGTGGAATATCCAGTACAGGTAAGCAGTAACATCCCCCAGTAGCAGGACCGTTCTAACTTTGAGTTCAGCGCAAAATCTTTCTCTTCGTTCCTTGGTGGCTACTCCCTCTTCTTGGGGGCCATTGCGGGAGTTATCGTCACCGACTTCTGGATCTGCCGCGGTCGCCAGATGAGAGTCTCATCTCTGTACGATCCACGGGGAACACACTTCTTCACCTTCGGAGTTAACCCGCGTGCTATCATTGCCTTCATCTTTGCCATTGTGCCCAACATGCCAGGTCTGGCGGCTGCTTGTGGTGCCAAGGGGGTTCCGAAAGGAGCGACGTACTTGTATAGCCTGAGTTGGCTGGTGAGCACACTTATCGCTGGTTTCACGTATTGGGCGTGCTGGAAGATTCGGCCTTTCAGGGTTGATGAGATGGTGGACGAGTTATCGATCGAGGGACAGTCTCCAAAGGAGGAACCTGTGGAGCCGGGGAAGAGCATAGAAGCCAAGCAGTATAGTGTCTGAGACGGCATCATGCTGAGTTCAAGCGACAGTTTTCTAATGAATATCGGATTTACAGGCTATTTGAAGATGACATTGTATTACCAAAATTGGGCGGAGAGATGGTGTCCGCACACGCATTATCGCCTTCCTCAAAGCTTCCGGTTCAGGACTGCCTCAGCAGCCGCAGGAGTCAGTTCAATGAGCTTCCCCAGCCCTGCGACAAACGTTGCGTCTAATCGCAACAAACTCAGATTCAAAAGATCGCAGCTTCTCGATTTGATGCGCAACAAACTCCGCCATTGAGTCAAAAGCGTGAGAGCGTCCTCAGCATCTGCCAACGTCGGCGATAGGGCGAAGAGAAGAACGATGAAGTTGCTGGCAATGGCGAAGTTGACACGCGAGTCTACCCGGGTCAGTAAGAATCATTGACTGTCAACGAAGAAGTCAGCTGCTTACACGAATGCCAGAATGCTTCCAGATGATGAGGCCCCAGCTTGGCAAGGAAATCGTACATCTCCCTGGCAACGGCCATCGCTCCCGTCCGCAATGCAGCGCGGGCTTCTGCAGGGGCCTCGTTACTCTTTGGTCGCAATAATGCCTTGAAAACGGCAACCTTTGCAGTGATATATGCAAGCCGGAGACTGCCATTGCCATCGAGCCCATGATGAGGTAAAGCTGGCGAGGGCTGTTCACCTACATCAGGATGGTCCTGGGACCACTGAGCGAGCTCAATTCGCAGCGGCCTGGCAACTTCGAAACTTGCTTCCAGTGACTTCGATAAGGCCCTGGTGGCTTTGACGGAGCTTATAAAGTCAGCACTCACTATATGCGGGTTGTGGGGGATGAAACAGACGTACAACATGTTCAGCTGAATCTTTGATACAATCTCGGTCAACGACGCCAGGTGTAGAAAGTGCTTGGATATCGCAGGTTCATCTTCAATCCCCGAGAGGCTTCCAAAGTCCTCAGGCCCCAGAGAGGAAACATCCCAGTCGCAGTCTTGGATGTGTGAACTGCGACCAAAGTTCAGACTTAACCACCGGTCTTGCACGTACACCGCCCATGCCAGCCGTCGACGGAGGCGCTTCTCCCACGGCGGTATTGACCACTCACTTGGGTCCAGGTTGAGACCAAGGCATTGCGCAAGAGCTACTGTGTCAGCGAGCATAACCCATTTGAACGGCGTATCAGCCACGTGTCTGTTTGTTGGGCGTCGTTGTATAAGGAGAAGCATGGTCTGCACGGTGGCAAGCGATGGTGTGTGGAACTGAGAGAGCGCAGCCATCCATGCAAGCTTGAACAGACGGTCGGCCGAAGGGGGCGTGTATACGTCGACGCAGAGTTTGTCGTCGAAAACACAAAAGGGAAGTGCATGTCCGTAGATGGCTGCTGCCAGGGATGTAGGCAACGTTGATGGGTCCCCGTTGTTATCATGCATGATGTATTCCACCGAGAGGATGGGGAAATATGGCTGCACATAGCGCCAGAACCTGCAGTTTTTGGTTAATGAAGGAGAACAATGAAGAAAAAGTCTTCAGAGAAACTTACAAGTTTAGAAGTCTCCTACCAACGTCCTCAGAAACCATGTTGAGGACCTCATTTCTGATATCTGATTCGCTGGCTCCAAAATCTCCTGGCTGTGCTCTGCTCGCTAACGAATTATTCTGCAGCATGAACTGGACAGGGACCCCATCATCCATACCCATGTTCCGGATGCGCAATTGTTGAAATTCGCACTCATCCTTCTCGTCAAACTGATAGAGCTGAAGTAAGTACGGGTCCGATTCGCCGCTGAGGCCGATGACTTGCGCATTGTGGTTGAGTTTAGCGTCGAGCGAAGCCGGCAATGACACATCTGGACACTCCCGTTGGGACCCGGTCGGAGACACCAGACTCGCTGATTCTGCCCCGTCGGCGATGAAGTGCATCTCATTCAACGGCGAACTCATCTCCCCAGACTGAGACCTCATCTCCGTATCCGACGGGGCCCGGGTGTGGTACGTCGGACTCTCCAGGCCATCGTCGGAAGGACTGTGAATCCGCTCCGCAACGCGCCGCCTCTTGTTCGGCCCTTCGACAAACGTGCACTCTTTGCCCTGCCGCCGGCAGAGCTCGCAGGGTGGGGGACCGGGCAGCAGACAGGCCGCGCGCTTGTATCGGCAGAAGTCGCAGGGGTGGCGGTTGCGGTTACCGAACGACCTTGTACGGGTGTGAGCGGCGGTCTCCATGATGTGCTTGTTGAAGAAAGTTACGGCACGTCTAGGTGAACCGGTTCATGCGCGTAGCTATCGTGTCGCTTGAGTTCCCCGCGCGGCCGGGGAAGCTGGATCCAAGAGCTCCGTTGGCTGATAACGGGCCGTTTGCCGATTGGCCGCCGGCGAACCGACCCCCGTAGTAAGTTGAATGACTACCTGAGAAATGATCGCTTTTCGGTTGTCCAGATCTTGATTATTATTCAATTGCACTCGAAAAGAAGGGTTAGTCAAGTTATTGTGCTATTTTACGTGTGACGATTTGATCAATACATTGGATGTTTCTCGCAACCCGGCTGACTAGGCGCTCAGAGACCTCAATTGTGACGAAGAGGGCGGGATGCTGGGACTTGGCAGATGATTGCTGGGTATCCTAACCAAGCCAGGAATCTCTAATGTTGCCTCGGTACAGCTCTACACAGTCTGATGCGCTTTGTTGCGGTCTGTAGTCTGAGTGTTGCCGATGTCTTCCACCACTGGATCAGCCCCGGTTGTTTTGCTGGGTTCGCCTTGGCCGACATGCCGGTAATAGAGAGCCAGGCCTATCAGCCCAATCCAAATAGCCAACTCAGATCCATAAATAACGAGGCCATAAATTTTTAGTGTCTTCTGGAAGATCACCGACAAAAGCGACGCCACATCTCCACTCAAATCGAGAGTCGCAAACTTCAGAGACACTCCAGCGTCCGATCGAGTCCTCAACATCTGGACATAATGTCTGAGCACACCACCAGCCAACAAAATCGCTGCTACAATAGCCATGAGCATTGATGGCCAAATGTGCCCGCGCTCGCGGGCCAGGCGGAGTGCGTATACGAGTCCATACTCAGCGCCGGCCAGAGCGATGGCGAGGCCGGTGACAAATGGGACAATTTTCTTGATGCCCCAGTTGTCGCCATAGTATTTGCATTGAGACCAAGTCCAGAGACTGAGAAAGATCAAAATGTTGGGCTGTATCTGGAGGGCAATATTGAAGTCGTCGGCGATGTTGTACACGCCAAGAGGCACTCCGGCGATAGCCCATGAAAGGAAAAACGTCGACGATAAGGACTGGCTGTCGTGCCGCCTCCAGTTTTTCCAGATTTGAGGCAAGAGCTTGAATAATCGTCAGGAGAGATGTCCCCAAATGAAAAAATGAGAAGCCACGGGAAGAAAGTTGATTCTTACCTGAAGCGACCAGAGCACTGCCCCAAGAGTGCCGAACGCATTTGCAGCAGCAGGATTGTCCATGGTCTTGTCAAATGTTGACCGGTGTGGAAAAGTTGGAATAATTAGTGGATTTGGCAGATGAAAGTTTTTTTCACGATGTTTACAGCAGAGTCAAGTATGACCATCTTGAAAAGAAAGAGGCACGCATTTTGTACCTGAGGTGACTTACACCCTTCAAAAAGTGAAGGAGCTGTGATCTCAAACTGACCAATCATGTCATCCGCTCGAAAGAGTAACCTCGAACTGTCCAATCAAGTGCCCCGGTTTGAAGCCGAGACCGGATTCAGACACGTGACCCACCGAGATGCCAAACCTTCCTCACCCTTTTCCCTCGTGACTTGCAACCATCGTCATCAACCGCCCCTGTCGATGGCCTCCCAAGCCAACGAGATCAGCGACTCTGCTCGGTGGCTTCTAGTCTCTCGCCGCGACCTCTCCGCTAACTCATCCTTCTTCTACGGCGTCAAGTCGACCCAGATCTTTTGCCGGCCGACCTGCCCTGGTCGCGTCGCTCGACGGGGCAACGTCATCTTCTTCAACGACCTGCAGCATGCCTCGCAATCCGGGTACCGGCCATGCAAGCGGTGCGAGCCGTGCAATGATAGCTGGAGCAGGGACAATAGCGGCCGCAGGATTGCACACCGCGCACATGCCATGATTGTGGCCGCGGAAGCCGACAATGTCCAGTGGACCGTGGAGAGCATGGCCCGGAAACTGGGTATCACCAGCGCGCACCTTCACCGGCAGTTCAAAAAGTGTTTTCTAATGACCCCGAAGGCCTTTGCTGCATCTCTTGGCGCTCCGGAAGGAGGCTCAGCGGGGCATATGAGGCTCGATGGTGAAGCTTTGTGCTCGGACTACATGCTACCAGAGACAACTACTGATCTGGAAGACCTCTATGCTGTGGATAACTTCGCACACAACTTCACGAGTTGGTTTGCGGATGACATGGACTCGCTCACGTCCATGGATCTTGCTGCAGACCTAGGATCATGAGTACGTATAAAGTCTCAGGAATACGTACCTGGGAATCGATCATTGACGCAACCACACAGGACGAGCTGTTATATGTGTACCGAGTTTGCGGTCACATCCCGAATTTGAGAAGCGGGTTTTTGGGGCATTGGGGCATTGGTGATCACTATCCCAATGCTGTTGCCATTTGGGCATCTTTATTGTCATTTCCAACCACAGACGCTTAAATCCAATCCTGACCACGGGCTTTGCGACCCGCGGCCGAGCTCTTGTACACACCTCTCTTCGCCGTCGCGCCGCCCATTCTCACCATACCCACCAGGTGATGCACACCAGCCAACACGCCATCAACGACTTGCACTTCATCGCCAACAGCCTCCTCCACCGCGCCCTTGAGAGGCGTCATACCAGCGCACCCCAGCAACAACACGTCGGCCCCGTTCTCCTCCACCAGCCTCTTGCCGACGTTCGCCATGATGCCCATCACCTCGTCCTGGCTCTTCTCGTGCAGGTCCAGCACCCCAAGCTTGCAGGATAGGACGCCCGCGCACGAGGTTGAGAAGCCGTATTGGTGGATGCTGTCCTCGTGCAACACCTTGGACCGCTCACTCACGGCGACGAGCCCGAAGCGGCCGCCGAGCGTGCGCGCGGCGAAGAGCGACGCCTCCATGATCCCGATGACGGGCTGCCGCGGGAGCTCCTCGCGCAGCATGCGGATGAGGGCGTGGTCGGAGTAGCACGCGACCAGCACGGCGTCGTGCGTCGCTGCGAGGGGCAGCACTGCGCGGGCGGCGGCCGCGGCGGACATTACATTGTCGAACATGCCCTCGATCGCCGAGGGCGACGGCCGCGGCGCGGTGAAGCCGGTGACGGCCACGTCGGGGGGAAGCTGGCTCTCGACCATGGCGACGCAGGCGTCCGTCATCGCCCTTGTGCTGTTCGGGTTGACGAGCAGGATGCGGATCTTCTTGTCCTTGACCGTAGCCCCGTTGGTGACCCCGTTCACCGCCTGGGCACCAAGCTTCGGTGGCTCCACGACGCCAGTCTGCTCCGTGATCCGGCTGTAATGCTCCACCCGCCGGTGCCTTGCGAAATCGAACGTGCGCTCCTTGCCCGGGCGGCACTCGTCAAGGTTGATCTCCGCATACACCACCTCGTCCTCCGTCGTGGACGCCTCCGCGATGATCTCGCCCTCGGGCCCGGTGATGCAGCTGCCGCCGATGAGGTCGTACTTCCCATCATCCATGCCGCACCGCGCGGCGCTCACGCTGAAGCACGCGTTTGTGTAGCTGTGCGCCTGCATCACCAGCTTGTGGTGGAACACGGCCTTCTCGCGCGCCACCTCCGGGTCCATGTCGGCGCTCGACCCCCACAGGTGCGGCGCGAAGCCGGCCGTGTTGTACCCGCACAGCACGACCTCGACGCCCTGCAGGCCCAGCGTGCGCCAGCTCTCGGCCCAGCGCCGGTCGTTGCAGATCATCATGCCGAAGATGGGGTCCCCGCGCTCCGGCGGCGAGGCGACGAGGTCCGGGACGCGGAAGGCGTTGAAGCCCAGGTCACCCGGCTTGAAGTAGCGCTTCTCGAGCTGGTTCGTCGCCTCCGGGTCCGCAAACGGCTCGAAGTCGCCGGGGAGGTGAATCTTCCTGTACTTTGAGAGGATGGAGCCGCTCTTGGCGTGGTAGTAAATGCACGAGTTGAACGTCTGCCCGTCGTCGGCCTTCTCGGCGAAGCCGACAGAGATGTCGACGCCGAGCTGGTGCGCCTTGTTGAAGAGCGGTTTTGTCTGCGGCTGCGTTGAGACGTCGCCCTTTTCGAAGAAGGCGTCCAGCTCGACGGGGTCGTTGATGAGGTGCCGCGGGAAGAACGTAGTGAAGGCGGCTTCGGGGAATAGCACGACCTGCGCGCCCTTGGCGGCGGCGGCTTCGAGGAGCTTGATCATGCGGTCGAGCGTCTTGCTGCGCTCGTCGCCGTAGTGCGTGGCGCCCATCTGGGCTGCAGCCACGCGCAGTGTCCTTGGTGATGCCATTGCGAATGTATGTGTTGCTGTCTGTGAGTGGCTGCTGCAACTCTCGTGTAAAGGGCGCTGGTCCTGCTCAGCAAACGGCTCAATCGCCACTCTTATTATCCTGTTGAATACCACGATACAGAGGCTTGTCTTTGCAGACGGCTATTGCTAATTGCAACCACATTTACCCCTCACGTGCATTTACACGGCGATGCGTCGTCCGATTTGTCTCCGTGGAGAGCTCCCTCGCACCCCTGTCCGCCCGATAAGGTTGATAGGCCGGCCGTCCGCCAACCGCGTATCGGTCTGTCGAGCCTATCTTTATCTTAGGTTCGCCTATCGTCGCAGCGCGGCCGAGGTGCTTGTTATCTTGCTGCTCGCCGGACACCATGAATCATTGATTACTGTGAGACTTTTTGTCATTGAGAGTGAAGCCATTCCCAGTCAATTTTGACAAGCAAGGTCACATTGGTTTCTGGGCGAAGAAAGCTCGGAGTCTCACAGAATCCTCACCTCAAGACCCTTGCAGTGAGTGCCTAAGAGCCAAACATAACAACATTTTATCATGGAGGTTGATCTCATCATTGAGAATGCCACGGTTGTAAGTGTCCACATCACAATCACTCAACACCAAGACAAAGACTCACAAGACACCAGGTCACGGCTTCCGATGTACACGCCCGTCAAGACATCGTCGTCCGCGACGGCAAGATCCTCGCAGTGGGTCAGGACTTGAAGTCCATCTTCTCGGCCAAGACCACCATTGATGCCCAGCATGCGTTCGTCATGCCCGGCGGCGTGGACTCCCACGTCCATCTCGACCAGGTAAGTCTCAAAAACACCCGCAACTTTCATGCCTCTCGCTCATCATCATAAACCTAGGACAACTCACCCACAGGAGACAACTTCGAAACCGGCACACGCTCCGCCATCGCAGGCGGCACCACCACCGTCATCGCCTTCGCTACGCAGTCCCGCACCCAAGAGTCCATCCACCCCGTCGTGGAGGACTACCACGGCCGCGCCACGGGCAAGTCCTACTGCGACTACGGATTCCACCTGATCCTCACCAACCCAACCCCAACCATCCTGCGCGATGAGCTGCCCCACTACGTGCGCGAGGGCATCTCCTCCGTCAAGCTCTATATGACGTACGAGCCCCTCAAACTGCGCGACGGCGAGATCCTCGACGTGATGATGGCCACGCGCGCACTTGGCATGACGACCATGGTGCACGCCGAGAACAGCGACATGATCTCCTGGATCACGGCGCGGCTGGCTGAGCAGGCGCTCACGGCGCCGTACTACCACGCCATCAGCCGGCCCAACATCGCCGAGGACGAGGCCGTGTACCGCGTTATCTCGCTCGCGGAGCTGTCCGACGTGCCGATACTGATCGTGCACATGTCGTCCAAGACGGCGGCGGGCCACGTGCGCGCCGCGCAGACGCGGCTGCTGCCCATCCACGCGGAGACGTGCCCGCACTACCTGTACCTCACGGCGGACGCGCTGCGGCCGAACCACCCGGCGCACGACGCCTTCTCGGGGGCGAAGCACATCTGCAGCCCGCCGCTGCGCGAGGACGCGATGGACCTGGAGGCGATGTGGACGGGCATCGTCAACGGGACGTTCACGACCTTCAGCTCGGACCACGCGCCGAGCAAGTACGACCACCCGAGCGGGAAGAAGGCGGGGCTGGCGGCGGATGGGGGGATGAGGTATGATAAGGTGCCGAACGGGCTGCCGGGGCTGGAGACGCGGCTGCCGGTGCTGTTTCAGGGGGGCGTGCTGGCGGGGAGGGTGACGCCGCAGAAGTTCGTGGAGGTGACGGCGACGAACCCGGCGAAGCTTTATGGGTTGGGGGATAGGAAGGGGGCGATTGCGGCGGGGTATGATGCGGACTTTGTGATTTGGTACCCGACGGCTGAGCAGGTGGCTGCCACGGCTGGGGGAGGGGAGGTGGCGAAGATGGAGGCGTTCGACCTGGAGAACGAGATGCTGCACCACGATATTGATTACTCGCCGTTTGAGGGGATGAAGTTCGAGAACTGGCCGCGGTATACCATCTTGAGGGGCAAGGTGGTTTGGGACAGGGACAATGGGGGACTGCTGGGGAAGATGGGTGATGGAAATTTCCTGCGCCGTGGGAAGAGTACGTTGAGCAAGCCGAGGAACAAGTGGGTGAATGAGTTCCAGCCGATGCCGGAGGCGAACACGGCGACTGTGAAGTATTGATGAAGGTGTCGTGGGGTAGAGTTGAGAGCAATTCAGAGACTAATTCTCAGCCAACCATTATGAATATGACTTCCTTCGACAGACAAGTCGCTTTATTGGCTTAGAAGATGAGAACTCGGCTGTGACTGCCCTACCAAGCCACCTTCAGCCACACTTCCAACACCAACACCGGAGAGTCAGCTCAAGCCAATAGACGAACGGCGAAATGCGATAGACACGGCGCAATAGGCTGGCTGCACCTCGTGCCATGGATGCCAGCGCGCGACCAACATGACGTACGATTCCAATCCTCCCAACCGTGTCGTCGAACCAGTGGTGTGGTGTGCACCAAGCCGTTGGGTCTTGCCGGAAGCATGTAACTCCCCCCCCTCGCCTCCGCTCCCCCAACTTTTTGGATATCAATCTTCCCCATGGATCCACGGGTGGCACGATGGACGGGGGCTTGAAGAATGAAAACATCCGATGTGCAAGTGCCAGGAATCCGTCCCGAAACTCTGCTGGGTGTTCTCGAGAGTGATAATGTTGGTGATGAGTAAGCGAGACCCACGTCCTTGGGTGAGGTAACACGCGAAGACGCGAGCAGCAGCAGCAGACCGCAGCAGACAGCAGACAGCAAGCAGCCTCAAGCCGTGATCCGTTACCGACCCCCGAGCACGGAGGCAGCCCCTTCCCCACGGGCGGCGCCCAATGGCGCATCTCCAAAATATAATACCTGCACCACGCGCCGCCGCACAGGCCATCCCTTCAACAATCCAACCACTCAGCGCCGCGCATCTGCTGC